GTTTCCGCTACCCACAATAGACTGGCTCCGGCATGAGCCGTCCGAATAGCGAAAAGGGGTAGACTTCTTTAAGGGTTGTAGCTTGAGGTATGAAGACTTGGGGAAAACTATTGGCTAGAGAGTATTGGTGCTTCTCATACATAGCTATACAAGGTGGGCGTACGTGTAACCAGAGACTTGTGATCGTATGGGATCTAAGCGATTATATGAATGATATACCTTGATCTATTTTTACATAGGGATAGCAATACACCTAAGCATGTTGATATTAGCTGACATTTGTGCGTAGACGTTTTCTCTAACCCTATTCACTATGAGAGTGAATGACAATATTATCAACGTAGCGACACCTCTGTGCTCATGCTAGATATCTATCTGGGGCAGGCATTGTACATAGTACAGTAAGGGTATCTATCCGGAGGCGATCCGGTTTTATCAAGACGTCCCACGCTGATCATTCGTGTGATTCAAGGGTAAAAAAACAACATCGTCTCCAGGCCAGGCCATAACTATGCCTGCCTATTTAGTACTGATGCAAGCTTCAAGCCTTCAACAGACCGTGACCATCTTCTTCCCTCGACAAATCTACATGCCTAGTAACTATGCTAGTCACGTTGGAAGGGGTTCACGGAAGGGGTTCGCGGACGGGGCACACTAGAAGGCTTAGAAGCTGCTTCGAGAACATTTTAGCTCAGTGACTTGAAATAACTTGATGTCATCGTCGTAATGCCTTGCCGAAGACAGCGAAATGAAGGTGCCGCTAGACAAGGCGCGGGAGATTCCCATGCCACGGTTCAAGCAGTGATCCATTTCCTTGAATGAATTCAAGGGGGCGACCTTGGCTAAGATTCTAGACGGCCGGGTTGTAGGGAGAAGAGCATGATCACCATAAGATCGAAGATTAGGGTATTGGAATAAGGAGGGAGGAATATGCAACTTGCCGGAATAACAAATCTATGAACAAGCATCTTTGACAAGCAAGTAGACTAGGGGACTCTCGGCATGGTTGTGTGCCTCTTGTTTTTCCCTACTCGTTTCTCGTTTCTTGTCTCTTATCTCTTATGCAAATGGTGACGCATGTGGGACTGGGATGGATCTAAAAAAGAAACAACCTTCCAATGTTCCAATGTCGGCATCTCCCCGTTGGACCCCATTTCTTTGCTTCTCGAAATCTTCCAGAATCCTTCCATATTGGGGCTAGGGCCAATTTCAGGCCTGTCAGGAAATCTCATGCGCTGGGGTGCATTGGCTGATGAACCCATGCGCTTCTCCACCACCAACCGAGCCTTACATAGTAGGGAGACTGTAGGAGGCATTGTCGTAGCCACTCGAAAGGTAAGAAGAGGCTGGCTTCGTATCATTTCGTGTCTTATTTTGACTGAATAGCTTCGGAATACGCGTGACCATATGAGGCCATCACTTGCAACTTGCGGATAGCCGCCGCATCGTACTGTATTGCACAATACTAGGTAAGCAGGTAACACATCTTCCTAACCTTAGGTAGGTAGGTCTTCAACTTGGTAGCCCTAGTGTTCAAATGTTTTTGTTCTCTTTCTACATACCTTCTGAAGACCTAGGTATTAAACACTGTATGGCACGGTATAGGGTGCCGAAGAGAATATTGAAGGCTTACATATAACGATCATCGTGATACAGTGGTAGGCTTACGACACACACCTGGGGTTCAACTTACAGAAGTACTGGTATGTAGGTATGTAGGTATGTATGTATGTCTGGCCTTTCTTTTCAGATTACAATGAGAGAGTAAGGAAGAGTAAGAGTCGAACAATAGGCGAGAACGTCAAAGTCTATCGTATTTTTGACTAATGATGCTGAAGCGTGAGAAAGTAAAAATCTGATAACTGATATGTTCGAGTATGTTGGTGGGTAGGTGTGTATGTATGTACGTAGGTATGTATGTAAATACAATATCTCTACTATGTACATACCTATAGTTACATATGTACTACGGTAGTTACATATTATCTAACTACCTCCCTAGTGCTAGTTATGACTGCAATACCATCCATAGAAATACACCATATAATTGGCTGGGGAAACATCATAAGCTCCAATTGTTTGGTGCCGGCGTTTCATTCTGGCACAGGAATGATTGGACTATGTACGTTTAACGTCGATAGGTACCTAGCTGCCTACATAGTATGTATTGTACAATACAATACAATATGTAGAAGACAAAAGAAAAAAAAGAAAGCGTTGTTATATTATTGTTTATAACGACATCTGGATAGGTAAGTATTTATTGTTTATGGTGATATGTGATACATAGGCAAAAGCCCGGTATCTGGTAACTATTGCTATTGCATAATCGACCAATTTTTCTCATAAGGATCTCTTTATAGAAATAAGCTTCTTATAATGCAATTTAATTAACATAGTGTACCTACCTACTGAACCAAAACTTGAAGCATTGGGCACTATGTAGACATTCATCACCAAACGACATGCATTTATATGGAAATGATAGGCTTCCTCACTATCCCAAAATAACAAGGATGGTTCTCGTCTTATGAATTTCTTTACCATGTCTTCGGTACGCGCCAAAATCCTAAATCCCACATAATCTTCAATCTTCCCCTGGACAACTTAAGATAGCTTGAACCACACCGGCGAAAATTCCGATGGGAAGGTTGTTGGTATTCTTTATTGCCCACCGCCACGCGAAAGCCCTTACCTGAGCTCAGCTCCTTAATCCCCATCTTCAATTGGCAATTGCCCTCTTACATACTATAGTATTTAGTAGCTATGTAAGCATTAAACATACTACCTATGAAAATACACAAGTTATCACATGCGCGTCTGCATTATGGTAGTAAAGATTATACACATCATCCCTCCTTTTACTAGGTACATAATATGTATATATGCACACCTTACCTCGAACTGAATTAGGGGTTTACCATCTGTGTATCCTGGTTATGGCAATAACAAGCAAATAGAGTGAATATATCCACAGTACATAGAACGTCTGGGGGATGTCCTGTCAATATCGTAGGTAATAAGGGTGGAGCATATTTTATGGAACGTAGACCAGGGGTAATTGTACTCGTCCCTGGATGCCAAGATAGACAGTGTTCAGAAAGGTTCTCTCTTGGGTTTAGTTCAACTGTGTGTAGGCGAATTACTGTACTATACATGAGGCTTTGTTTGTGTCAACGTGATATAACGTGATATATGAGAGGAGCAAAAGGAACCAACTTCCGAACGAAAATAATTCAACTATATACCTATAAGTACATACTGTTGTTATATACACATATACCTAGGTAAATACATGACAAGGGAACTCCTAGGTAATGAAAGATATGGATGCATATGGGAATAAACAATTGAAGCAAGAAAATGTATGCTCTTTTCTGAAAATGGTAGTGACTAACAGCAAAAGAAGTTAGCTCAAATTAAATTAGTATATTCGATATTAGCATTGTAATAGTATCACGCGTTGCACGTACATGTGCTTAGGTACATATATGTGTGTACTAGGAAGCCTACCATGCACTTAGGTCCCTTGGATTAACTGTAGCCCTACTGCTAGGTACCTAATCACTATGCGGCAGTTTCATTAGGCCGTACACGACTAACAGGGTTCTAGGGAGACGAAAGGAAAGAAAAAAAGGAGGGAAAAAATTAAACTTGTTTGGTATCAAACATATTTAAGCAAGTGATTCACTCACTTCCGTACTAGTATTAAAATAGACTTTGCAAGTAAAATTTAATTAAATCATATGTTCTGCTAGCTATTACTTAAGAGCTCTTACTTACATAGTAAAGATCGAATAATTGAATAAATTTAATTGTTACGCGTTACATAGGTATGTATGTACCTAGGTAGGTATGATAGTACTAGGTACTAACAAGGTACTAGGTTCAAGGCGATAATTGAGGGGCGTGCATCAGTTGAATGTACTTTGTACTGGGTACGTATCTTTTTTTTAGTAAAGCTACGTGGTCCCTGCTCCCGTTCCTTACCTTCAACTGTTCCTTACCAACGCGCATGCACCAATCCACATACCCACCTGTACCTTCCACGCTCTGTCCACCGCCTAAACTTGAACCTTGGTGCAAATACATACGTACAGTGCATACTTGCGAAAAGGTACCCTAGTACATTCTCCTACTGCGAGCTTACCTAAATACCACCTTCAATTTGGTCATCTCATTCACTTCCAATATTTTTTCCTTCCTCGCCGTCACACATTCTTTTCTTAATTCCTTCGTCAACCCTTCTTTTTAAACCCGAGACTAGGACCAGGACCAAGACCAAGCGACTCGGGCTTTGATCACTATCTGTGACGTCGCCTTCTCTACATACATATACTTCCGTCTCACGACATCCTCCGAGTTGATCAGTGGTCAGGTAATTCGTCGAGGTATCTTTCGAGGTATGTTAGGATCACAAGCTGCCCCCGTTCCAGTTCCTTTAGCCTCTGCCAGTTCTAGATCCACATACCCGTTTTCTTTTTACAGTTGCGCTATCTATTATCTATCGCTCGGTTTGCACGACGTCCTGTTGCTGCTCTGCCGCCCTGGGATCCGGGCGTCTTTTCACGCCTCTGTCACGCGTCGCATTGCACTCCAGGACTAGATGCCTTGATATAGACGTCGCTCCTCTGTCAGTTGAGGACGATCATTGTATCGCAAGAGTTCGGTGCTACTCACTTCCATGATAGATGTCTTTAAGCTATCCGTGCCGATACTACATCCTTGAATCCCTTGTCTGCTACGAGCATCACATAGCTAGCTAGCTTTGCTTCCTACCTCGCCATTATTTACTGTATCTTTTCGCTTGCGTTGAAAAGTGTGCTGACTCGACCATGTTTGCTTTTAGGTCTACAGATATAACATCCGAACGATTGCGCGGATCTGCGACTTGATAATTATTGGACTCGGAGAGTTTACGATATTTTGACTTCGAAAGTTCCCATCATCAACCGTCGACAAAGACATCCTGGTAAAGAAATCACGAAAGGTGCCATATTATTCCGCCGCCTTCCTAAACCCCGATAAAGAAGAGACTCGCGCGCATCGAAATACTCGACCGTAAAAGGCAGTACCAAACTGGGCGCAAACCAACCTACGAGTGCCTAGAAGCCAAAGATTACGCAGCGACGAATTGGCTACGGTCCATAGTTGACGCGTGCCAAGTCAAAATACTCGAGGTCAACCAGTATTGGGGCCCACGATTTTGCCGCCGTTTGTCTGCCCACCCCTAGGACATTAGGACATATTGTATAGATTGCATACAATAAGAACTCGCATTATTGCAAACTGAATTACCGGATATCGAATTTGACCTTGCGGTGTCTAAATAAAATCCTTACACAGGCCGCGCAAGACGGCATTTACACGGTTCCCTATCCAAAATAGGTGGCGCAGTCGATGTCGGCCAGTCCACTAGAACCATATTACCTTGGTCGTGTAATCATGTCTAAGTCACCATCTTCGGAAGTGATGAATATCACGAATATCATGGATAAGAAGACTGCGGCAGCGGCAGCGGCAGCGGCTGCCGCCGCTTCTGGCCCTTCTCCCGACCACCAACTTCTTCCCCATCCGCATCTTCCTACCGCAATGGACCGATCCAATTCACCCCACGGCTCAGAGAGCTCCTATCACTCGGGGCATCGTATGGGACAGCCATTAGATGCTCTAAATGGCATGGGAAATGGACGACCCTACGGTTCCCCATCTGCCATGCAGACTGCGATGCCATTGCCTGATCCAAACATGGCCCCCAACAATATGACGCATGGGATGATGATTCCTAGCATGGCCCCAGTTGGTCATGGACTGTCTATGCCCTACAATAAACCCCCTGAAATGGCCCAACAGCCCCAGCCTCCGCCAAAGGCTTTCCCTTGCAGCACATGCACCAAGGCCTTTGCCCGGCGAAGTGATCTAGCTCGACATGGTGAGTTGATTTTCTTTGAACATGGGGTTCTGCCATGCTAATCATGCTTCTAGAACGAATTCACAGTGGAATCCGACCACACGTTTGTGACTTCGCAGGCTGTGGAAAGCAGTTTATTCAGCGATCAGCTCTCACTGTGCACCAGCGCGTACATACTGGCGAAAAGCCACATATGTGTGAACGATGCGGCAAGGTAAACCAATCATATATTCAGATTCGGGATAGTGTGCTAATTTTGTCTCTAGCCATTCAGCGATAGTAGTTCATTGGCCCGACATCGACGCATTCACTCAGGCAAACGACCCTACAAATGCCCTTATGCGAACTGCCAGAAGACGTTCACCCGAAGAACGACATTAACTAGGCATCAAAATAACCATACAGAAACTGTTGAGGAGGCTGCTGCTGCTACAGCTACAGTCCTGGCAGCCCGGGCTAGTGCAACTGCCGCAAATGCAGGTCACAGTGATGGCGACCCAAGATCCAACCACGGATCTCCATTGAATACGCCGTCCCCAGCTCAAAGACAGATGTCTATCTCACCCAACGCTGAGCTCGCGGCGGCCAACGCGATGCGAAACAGCGATTATTCGTATGTAAATAACGGTTCGCTCCCGGTTCACATGCGCACAGACATGCAGTCCCAGAGCCCTACATCAGCCCCCGCATACACAACCGGCATGCGACCTACGTCGCACCCTGCAGTCTATCCACCACCGCCAACATTAGAGCCCAGCATTGAATCCCACCAGTCAGCCACTGGGAGTACCGGTGGAAGTCCTCATATGGGTAGCGTGGGATGGCAGTCACCGTCGCACATGGCTTCGCCCACGCATAGCAACAGTGGTAACAGCTATGTATATCCCGATCCCGATCAATCGTTCCTCGGAAGCAACAATATGGGCCAGATGTATTACAATGCTGGCACACAGATCCGGCGACCCACGAGTACGGAGCCAGGCTCAGCCACTTATGACGTCAAGCCACGTCCGAACGAGTTGTGGGCTGGTCAGTAGGATGGCACCCACGATGGATCGGGCTGGGCTGGGGGGGAGGCTGGGTTTGAGCATCAGCATCAGCACCCATACCAATATCAACCTCCCCAGCAACAACAATACCCAAATCTCCCTCCACAATAGATTTCTTTTGTCGCTTGCATGGTTTCATTTGTGAAACTCAATACCCAAAGGCACGGCATGGCGTGATTTTTCGAGACAATCGATTGAGAGGGACTATCAACTGGCGTTTATTTTTCATTTTATTTATTTACCCTTTCCCCCCTAAAATACATTCGACAGGACCTAGTCCAATAAACTGGACTGTCTCGGGGGCGGTTTTACTCAGCTCAGTCTATCGGGGGGCAAAAGCCTCGAATAATCTGGCGACAACAAAAACAAGTCAGTATGCCGGTGGAAATCTTATAATATAGAGGAAAGGAGCCTGGACTTGTTACCCAATGGATGTATTGGGGTGGGACTGGGATGGCCATTTGAACTTTGTTTCTTCCTCCGATTTCGACATAGACTGGTTAGGCTCAGTCGCCATTACGATACTACGCATGGTCGGTGTAGGAGGGGAGGGAATACGGTTAACCTGGCACGGTGGAACGGAAAAAAAGGCGATTCAGGGACGCACGAACTAGCTGGCTCTCCTACTATGCAGAGGAGAGCAAAGACAGGATATGAATTCGCGCGGTGGAAATTTCTATTACAAGGAGCATGAGATGCATATTTCCCAGAGTGCAACTTCAGAAGATCGATTGCGGATACTGAGCAATCCAGAATGAATGAATGGCAGGGAATCTTGATATTTCGGCAGTTGTCTCTGGACTACTTTGTATCTGGATTATCTGCAGTTGCTTCTTTGACATGTGTTACTGATCAGACACTACTCGTTTGTATCATGCATGATCTAAGGCACCTCATCAATAACGTATGTGTTTATGCGTCTAATGTGTGTGTGCGTGTGTGTATGTGTGTGTGTGTGTGTGTGTGTGTGTGTGTATGTATGTGTGTATTTGTATGGTTTAAAGTCTTGGGGCTTGAGAGACTTGAGGTCGATCATTGTACACAAATACTTCAAATGCTCCAGGGTTAAGTGAAGTTAGTGAACCAAGACTAAAGAAAGTGAACTTTGCAAGTCTTAAGGTGGTGCATGCATGTGATCACTGGGCATACAAGAAACCCAATCTGCTGTATAATGTAATGCTGCTACTGTAGCTACTATTTAAGTTACTAAAAGGTTAGGTAGGTGCATAGGGCCATATGTAGGTATGCACAATACTATTCGTAGTTTATACGATCGAGGAAATACTAAACATGAACTTACCTCTACCTACTCTAATAATTGATCTTGTTTTATTACAACAACTTACACCCACCCACCACCTACACCCTATCTTCTTATTCATTGCCTAAACTTGGCTCCTCCGCGCTAAAAAAAGGAAAAAAAGGAAAAGACAAGACAAAAAAATCATTGCGGGCGGTCCTAGATGGAGGGTTCTTAATGTTGGCCGCGCCGCATTTCGGCTGCAGGCGCATATTATATTATATGTAGGTGAGTATTGATGTTTAGTGATCCATCTCTCATACGATTCCGACGGCACAAGTCCCCTACCTAATACGGTAGTACTTGACCTAGTAGGTGGCCTTCCCTTCCAACTCTAGGTACCTTGGCGGCAACGGCTCGCGTAGATAGCTCGCAATGGTATGTAAGTAAGGCAAGTTGGTTGATCCCGGAGATTTTTTGATTTGTGATCATACCCGCGCGAAACCTGGGCAAACAGAGGAACAACGCACGGATTGCTCTTTTGAACCGTTGGAAAACGCTACTGGCTGGAAAAACTTTCCCAGTTGAGACGCATTCTGTGACCTGTTATTTTTTTTATGATATTTTTTTCCTATTCTCTTTCTTTCTTGGGATTTTTTTTTCTTGATCATATAATCATTTAATCATCTTGACCGTCAATTCTGTTGGGTTGGGCTACGCCTCGCCTAGGTACTTAAGATGTCGCACTTTCGTACCGGTTTATTCTTTTGCCATCATCTGGCTTGGGATACCTGGTAGACTTAAACCAGGAGATCGCTCGAATTAACTTTTTTGAAATCGACTTAATTCTTTTCGAGTTATTTGTTTTGGGGTTGTTGACTATTCGTCGATTGTATTGGGATTTTACGGGGTATAAGCCAGGACGCCCTCCTTCAATTCTTAAGTCTACGACGTCTGTTCAGGGGTATCATATCTCACCCCCTACGCCGGCTTCCCATGTTATAACATCCTCAGCCTGGTTGATGAATACATTAGTTCTGGATTTCAACGGAAGACTATTCATCATAGCCAAGCTTCTATCAAGGGGACGGATCACGACTACCTAGGCCCATCTATAACTCTTCTAGGAGTTTCTGTTTTTGCCTAGGGTCGTTACGATTCAGACGCACACGCTATGACGAGCATACGAGATTTGCTGAGACCAGCGGACAATGAAACTTCTACTGGGAAAAGAGCGAGAGATGCAGATGCAGATACAGATGCTATGGATATTGGCGCAACGGCCGAGACTACACACTTTACTATCGAGTTTATTCTAGACATCATCTGTCCATATTGTTATATTGCGCTGAAGAACCTGGATGCCGCGATCGAGATCTACACAGCCCGACACCCAGAGGCGACCTTTGAGATAACCTGTTCTCCGTTTTTGCTTGATCCCATTGCGGCTCGAAGTGGTGAGTTCTACCTTTTCCACGCTCCGCGTCCTCGAGGTGGCACTAGCGCCCGCGCATTCCTGTATTCCTTAGAAGTTGCCTAGACAGCACGTTAGACGTCGTCTTGGAGATGCGTAAATCAACTCAGGTAAACAGGGGCTTGTAATGATCACGTTAGGTAGCTTGGAACATCAAAACGAGAAAGTGGAGAGAGCATTGTAGAAGAGTAAAACACGGCAGGCGCCTCGCCAGCTTGCTGAATAACTGACTAACCCACATTCTGTCCTAGCATACGAGAAGTCCACCTATCTCAACGCACGAACACACAGCCCCGAGCATTGGGCGCGCCTGGGAGAACCGGTAGGCATCAACTTCAGCTGGGAGGGGTTAACAGGAAGTACTCGTGACGCACACAAGCTACTGCGTTTCGCGCTCGAGAGCACACCCACAACAGCCCGAAGCACGGCCTTCACCTCTACACCGAGCCGTTCCGCCCAAGGGTCCCCCTCGTCGGTCAGCACCCGCGCCTCCAAGTCTCCGCGTCCGTCTCCATCTCCGTCTCCCTCCTTCACCACCACTACTCCCCCCTCGGAAACATATCGCCGAGGCCCAGCCCTCCAGCTCCAGCTCCTCCGCGCCCTCCTCCGCGCCCACCACGAGCAGGATGGCGACATATCCTCGCGGTCCTTCCTCACCCGCACCTGCGCCTCCGCTACCGGCTTTTCCCGCTCATCCATTACCGCCGTCCTCGCGAGCGAGAAGTGGGGCCGCGCTGTCGACAAGCTGTGCGCGGCCGTCATGAGCCGCCGTGACGTCGGCGTCCGCGCCGTTCCGACCCTTGTCGTGAATGGGCGGTATATTATTGGCGGGGCGCAGAGCGCCGATTTCTTAGCCCGAGAGTTGGAGAGGATTGGACGAGGGGGGCGATAGCATGCATACATGCTTGATAGATGGGCAACGTACCTGCTATCCTGGTACGTGAAATGTAAAGATTGAAGGAAGGCACATAACGAAACCTGGATTGCTTTTTAAAGCGTGTATAGGTATGAATGGACGATATCTGGTCTGCTTGCTGACCATAGATAAAAGGGGTATTACTTTCCAGTTATATGAAATATAAAAAGTATTACTGCTTATTGGTCTTTTTGGTGATCTTCGATACATGCCCAACCTAGGTTGGTGCATAATAGGTTCCTATCAATAGGCCATATCTAATATCTCTTAAAAATTGTGGTAATTTTAGACTTGATGCCAGGTGAGGATGCTGCCCTCCTTTCCCCCCCTTTTTCTTTTCTTTTTCTTTTTTTCCTTTTGCTGGAGCTGTAAATGCGGATCTTTCTTCTTCCTTTACACGAGTAAAAATACCGATAGGCATAAGCATAAGTATAAGCATAGGTAGGTACCTATGGTTGACTAACCGGCATCGAAGCACACGCTGGAGCCTACCTAGGCATATATATATACCTACCTACCTACCTACCTACCTACCTACCTTGCTTTTGAAGCTGTGCCTTTATCCCCATGTAGAAACGAACACGACCAGGAAGAAAACAAAATGGGGGGAAAAGAAAGAAAGAAAAGGGGAGAGAAGTTAGGTAGGTTACCTAGGTACCTAGCAAAGCCACAGAAAAAGAGGGAAAAAGTTAAGGCACCTTTTATTCATAGAGTACTATTACCTAGTAGAACTTTGCAGAGAGCTAGCTGTCCGTCGAATTCTTCGCCAACTATACTATACCTCCTATTACAATGCCTGCCAGCCTGCTCCCCCTTTTTATGAAAAAAAAAGGAAAAAAGAACGCCCACTTCGCATGCCAAACCATCCCCCTTTTCGAGGAGATTCCGACTTATGTAGGACGAACTTCTCTCAACAAAACATAAGTAAGGGGGGCAGGAGTCAGCACACAAAAAATTTTCCAGCTTATTTAGCCATTTCATTTCCCTTTAATTTCAATTACCTAAGTAGGTTAGGTACCTATTTTGCCAGAAACTCCTGGGTGTATCAAACCGTAAAACGCCACCAATGAATAAATGCTATGCCGTCCTTCCCTTACCCTTTCCCCTCCCTTTTTCTGATCTTCTCTGGTTTAGGGGAACCAATGCCAAATTTTTCGATTCACTCCTTGCTTGCTTGCTCGATTATCAACCACCCCATTGCTTATAATAACAAAAAATGCAAATGCCCTGACACTATTCATGACACTTGACGGACTCGAATTCTCTTCTTAGCGCTTGTGCTGCTCGAATATGTTGCGCATGTGCTCGTTCTCGAACTTCCTCTGGGGACGCGCGCCCTTCTTTCTCTTAGAGGGCTGTTTCTGGGCCATGTGATCTGGGTTCTTCGGCTCGCTGGTAGCCTTCTGGCCGAGGGCGTTAAGCATCTTGGGCATGTCGTCGGCGGAGGGCAGCTTCTCCTGGAACCACATGACCTGGAACTCGGTGTCGACTTCGTGGTGCAACTCGGGCCGGTCGAGCCAGACGTAGCGCGGGTGGTTATCCTTCTTAGTGCGGACCGCCAGGATCTTGTGCTCCTTCTCCAGTTGGTCGATCGCCATGTCGCAGTTGGGCCAGCCGTCTTTGATGTCCTTAACGAGAGTGCATGAAGCGTCCTTCTTTTGCTGTAAGTACTCGAGTAGCTTGAGCTTATTGGTCACGCCGGGGAGTTTGGCTTTGTACTGGTAAGTGCCGGTGCGCCAGGTAGGGATTTGCTGGTCGGCATTCGCCTTCGACTTGAGAGCTGGAATAAATTGAATGCGCGAATGACGTTGCATAACTTCCATGAAGGCTCTTTGCTGGCTCTCGGGAATGTGCTGAAGGGTAAGGTGATCTATGACCTCCTGGAAGGTCTTGGGAGTGCCCTTCGTCTTAAGGAATTCGACCGCGTATGTCATCTGTGTCGCCATGTGAGCGCCGAAGTCCTGCGACGCAGCGGCAGCGGCAGCAGCAGCCGGGGTCGGTATCAGGTTATTTTCTTTGGCATTAGCGATTCCATCGCGCTTTTGACGTTTGGAGGCAGGGCCATCGGTCTTGGTCGTGCTCGTGACCGCTGGAGAGGTGGCCGAGTCGGGCGCGGCTCGCTTTGAGCCATTTGCTGGTTTAGAAGGAGACATGATGATGGAATGATACAGTGCTTTCTTGGGTTGATAATATGGCGATATAAGAAAAGATGGATGATTCTTTTCTTAAAGGAAGGGTGATGAAAGAATAAAAGCTTGAAGAGCAAAGAATGGAAAATGCGGCTGAGTGGATGTCAATCAATTGTTCAAAGTTAGGTAAGGAAATTCCAGGATCAGTTTAGTTTCAAAGAAGCTTGAGTTCAAATTGTGTGGGGATGCAGAGCTAAAAGATGTACTGTGTACCTAGGTATGTATCGAAGTACCTGCACAGTGGTAACTTCAATGTCGAAGCTCTAGATAAGCTGATAAGGCACGTACCTACGCCGTAGTTTAAGTTATCTGTTCTCTAAAGTTACACGTGGCTTAGAAGATCATAATGTGGGTCTTGGATGAGGAATTGCTGTGTGCATCTTGGATAAGTGTTGAACCCGGCTGAGATTTTGATGAGACAATTTAAACTATTGAACTTTATTTCTTTACGTAACTGGGAAACATTGAGTCCTGGGAATTGGGAATTGGGAATTGGGAATTGGCCTCTACAACAACATTTGAACTTTATTGTTGTTTAATCTTTATTCCGGACGAATGAGATATGCGCTTCTCTCTTCGATGTAACTCCGAGCACCAATTCCGACAGTTTGGGAGCAGATCCTAGCCTAGGTAGGTATTGACTACTTCAAGCAGGTAGTGAACATGTCACAATCAACTTGTAGTGATGAATCCTCGTAAATCTTGTGATTGAATGAATCTTTGTTGAATTGGTCGCTGGAGAAATATTTGGTATTTTAAGGACTTCAATGTTATGAACACGTATGTATGTACATAAGTAGGTAGATTTGCCTGCATAGTTAGTATTTACAAGAACATCAGAAGCATAGGTGGATTCAGTACAGATTGCAATTGTTGATGGTGGAAATTGTTGAATTCATCTAGCTCCGAAACAGGATCGCCGTGTCTTTGCCGCATTAAATCGTCGACATTGGAAAACGTTTGCCTGCCTGCCTGTCCCTAAGTGACCGCTATCCTCATCCGTCAACCAACTCCGCCAACTAAATGGTGGCACTCTCACTAGAGATTTGGTATCAATAAACCAAATGGTCTAGTTAATGATGCGGCAATGGGAAATATGTGTGAAAAACCAAACGACCTGGTCTATTAAGGAATCGATAATAAACACACCAGGAAGGTATCGATTATCCCATCCTATGAATTGTCCCGTACACTCCGAGGCCCCCTTGTGAATGACTCCCCTCCCAAAAGAATCCGTGGATGCGCATTACCTAAGCCTCAGTGCTGGCCTGTTGGGCCTGTAGGTATTGATAGACGCCGAACGCGAGTAGGCCTCCAACGAAGACGACAGCGTATAGCGCAGTTCCCATACCGGCGGAGGTGGTGTTGGCATCAGGCGCGAGGGAAGACTGTTGAGCCTTAGGGTGCGGGTCGCCGGCCTGTTTCGAAAATTTGTCAGTTTATTTCACCAAGTCACTAAAAAGGGGAGTGTCAATTGACCTTGCGCTTGAGGGTACCGACGAGGAGTTGCTCAAGGGTTTCCCGGGCTTCATCACTGTGTCCGACATCTTCAAAAGCTTCCGTTGCATCCTGACCACCGACGTCTAACATGACTTCCTCGCCACCACTAAGTGAACAAAACTATGTCAGCAAACATTCTCTCGAGAGCAAGTGATAGGGAGGCAGCGACCGGATAGCTGGGGTAAAGAGTCCAGGAATATAAAGAGTCTAGTATATAGATGCACTTACGGATGTTCATCAACGAATTTTGTGGCATCGTAAACCTTATCGTGGATAACTACGAAGAGATCCTTCTTGGTGTTGTGTTCGGCAACATCCTGAAATGTGAATTCCTTGTCGGCCATTTTGACTTAATCGTTTTATTTTTCTGTCTAAAAGTCAATCTATCGATATCAATCGCTTGCTTGATTTGACGGGAATGATAATGCGACTATTAAATCAAGACGAGAAAGGATGCACAAGCGGCACGGAGATCGGAAGTTGTTGTTGAGGAGGGAACAAGAAGAAGGGTTGGGGGAAAGAAGGATAAAAAGAACGAACAGAACAACTTGAGCTTGTGAATTAAATTATTAGTGACATGGATTAGCCTTCACTTCATTACGTTCGAATATCTTCCCAGGTTCCCCCTAGGCTCTAGCAGCCCTGGAGCCTAGAAATTTTAGAAGCTAGCGGTCTGCGGAGCCAGCGGCATCCCTAATCCTGACACATTCACCCAATCAGAGTCATTGTAATTCATTTATCATATCTTTGTGGGGATGGCGTGTTAGCTCATGTCAGTCGGTCGGATTTTTCTATACATATGTACTGGGAAATCCTAGGAAATCCTACATAGAGGGTAGGCACATAGTGCTGTAGGTGCGACATGCGTGCGAACTTGTGCATAGTACTATGTAAGTATGTGAGGAAAGGCCACCTCGGCTGGTCGGTAATGTACTGTACTTCTCCAAGAGCCCAAGCCGGGATGCTAGGTCGGACACTTACTCGGCATGGAAGAGCATAGAACTTCAATATTGAATGAAGCCTTAGAAGAGCATAACTTTTTTTATGTACATGATAACCCCATTATCATTATCATTATTTAGACTTTTTGGTAAGATCGATCTCGAGCAACTGCTTCATTACCTACATACACAGTGTATCAATTGATCTCTTAACTTTTTAATAGTTTAGTTATCGATCTTAGATTTAATGTTTTAGTGCATCTAGCGTGTACAACGTGCACATTATTGACCCTCTTTCCCCTCCCGCAATACATCTCTCTACCTTGGTTATTTCTTTAGGTAGCTTCTTTCTTTACCTTCGAATGCATTCCGACGGAGTTGCGAGAAAACTCCAAGAAACCCCCTTGTTGAAGATCCGAAGAAGGATTGGCCAATCAGGGATGTCTGATAAAATCCGGCAACTTGATATGTTATAATCAATTGCCTGCACCGCACTCCGTCGGATCCCGAACAGTGGCTTATATCAGATCCGTGTCGTCGCTCCCGATGCCTATCTATTGATAGCTAACGAGGATGGGTAGCCGATATTGAGTTCGGAGATGATCCTTCGTTCATCACAAAATTGTATGCGTCTATTTTTCTGTTAAGTTGAATGTGCCACGGATTTGGGCTATACTTGTTGTGACGAGAAGCTGTCTGCGGATGGCACGGGATGGCACGGTAGATATAGTTCGGATTATGGTGATGAAAACGGTACTTTGGACTTGTCATCGGACCTAGCAAGATCCTAATTCGTGGAATCTAGATGATAAACAGGAACGAATACGAAGAGCGGGGCTTTGCTAACGAGACCGCGGGCCGGGCGCGGGAGATCGACTACACAAGGTGGAAGAATTCCGCTTTACCTCCACTCTTCTTCCATTGCTCGACTGCTTCCCCGGTCATCAAACCCGGAACATAACACTCCCCGATGAACAAATACCTGGCCTGGCTAACTTGTCGCACCACATATGGTACCTTCCCGCCAAACAGGATAACTACCATATCGCCTTTTTTCATTGTTTCAGGGCCTATGCCCATCAGGTTTTCAGTCGTGACAAAGAACCGTCTATGTAAGCAAACACGCGCGAAGGTTTCGTGAAACCGACCCGAATCTGAAGAATTCCACATGGTCGTCCAATTACTCCTTTTTGGAGCTATCCCTGAAGTTGGAATCTGGTCGTTGAATTCCTGCTTTAACCACCATGCTGCATCGTCGAGGAAGCTAGGGTCTTCATGAACTGGCCGCTTTATATCACTAAAGCCTCCTGTAAGTGTGGAGATAAATGTTCGTGGTATGTTTTCACTCCGGTACATCCGTAAACTCTCATTTGCAATCTCTGGGCTATCTTGTTTTCTGACCCAGTCGGCAACCAATTTCCAGGATGATCTAATAAAATCATGCTCTTCCTTGTAAGTAGTGTGGCGGAACCCATAACTGAAGAGTTTGTCGCCATATGCTCGTATAACGCCGGAAGGGACCTTGATCCCCTTGACAGAGAGACATTTCGGATCTAAAGAGCCTCCTATTGTTAGGTACTCATTGTTATCGGCATTATAAGGCGAGTCGTCGTGATCGTTATTGATCAGTTCAGCGGATGCTTTGTCTTGACTCCAGTCTGGCACCCACGATGCGCAGACCGATTTCACGCCCTCGAAGCCGCCAGCGTGGGATAGTACGGCAAGATTTCCGTGGTCTATCACAAGGAAGCGTGCTAAGTTCTGATACACCTCCTCAAATGGTTTGTCGTATGTCGGTTCGATTAACGGATCTAACCTTTTTGTATTCGCAGTCTCTTCCGCCAAATTATAAGCTGCATATACCTTATCTACCTCCAGCGTTGCTTTTCGTCCGCGGAGTTCTCGTAACATCTGGAGCAGTGGACGTCTCTTTCCCAGCGTGGTGCATAACTCCCACATTGTAGCAGCTCTGGAGACTGGCAGAAGGTCTTTCATATCCCCTATAAATTTTACGACGGTGGGTAAGGCAAAGCCATGCCCTTTGAACCATGCTGCAGCTATCCCTACCGCTGCCCACTCAATGTGCCAGTCTCCCAATATGACTACCGCACGCTGGGCCAAAACCACTTCCTGTATGACCCAGATGTGCTGGAACCACATCTTGGTGAAGAACCAGCGGATAATCTTCCATTCCTCGAAGGACGCATCCGGAAATCCATGCACTCGGTTTCGGTAGACTGTGTCCGTAGCAGATCTTCCTGCGGTCCAATAGTCATCGCCAGCTTCAACGTTCCGTAGCGCTTGCGCGATGAACGTGAGAACAATCGGCATTCTTCCATACTGGTCAAAATGAAAACTGGATTTCCGTATAACCAACGGAGTATTGGTCTCTTGTACTATCCTTAGTCTTGTGGAACTAACTGAATAGGAGTCATTCGCTTCGCCCAACCAAATCTTAACAACTCCTGCATTTGCGAAGATTTTTTGCGTCAGCTTGACTTGATTGCCCTTTTCAACTTTGTTGTTCTGGTTGATACAGATCGCTTTGATCCAGAGGGCCCGCCGCTGCTGGGAGCTAGAGCGATTCTGCTCCTCCCGGCGGTTTGTGGCGAAGTTCTTCCATACATTGCGACTTGAATGGAGAGGGTGATCCGTACGCCATGTGAGAACCGAGGTCCACGGCGGTAGTGGCCTGAGATATTTCATTGCCTCTATCAGGTTCTTGGTCACGGCCATCCTCTGCCCATTGCACATAATCGGCTCATCGGATAACTCGGTGCCCCAAATACCAGATACAGCGTCGTATACTTGCGCATTGGTTATGTCATCCACGATATCGAGGCTACACTTAATTGTTTCCGACGGAAAGCCTGGCACAATCGACAATAGTCGTATGGAGTTTGGTCCCAACGGCTCGTAGACATATTGGCTTGACATATTTTCGCATACTACAAGCCGCTTAACGTATACCGTATACGCAAGATAGTAAATAATAACTATACTCGATGGTAACTACCTTCGTAGTTTATGTGGTACAGCTATGAGGTCCATCAATTGGGCTTCTGACTTGAGTCTCAACTTTCCAAGGACCCCTGCTCATTGGAACGGAAGCAGCCGCAGGATGCGTTCCCCTGGCGATTATGCCATGTTTTATAGGCTGAAGAAATAATATTCAGCCCGTACTAATGTATACGACAGAGGCCCGTTCCATTTCGGGCGTCAAGGCGGCGCTTATGGTATTTGAATGTCTCAGAATGGCCTTGTTGACTTTTGCCCTATATCGATTTTCGTGCTTAAATATCCTGACCTGGAATCCAGCTTTGGGTTCGAAATGATGCGGTAGTCTCCTACGCAGACTGGCATTCTTATACCTAATATGAATATATTTTCGAAAATCCGCAACGATCTTGCATTGCGCAATGCATGTAAGTCCCCCTCATAATCTTTAGACTTGCATTTGGAAACTTCATACTCAACGAGGCTTTCAGCAATCTACGCACAGTGGTAAGTCTTCATGCGACAAGAAAGCATCAATATCTGCCTGGTCCTGTGGCTCAACTCATCATCTTACCTACCTAGGTTCGGCGTCCTCTCGGCTATTGCCTTCATAGTGACAAGAGTCGTCTGGCTCATCACGTCTGGCTTTCCTATTGAGCTAGCCACCTTAGTTAAGATCGCGGACATGATGTGCGTATAGAATGTCGCTACACTCTTCTACTTACCTAACCCCAATGCTAAGAGTTTGTTTCTTTTTGGCCCAGTATCTTCCCGGTGATGGTACTCTCAGTAGAACTGATCGCTGTATTCCGCGGGCGGTGGGGCTTCTACTTGGGTAGTTCTTGGTGCACCATACGCGTTATCCTCGACTTCGTATTCCACACCCTCGAGGTCGCAAACAAAACCCCCGCTTCGCCGGAAATCTATGCCTATCTCTCCTTTGCCGCTTCCATCGTCGTGGAAATCGGGACTCTACACCTACTCATCTTCCTAGCCCGCGTGCGGACCTTCGACTCCGTCTGCACACGCTCCTGGCTGTACCTAGCGTACACGGCGGCGCTCATCTGCGGCGCCCGGGGCCGCCCCTTCGGCCCGGCGTACCACCTGTCCTGGCCCGAGCTGCAGCGTGCATTGTCATCAGCCCAACGCGGTCCCCAGTTCTTGGCGTGGATTCTGCAGCGGCTGCTCCAGCCGCCGGAGGTGTTGTCCACCCTGGCCTTTTTGTCGTACTGGGTCGCCGCGTTGGTCGGCCACGAGCATGCGTTTAGTCGGACGCTGGGGGGGCCGGGAGTCGAGCGTTTGACGTTTTGGCAGTTTGGACAGGGGCCAAGGGTGGACTCTATGAGTCGGGACGAAGGACGGATCAGGCTACCTTGATCCATCTTCGCCGCAATTGTGGTTGCATTTACGCATAGCGATATTTTGGACGATATTTTGGATATCTAACTTTCGCCGATATGAAAAAGACGATTTTTTTTTTGGTTTAGACAAATTTTGGAATACGATGGATGAGAAGCGGGCCGTTTAAAACTTTATATAACTACATGCACGTGGGAAATCGATATCGAGCTTGTATGTCGTTGGAGGTGACGCAAGGGATGCGCTGTGTAACTCAGCCGCCAACAGTCTCGGGACCATACCATATCATAGAACGATAAGCTTGAATCGTTGGTATGTTTTATTAGTACCTACGTGACGACCTAGGAACATTTATATAATATGTATATAGAGAGTTCTGAAAAACAAACTCTTCATTCGTTTTTTTCATCACCATCACCACCGGACATCCTCTAGGCTAGAATATCATATGTATGAAGGCTTGCCAATTCTAGCACCCCCTCTCAAAAGCAACATCTAATAAATGACCTCCTTGCCTCCTCCCCTTTTTTTATCCCCCCTCTAAAACTAAGCACCAGCTTATCTCCTCGAGCCGCCAATGTCCTGTCCCACGCGGTAACTCGCGACCTTGTCCCACTCGATCTTTTGCCGCGTGACGGGCAGTTGTCGGCGTAGGCCCTTGAAGGCGCCCTCGCTGAGACTCGTAAACCCCCGGTTCAGCTCCTCCTGGTACTTCTTCTCGGCGGCGGAGATGTCCTTGGAGATGCCGGCGCCGGTGCCGGAGGATGAGGACGTGGAGACGGGCTTGTTGGTGAGGAGGCGCACGTTGCCATCTTCGTAGTAGTGCACGTCAACCCTGATGCTGCCCGTAAGGTGGCTCGAAGCGGGGTCGTAAATGTAGAGGGAACGCCAACGGCCGTTCCTAGAATTCAAAGTTAGTGGTCATCATGATACCCCCTTAATAAAAAAGGAGGGGTAAAAAAGAAAAGGGGTGATTTGCTGTGTTGCCTTACCAGAAGTTGTTAGGACTATACTTGTTGGCGACGATGATGATGGCTATCTTGGTGTCGTTCTCGATGGGATACGCGCCGTACGAGGCATTTGGGAAATGCTCCTTGACGTATGCGGATAAGCTTTTCAGCGTAGATTTCCTATACACACACATATATGTGACCAATCAGCCTGACCATCTCCATAGACGAGTAACCTCTTTCTCTCTCTTTCTTTCGCCCCCTCTCTTTACAGTATTAGGTGAGTAAACAACATACACCAACTCGGCCTGGGGTCCTTCTAGCACGTGGCTTTGCACGTTACTCGCTTTTAGGGTGGTGTGGTCGAAATCGAAGCTGGAGGAACTTTCGACGTCGTAGTAGCGACCGTTGCCGAGAGAGCTGTGCTCGCTGATAACGACCTGCTGGGCACTCCCGGGCAGCTTCGCGGTGACGAACTGGTCCTCGTTGTAGCGCTCGAAGGCGGGGCCTAGCTGGGAGACGAGCTCGGGCTCGTTGATGGTGAGGGCTTTGATGTCGTTGATCACGTCGGCAAGCTAGCGGTGTATTGCCTGTAAGTCAGTCGGGGTTCTTTGTGTTGGAGCAGTGGAGATTTGAAGACGATGAAAAGAAATAGGTAGGTGAAGATGGGACAATGATTAGGTATGTGATATGTGACCTACCTCGCCTGGCGGTGCGCCTTCTACGAAGGACTCCACCGTTTCTAGAGACGCCATGTTTGTTCGATTTTGGTAGGACGGTAGTGAGACTTCGGAATGATATAATAGGTAGGTACCTATGCAAGTAGGCTATAAGACTTCAATGTTACGAGGTTGAGAAGGAAACTAAAAAGGGGGATTAGGTAACCTGGACTCTCAAGTATAGGTGTAGTTTAGAGTTAGGTATGTGTAACTTCAGCTTGAGTTGAAACGCCGGTCTTCTTACCACTTTCTGCCACTACGTAGCGCGGGGCAAGTGGATGAATCCTGGTAACAGTCTTATCGATAGTCGCTATGAAATATAAAATGGAGATGCCCGGGCAACTCTTAACAATTTGCATACAATTTACATACTATCCTTGTCAGTCAACTGCAATCAAAGAATCTCAAGAGCTTCGAAATTTAAACCTTGAAATATTTTTTCCTTTCTTTTCCTTTTACTTATCTAAAGAGGTTTCTATCAGTTAATAGGGCTCATTTATAGTTATCCTAAACTCGGCGAGCACATGCATCTTCTTATGAGCCATGCTTTTTCTGTTCATCGCTCTTTTAATCACAGCATAATTTATACCTAGCATATCGCTTTCCACCAGCAAACGACCCTCTCGTCCTCCATGTATATCATACATGTCCAATCCTCTAATATTCCAACAGTTTCTTAACCCCATCGTATATTCCTGCCATAGTTAGCAGTTTACTCTCTCATGGGTTATTCAAAGATCACTTGCGAAAAGACTTACTAGCAACATCAGGGATGTTAAACCTCTCATACAGCAATGGTGTAAAGGTACTCCAGCCTGCTATGCGCGACACTGGTGCTTCAAGACGTATGAATGTGTCAGGATCCTCCTGGATTGCTGCTGCTACTTCGGCTCCCACACCTGCGTTTACCATGGACTCGTGCACCACCATGCATCTTCCCGTCTTCCGTACACTCTTGAAGATAGTCTCCTTATCCCAAGGATATATCGTCCGCAAATCGATGAGCTCTATCGAGATTCCTAAATCTTCTTCTGCCCTTTGGATAGCTGCGTCACAAGTGTAAAGCGGCTGCCCGTACGAGATAATCGTCACATCCTTGCCTTCCTTCAGTATTTCTGCTTTAGAAAGGGGCAGCGTATATGGATTCGTTGGCACCTGTTCAACAGCTGCTCGATATAAAATCTTGGGTTCCATGAACACACATGGATCATTGCTCCGGATTGCTGCCAGCAAAAGCCCCTTGGCTTGCAATGGCGACCTTGGCATGATTACTCTCAGACCGGGGATATGAGTAAAGAGACTCTCTGGCGACTGTGAATGATATAGCGCTCCATGACCTACACCGCCGCACGGCATTCTGACCGTTAAACCGCCTACGCTTCTTCCGGTCGTACCCTCGCGATATCTATATTTGGCGGCTTCGTTTACTAATTGGTCGAACGCAGGATATACGTAATCTGCAAACTGAATCTCGGCTACCGGTCGCATGCCTTCGGCTGCTAATCCAATACCAAAACCCATGATGCCTTGTTCTGTTAAAGGTGTATTAAAGACACGAGCGCCCCCGAAATTCTCCGCCAGCTTCATCGTACAGCGGAATACTCCTCCAAAAGAAACATCTTCTCCAAACACCAAGACATTCTCGTCTTCGGCCAGTGCAGTTGACAGGGCATCATTAATTGCTTGGAACAAGTTCATACGTTTGGCTGTCCCATTCTTGGCTTCGGGTGGTAGCTCGGGATTACTGAGTGCTTGTTGCGCACCGTGTGCTAATAATGGCGTCGTCGAGTAATCAGTTGGTAAGTTGAGCTTCGCATTCGTAGGATGAGTTGAGTAGTTTTGACGTCGTAGTCGATATGAGACGGGGCGCGTGCATTTATTTAGGATATTGACAGGCGAGGATACTCTACCAAGCCGAAGAAGTGCAACGGTGTGCTTCATGACTGTATAGGTACCTGGAATCTGGGATGATTACAACTGTTACCTTTGTGAGTTCATATCTGGCAGTTGACTTGTCACGTTCTTCATTCTGAGGTTCTGGGTTCTGAGTTCTGAGTTCTGATGAAATAATAGGGATGTTAGGAGGAATCGGTCAAGTCAGCCGGGTCCTATGACGCCCTGGCCGCTCCAACTGGAAGGTGTCGCTTAGCTGCGGCAATCGATTTGGAGTTGATAACATTGAATTGGAGAGCTGCAGGGCCGACTCCATGCGACGAACCCCACTAACTATTCAGGTACGTAGGTACATACGGCCAAGCCTTTAAATTGAACATTGAAGCTTTAACGCGACCAGGGAAGAGCTTACAGGGATGCAAACTTGGAAAAGATTGGAGAAAGATAAAAGATTGTTGCCCGGTCAACAACGTACGCGCCGCCAAATGCCACCTTTCCCTGTCCAAGCCAAGTTTTCGAGAATTCATTAAGAGTCTTCCCTGACGCAATGGATATTAATTCCTGCAGATTACTGCCGTAAAGAGGCTGCATACCTATCTACATACCTACCTACCTACATATCTAAGTCATTGCCTACCAAGAAAAATTTAAGAGAAACGCCTTTATATATTCACGGATCTAGTAGATATATATATATCTTCACTGGTAGGAGCCTACTATCTATATCTACCTATGGCACACGACGACTCTGAGACCGATCATCGTCGACATAGGGATTCCGAGACACGTCATAAACGTCACAAGAAATCCAGGTCTAGGGAACATGGCGGTGGCTCAAGGGGAGCTGCACCTGGCTCAAGAGAGAGGTCGCGGGGGACATCGCGGGCCACGGGACAGAGGCTGTCGATGAATGCGCTCGCCCAATTAAATGACAATAACACACGAGGTATTGTGCCAGAGCCCGCGCAAGATCCACCCAGAGAGCGTGAGCGTAGGCCAAAAAAGGACCGGCACCGACGGGAAGAATACAAGCCGGTTGATGCCGAATATGACGAGCGGAGGGCAGACCGACGCAGGAGAGATGGGTACGGGACATCCGGAGGGGAAAACGAGGCTCCGAGGAGAGACCGACGATCGAGGGGGGAGTATCGGGAAGAGGATAGAGGGTATGAATCACGAGACAGGGAAAGGGATAGAGGATATGAATCACGAGAGAGGAAAAGGAATAAAGGATACGAGTCACGAGAGAGGGAAAAAGAGGAACGAAGGCAGAGACGACGACAAAGACACGCTGCTGCCGCCGCTATGGATACGGGAACAGAGGATGATGAGTATAGACCGAGGGAACGGGCAAGAGAACGGGTGGTTGAGCGGGAACGTGAGCGAAAACCCCACAAGAAAGATCGAAGAGTTGTCAGCGGTGCCATCGTAGAAGAAGGGCGCGCCGCCCCAGGAATGCGAGGCGGCGCGGCGAGCAAGCACAGCAGCTACGATAGCTACGACAGCATCACGAAAGAGAAGGAAAGGAAGAAAGCTAAGGCCTGGTACGCCTTCGATTTCCACCTCCGCGACGGAAACAGGAAGAAGAAGCGATGTAGGTTTCAATAATGGTGGGTGGGGATACACGTAACGGCTACTAACAAGCATGGTGGATAGGGATCATAGCAGGCATTGCGCTCGTGGTGTTGATCATCATCATCGCAGTCGCCGTCACTGTGAGCAAGAACAATAGCGCCAATTCTAGCAGTAATCGCTCCAATCTAAACGACATCTCGGAGAACGACATCCCTACGGCGGCTCGAGGAACGTACCTCGACCCCTTCACGTGGTATAACACGGATGACCTTAATGTCACTTACACGAACGAGACGGTTGGTGACCTACCCATCATGGGGCTCTTCTCGGACTGGGATGACTCCGTGGCGGCCAACGACAAAGTTCCAGCCATTGAAAAGTCGTGGGGGGACTATTCTAAGACTCCGGCGCGGGGCGTTAATCTCGGCGGTTGGCTATCGCTGGAGCCGTTCATCACGCCATCGTTGTTTAATTACGACAGCAAGCTCAATATCATTGACGAATACACGCTATGCACGCACCTGGGGCCTAAGACGGCGGCGTCGACGCTCGAGAAACACTACGCCACCTTCGTTACAGAGCAGACCTTTCAGGAGATACAGGCAGCGGGACTAGATCACGTGCGAATACCGTACAGCTACTGGGCCGTGCAGACGTACGACAGTGACCCGTACGTGTTCCGCACGTCGTGGCGGTACCTGTTGCGGGCCATCGAGTGGTGTCGCAAGTACGGGTTGCGTGTGAACCTAGACCTTCACGCACTGCCGGGAAGCCAGAACGGATGGAACCACAGCGGGCGCCAGGGCGTCGTGAACTGGCTTAACGGCACAGATGGGGACCTCAACTCGCAGCGGTCGCTCGACGTGCACGACCGGCTGACCAAGTTCTTCTCCCAGGACCGATACAAGAACATCATCGCCTTCTACGGCCTCGCCAACGAGCCGCGCATGGTGAACCTCCCCGCCGATGCCGTCATCTCCTGGACCCAGGAGGCGTTCAATCTCGTACGCAAGAACGGCGTCACCGCCAACGTCGTGTTCGGCGACGGCTTCATGGGCCTCGGAAACTGGCAGGGGAAGCTCACGGGCCTCGACGGGCTGGTGCTGGACGTACACCAGTACGTCATCTTCAACAACGACCAGATCGTCTACACGCACCAGAAAAAGGTGCAGTACGCGTGCGACGGGTGGACGGAGCAGACGGAGCAGAGCATGTCGACGTCGACGGGGTTCGGGCCGACGATGTTCGCGGAGTGGTCGCAGGCGGACACGGACTGCGCCAAGTACCTGACGAACGTGGGCTGGGGCAACCGGTGGACGGGGACGTACGACTCGGGCAACGCGTCGACGGAGGCGCTGACGCCCAAGTGCCCGTCGCAGGACGCGTCTTGCACGTGCAACGGCGCCAACGCCGACCCCGGGTCATACAGCGACGAGTACCGGCAGTTCCTCAAGATGTTCGCCGAGGCCCAGATGGTCTCGTTCGAGAAGGGCTGGGGCTGGTGGTACTGGACCTGGGACACCGAGGACGCGCCCCAGTGGAGCTACAAGCAGGGCCTCGCCGCCGGCATCCTGCCCGCCAAGGCCTACGAGAAGGACTTCAACTGCGACTCGGACGTGCCCGACTTCACCGGCCTGGGCGAGTCCTACTGATTCGACTTGATACGCGCGCGCATATGTTGCTTATTCTTTTTTGTTGGGATAAGTGCTGTAAAGGGAGATAGGGGATAAGGGATTGGGGGATTATTGGGGCTCACCCACGGCGGGTGGGGGCCCCTCAGCTTCAAGTTCCAGCTTCTCTCCCCTGGCTGACATTGAGAGGTCTAGGCCTAGATGCAGATCTAGATTGGAGAGTCGGAACAGGCCGACAGCTTACCTTGCCTACTGCCACCCTACCTACCTACCTACCTACCTTGCCTCCCTAGTCTACTTACCTATGGAGATAGGCAAAGTAAGCATGCAAGCATGCAAACTGATCTGACGATCTTTGAGGAAATATCTACGAGTGGAACGATGATGATGAGATTGGGGATAGGGAGGGGAGGGGGGGAGAAGGTGGGGATTGGATGAGACGATGATGGTGATGACAATGACATATTCAGCTGGGCTCAGGCAGAGATGGCGTTTTTCTTCCCCATCTACAATACAATGCCTCCTCGCCAATCCAGAGATACCCACTTATTACAGGCAAAAATAAGCCCGCGGCTTTTGAAAAAAAAATTGGCTCGAGCGCATTAGGCGCTGCCTAATCTCGGGAGCCTCAAAAGCCGGCCCACCAGCGACGGAGAGCCTTCCTGCTGCTATTGCTGTTGTTGTTGTTGTTGTTGTTGTTGTTGTTGTTGTTGTTGTTGTTGTTGTTGCAATATTGGGTCCTTAGGCGCGGGATTAGGTAGGTAAAGCCCAGGTGGGAACTATCCGCGAGGGCAACCAGTTCGTGGGGCAGTCAGTCAGTCAGTCAGTCAGTCAGTCAGTTGAGCAAAAAGTTCGCGGGCTTCCTCTGTTTTCGCCGAGACCTTTAAGCTCAACTCGGTGAGGTTCGCGAGCAGCTGAGGCACACGTGCGTGGTCTATTTTTTTTTTTTTTTTTTTTTTTTTGTTGAGCATTTATCTGCCTATTTCCTAGCGGCCGGCCTAGGTATCTATCAACTTGCTTGGACAGGTACGGACGTGATCTACTGGCGATCCTATTCTTCGTTGTTTTTTTTGGGGCTCAGGCGTGGCGGGCGATAGTATACATACATGTTTTCATTGTACCTACGTACCTACTTAGACAGACACCTTACGTAGCAGTTCTTTTAGGGTGGTTTTTGTATATACTTAGTCGGGCACGGGATGGGTGGGATGGGATGGATGTAATAGGTACCCGCCTAGGTATGAAGTAATGGTAGATGAAGATATCACGATGGTGATGAAGGTATATATTCATGGGTACATAATCAGCTAGGTTAGGTATATATAAATATGCAAGACTATGAGCGTCGGCGAGCACTGTATGTATGTAGGTATGTGATAATGCCTTTTGCCTCTAGGACTTTATTTCTCCATGCTGCTACGACGAGGCTTGATAACTGTGCGTGAGTACCTAAGTTAGGTATGTAGGTCTAACGTAGGTAAACACCATCCATCAATAAGCTATGCGCGGTTGGCGGGGAAGACTAGAAGGTACCTGCTATGCAAAAAGGGGAGAAGAAAAGCAAAAACGAACATACCTACCTAGCTTAGCCTACCCAATACCCAATTAATTAATTTAATTTAAAGAAAAGGGCTGCATGGGGAAATTTGTTTTGTTGATAGGGCGGTTACTGTAGTTCATTCTCCTTTCGTCGTTCTTGTTGAGCTAGGGGCGGCTTTGACTTGGCTTGGCTTTTTTTCGGTTTTTGATGGATCATATTTGAGGCGTTTCGTTATCCGCCGTGCATTACTGCTTAGTAGTAGTAGTAGTGGTGGTGGTGGTAGTGTACCTACCTACTGTAGTAGGAGGGACATCCAGTTAACTAACTAAGTTGCATGCATGCATGCATGTAGGTATGCTTGCTGACAGACAGACAGACAGACAGACAGACAAGACACCAATAGCCGAGGTGGATAATAAAGAGGCTCTTGTGGCGGTAAGGTCAGGGCGTATAGTTTTATGCTAGGTAGGTAGGTAGGTAGGTAGTGTATTGGGGGAGTCTTTTTGGCGAGAGAGACAGAAGAGAAATAATTGTGGTTATCTTGCATACGAAAGATCTCGGCGTGGCGGTAGGGAGCTAGGTAGGTAGTCCTGCTGTCTAGCCTTTCCAATATGAAAGCAAGCCTGCCTGCCTGCCTGTCTGCCTGCCCGCCCTACGACTAAAATGGAGCCTACATATGTAGCTAGCTGGAGGCATGTATGTATGTGCTAGGTAGGTAGGTAGTCATGCATGTACGTGTGTATGTATGTATGTATGTACATAGGTACCTAGTAAATATGTAGGAGGGGCGGGAGCGGCGGCACGTTCGAAGGGTAGCTATGTAAGGTGGGAAGGGAGGGGAGGGGAGGGGAGGTGGAGGAGGCTGATGGAACCCTCGATTTGAAAATTGCCAATTCTGCAGCGTTTCGTATCTATTCTTTGCACCTTTTTCAGCCACAGAGTTGCATTGCGGCTGATCACGCCGCCCATCTTGATAGATTTGACCGGTCGAAAAAGTCTAGATTAACAGCATGGCATGTAAGCACCGAGATCGAATCCTTTTTTTTTTTTTTTTTTTTTTTTTGAAAAAAAAGGGGGAAGAAGTGGTGGAAAGGAGGCTCAATAGATAGGGCACTTTGGTAGTCAGGGTTGGGTCTCGTGCTCAACAATGATGTTTGATAATACAACCTAAGTGGGTAACATCCCGAGAGTACACATAGACAGGGGGTAAAGGGTTAACCTACCTACCTAAGGTTATTTAGGTTAGCAATGTGACTGTACCTACATATGGGGTTTGTGAATGGGGTCAAGACACTGTTGAGGCTCAAGCCCCACGAACTGGGGAAGTACGTGGCTTAGATAAGCTACCACCAATCACGATTGCGGTGACAAGCCGTTTGAAGCGTTTAAGGGGGAAAGAGAGTGCGAGTGCCCGAGTGTCCGAAGGAGTATCATCAGATTTCGAACTGGAATATGTTTGACCGGCCGGCTGGCTGGCTGGCTGAATATTCTGTCGTAACATTGCAGTCATTATTCATAACCACTCACGATATTTTGACCAGACCTTCCTCTTGGCCTACCTTAGGTACCAGCCTACTACTGACCGATCTACTAAGTGACTTTGGAACCTACGAACCTACCTAAAGTACCCAGAGGAGCTGCTGTGTCTAATCCGAAGAAGGTCCGATCGACCGACGTGATCATCATATCGCTGTGCGGGTTTTGATTCGGGATCTACCTAAACTTAATCGTAAATCGATCCCCTTAATGCAGATTAGTTAAGGGGTGGATGGCGCCGAAAGCCCGGTTAGTAGCTGTCCTCTCTCCTTTTAAGTCTAATTTGACGTGGTCGAATCGATCATGTTTTTCTCTCGTCGGGGCCGTGATCGTTAACCCCCCCCTAATCGTTGCCAAGCTCTACGTGTTTGAAGGTCACAAGTTGCGTGTACCTGCTCTATTGTGTGTCTCCCCTGAACAAACTTCGAATTCGGTGAAACAAGGTTGATAGGTAGGTAGGTGCCTGTTACTAGATCTCGGCGGAAAAAAACAAACCAATAATAGATGCAACGCATGCTTCCATTCGCCTCAGTGTTGTATTATTAGGTATATGTATATGTACATACCTAGATAGGTATGTTAGACGACCAAAGGACAAGAGCTCCGGTAGTTGCGAGTAGGCGATGGGTGGTGACTACAACGTAAAGCAGGACCTGCACTAGTGCGGACCATGACTGCGGCCGTAAGCGTGATTTCAGAGCTGAATACTAGTATAGATGGGTATTGATAGATAGGTAGATAGGTAGATGGGTAGATGGGTAGGTGGGTAGGTAGGTAGGTACAAAGGAAACGATGTCCATAGATGCAGCAAGAAGGTCGAGTCGTCGCCCGCATCATCGGATGTAGGACCTACTAAGCAGCTAAGGTAGGTATTCTCTTGAACCGGCCTAGCTCGTAAGGGTTATTCCAACGTTCGTCTGAACTCTTGAGAACTTTCTGAACATGGATGGGACTTCAAGTCTAGAATGCTATCTGGAAACGCCACCCCGTTATTGGATGATGTCAAGCTTTGTGGTCGCTGATGCGATTGGTTCTTCGGCCTGTGATGTACGGCGCCACCATTTAAGCAGATGCCTCTGCCCGGGTGTGTTCGCCACAACAATTGTCCCCAACCGCCCCTTTCCACTTCGTCGGGTCCAACGACACAACAGCTCATTGGCGGCTTTATAGATTCGATTCATGCTTCTGGCCACTTGACAACATACGTATTAATTAATTGCTTGGGGGCCCTCCCTCCCTCACCCCCCTACCCCCCCGGTGTTTAGTTTTGTAACCTCGTATCAAGTTTTCAATATATGCTCACAACCGATGTGCAAGGGCAAATGCCAATCCCTCTGACGCAAGATAGGAGAACCTACTAGTGAGTCGATAAGCTACCTGCCCTATGCCTATCTTATGCATGGCATGGCGGCCACTAAACGCCCGTCCCACAAACCCCTGATATCACCAGTCGATGACCGATAGCCCCGTCGGTGGAGATTATTGTAGGCTGGAGTAGGTACTTAGTGGTATTGTGATCAGCTTGGGGGGAGGATGAGTTAGCATGTCGATGCCATCCTTAGGGAGGCGGAAGTCCGGTCATAGTCTATTCTGACTAGGATAGGCTCTCCCCTAATCTTAGGCATTCCTTTGGTGGTAAGACAGCGCTATACTTGTTCCTAAATAAGTGGTCATAGGTTCCCTGAAGTTTTAGAAACTTCCAAGGGTGGAGATTCTTAGCCTTGTAGCCCAACGTAACTCATCATGTCGAACACCGGCGCCAGGGACCTTGTATAGGTTGGCAGAAACTGAGCTAATTATTTGGGTAAGACTGACACAGGATAGTTAGCTAAAGACTCCTTCGAGACTTCTTTGTAATCGATTTGTCAGATACATTGTGCGGACATTGTGATCTTGCATATCCGATACCTTTTTTAAGAAAAAAATGCTAGGGCTCTGTGTGACCGGCCAGAGTAAACAGTGAACTATTTGATGGTTGGCAACGTGATCCTCGTGTATGGCATTTGCTTGGAACTTGACATCATGTGTGGTACCACCCTGAACAAGTATAACACGAAGGTACAATATACCCATGGCTTTCTGCTAGTCTGTAGGACCTTGGTTGGATACTGCTTCGAGCCAGACTGCATTCGGAGAAGTGCTTCCCAGAGTTGCACGAAGCCTGTAGCCGTTCAGCTGGTTCTGTAGGGAATAGAGGGTCGAGGTTGCGCATTGGATGTTAGTTACATGTTTAAAGCAGAAGGGTCGGGTTGCTTCGAACAGCTGTTAAAAATATCTTTTTGCATGATGTCTCTATCTTGTGTCTTGCCTCTTCTCAAACACCCTCCCCCCCTTTCCCCATCCAAACCTTTACGTAGCACATACATATTACCTATATTACAACGCGCGAGGGTAGTATGCAGTTGTAACACGTGACTTCATAATAGGAACCACCAAGCATTAGAAGACAGCCCTAAGAGGTCTTGGAAAAGTGCCGCTGTGCTGTTGGGGGTTCGGGTATAACTGAGCTATATTATTGCATCTCCTTCTTCAAAGGATTGACTTGATGTGTTGCTCAAAACTAGTTGGCCAAGGACAGGGCTGATGTACCCCATGATATCTTGTAATGAACGTTGTGCCGGTGTTAAAAAAATACGCGATTATAGGGCAGAAGAAAGAAAGGGGGGGGCTCGCGTCTACTATCTACGACGGGTATACAGGGAAATAACAAGCCTTGGGTGAGGTTGCATCCCGCAAGAATAACAGCGCGCTATGCATGCAATGCACAACATAGCGGACGGTTGGTGCCGTGGACTGTATAGAGCTGGGCAAGCGATCTCAGATGGACCAGAGTTGATATTGAAGTCGTATATGCGGATAACCTACTTAAGGTGCCCCTATGTAATTTCATCGAGATAACGACGGGTATTAAAATAATGACTACAAGCAACGGTCTGTTAGAGTGAATGGCCTCGAAGGGATGATCGAATGGTCGGATGTGAATCTCCCTTGGTCACACCAACGGCGATCGCTATTGATTGCCTTGAGTTGGTGACATGATGAAGATGAGGATGTCTCGCAGTGAAGATCTTCAGGCACCCCGGAGAATTCGGGAGGGTTGGCGATAGGGGGGTCGGGGACAGCACAGCACGGCACCGCACAGTAGAACAAACCAACGCATCCATATGAAATGTCGTCTGGAGAAGATACTAGATCAACGTCGAGACCTGCCTATTTCATTTGAAATCTGGCGAAGGGCCGACGTAGCAAGGATACACGTGGGTTAGAGAATCTGCAGAGAAATGGAGGAATGTTTCTCTATACCTACCTTAGACCTACCTACCTAGGTACCTGCTTAATAGTAATATGCAACAATTCATCCATTGATTCGATTCCCACATTCCCATGTTCAAGTGACGCGTCGAGAGAAGCTTTCGCCCAGTCTTATTGATTGGACATATTCATTTGGACTGCATGTGCATGTGGCTTGACCCATGATGGTCGATGACGGGGTCTGGGGTTCAAGTGGTGAGTTTTCTCGGCATTGCATTTTGCGTCTTCCTTCCTAGTCAGGCTCGGCAGTACGGATACGCGGGCAATGATTCGACGACAGCAGAGACATCCACTATTCAGCCATCGTTACTGTACATACTACATACGCATGTCAAGGTGGTAAGGTTGTACTGTTCGTTGTGGACGGGCAACTTCTAATTTGGGTTGATGGTTGATGTAGTTGAATGTTGCTATTGTTCATTTATAGCAACTCCGAGAAACTTGAATAGAAGCATTATAAATGTTCTATCGCAGTAGAAGCCGACGTGTTCACCTGCTAGAACTGGAAGAAGTGAGTGTACGGAGTTCTATCCGTGGTTGGAGTAAGTATACATACATACCTGTGCTAGGTAAAATATGTATGTATGTAAGTAACCCAGGTAAATGTACATATGTAGTCTTCACGTCCACGATCTACATAGTACCACACAGTACTACACAGTAGGGATCCAGTACTACATACCTTAAGTATGTAGTAGATAGATACACATACTTGATATCCATGACTGTACATACATATATGTATGTGAAGTTTAATGTTGTTTCGTACTGAGGTATCATGTATCTCAAAGATACATTGTGAGATAACGTTGTATCTGAAGACTGATAGATACTGTCTCACATACATACATGTATTGGAGAATACGTAGGTAGGCGAAAAGTGACATCTCAGGGCTATCACTTCGATCAAATGCAATTACTGTACTTGAGATAATCCGCGGGTATTGCTTGCGCGTCTCGCTTAATAAATAAATTGATTCGTTTCTGTAGTGTCTAGTATGATTCAGGTAGGTATTTGAGCACTCATGATAGGTAAGTAAGCTGTAGAGAACATTGAAGATATACAAGTACATTGGTGAGAATCCGTGAGGTAGAGGTACGTATTCTAATATTAAAGAGATGATGCTACCCAATAGCAAGGCTCAGCACTCAAAAGAAAGGCCTCAGGTCGATTCGACGTTCTCTTTGGGGGAGGGGGGGTGAGAGGCAGGTTTATTGTTAAGGCAAGTTGGGGGCATTGGGGGTTGGAAGGGTTAGAACTTAGAAGGGTTGAAAAACCTGGAGGAGGGTTGGTTGTGCAAGGTGCTCACGTTTTTTGAAATGTTACTAATCAGGTCTATATCGTGGTTCGAATCGACATCCTTGGCACAAATCTTGGCGATGGTTGGTCCGTGCCTGACTGGTCGATTTGGCCTTGTGGGGCATCCTTACTGCATCTTTACTGCATTAGTACTTGCAATTTCGGGTTTAGCTTTACTTGGCTTCTCGTTTTTTCTCTTCTTTTTACATATTTTCTCATACTTTTCCCAGCATCCCTTGTTCCTTGGCTTGTTTGTTCGGAGGCCTATACGGTAAACTTGCTCTAGGTATAATATACGGCATACCTGTAATTGACCAATCTTACCATGTAGTTGCCTCATAGTTACCTTGAAAGATACCTGGCAAAGTCAATGCGAAAAGAGGTGAAAGAAAATTAAACGGTATGGTAGAATTAAGAAAAGGAGGGGTAAAAAGAGAAAAGAAGAAAAAAGAAAAAAAGGGAAAAAGTCAAGGGCTAAGGGAAATTGGCTTGAACTTTTTCAAACAACAAAAGACAAATATAGAAAATACAGCAAGAGGAACGAACTAAAAGACTTGAATAAAAGAAAAGGATTAATTTAAAGAAATAGAATAAAGACCAAAAAGTTAATTGAACCCCGCAATTCGGTTGAAGGATTAGAGAAGACGATTCGAGAATGCGAAATACCACTATCCAATTGGAGATATGCATTGCCTTTTTTTTTTTCGGCTCACCACTCTACCGACCGATATCGTCAATCTTTAATTTTTTAATTTTTTATTAATTTTTTAAAGTTCGGCTCTCACCTGGATACTCAACACAAAGCAGCTGAAGGCCCGTGTCATACCTAAATTACTACGTATCCTACTAACCTAGGTAACCTAACCTAGGTAGTTGGTTGTCGACATCAACTTCTCACTACTACCTTACTACCTCACTACATACCTCACTACCTACATACTACATACTACATACTTACTTACCGTTGACCTACATACATGCTAACTTCAACGCCCTTACTTGATTGCCTCTAGGTTACTTCAATTGTTCTTGTTGTTGTTACCTTTACTTCGTAATGTTCAATTCATTACATTATTACATTTCATACTTGCAATCTTGATTGTAATATTTTCACATTTGCGCCACCATCATTTTAAAAATCCTCCCAATTGATTGGCGCTTCAAAAAGTTCTTGTCTCAAAAGTGCAGAGAAACTTGACAACTGATAATCTTGTCTTGTCAATCTTCTGTCGCTGGTCGCTGGTCGCTGTCACCGACCTTCAATATTTGGATTATCTCAGATAATCTCCTTAGCTTTGCTCTAGTTCAGCTTTGTTCTTTCACTTTTCCCTCCTTCTGTCGTCGATCCTCGGTCACCATATGCATCCATACCAGATCTTCTATGCAGCTTGCGCCATACTCAACCATCCTCACGACGCCGACCTGCAATAACGCTAACGCTAACGCATTCACACACCCCCATACACACCATAACGCATACGCAACAATCTACATACCTCCTCTACCCTCTATCTTCCAACTTACATACCATACCTACATACGTACGTTACTATAGTTACATAGGTCGCCGATCCTGAATACTTAGCATACACACTCCTCTTGCTTCTGTCTTGATATCCGAATCGCCGACGACAAAACAAAACTTTGTGTTCCTCAGCACCAAATGCGAACCGGCCCAGACGTCGCGGGTAGCTGCATCACCATCGAGCATCCCGCATATCATCCTAGTCAGACTCCCCAGTGCCTTATCCGCCGCCGCGTGACTCCATGAGGCAAGACCTGTCCCCCCGCGCTGCCCGCCCCGTTCTTCTTCCTGTTGGGAAAAAATAACACACCCCGCGATCTGTGCGAACAGAGGTGCGGATAGTCCCGCTCGACCCCGTTCGACACCGGGTTCTTAGCAAAGCCCAGTCCCCGTTGCACAAGGAACGCCTCTTTGTAACGGGGAACGAACCCATTGGCGTCCGCCTTGCTAGACCACGCCTGAATACGAGCAACCTGTCGTTGCGCCGCCGTCTTTGTGCAAGCCCTCTTGGGGGGCCCAGTACCCCCCCAGACACGGCTGTCGCACCGCGGCAGCGCACAGCGCCATAATACCTCAGCCCGCGTCTCACGCAATATCCTTAGCTCCCTGCTGTCTCTGGGCCCTGATATACAGGCCCTCGGGCAACTTTATTGGCTTGCATACGGCGCAAACCCCGTTGCTACTGGTCCACGATCCAAACCGAGGGTCAGTGCTCAAGTCGAACCTGAAGGAGCGGTGGAAAGGGTTGTGCTAGTGGATGGAATAGGGGATTATTGATTTCTTGGATACCTTGGATTCTTGGGTCTATCCCCCTGCCTCTCGCTGTGAGACTTCCTGCGGGCCATTCGCAAAAATAAGCCAAGCTACGCACCTATTCCACCGAGGTGTGGTTGCGCCAGATTGACTCACAGCTTGCATTGCCATACCCTTATCAGACGTGGAGGGCTGAATAAGAAAGCCGTTATATATATAACTAAGACAAGATGCCGGAAGACGTCGAAGCAAATGGGACAGAGGTCTCAGATGCCATGTCCGAGAATGAGAACGAGTATGACGACATGGAACAATCCATCAAGGACGAAGAAGTCAAGATGACTGACCAGAACACCTCGCCTGAGCCTGGCGCCGACAACTCGGGAGAGCCTAAGAAGAAGTATGATCCTAAGGATCCTCATCGCCCTAGGAGAAAGAAGGCAAGACGTGCCTGCTATGCCTGCCAGAGGGCCCATCTGACGTGCGGTAAGTCTCAGCCCTACGTTCCTGTGCCAAACTTCTCATCCTCGATCACTTGTCTTAACCACCCCCACCACAACCGATCTACAAGCCAATGCGTTCTAGCATGAATAGTGTTGAAACATGACGAAGCTAGGGCAAATAAACGGCATTGCTAATATTTGTGATAGGTGACGAGCGTCCTTGTCAGAGATGCATTAAGCGCGGTCTAGCTGACGCCTGCCAAGATGGAGTGCGCAAAAAAGCAAAGTATCTGCATGATGCTCCTCCAGAGGCCTTGAGACCGGTTCTAGGGCCAACCTACAACCCAGCCGTCCATACGAAGACAACTAATGGGAGACATCTCTCCAACGGCAATGCAGACACCTCTCCATACTATTCGGAAGCCTCTAATTCCTCCACTTACTCTATTTACACCGGTCATACCCAAGCTCAGATGGCATCTTTACCTGACAACATGCCGTTTGGCGGACAACAGTCCCCAGTGACGCCTGGATACCAGCCACCCAACACATCCCGAGCAGCTCCACTGAGTTCTATGCATCTGCCTCAAGTGTCAGGAGAGATGGGCAGCAACTTCTCCACCGCTTTATTCGACCCTAGCAACCCTGCAATATTCAACTTTGACCTCGAAGGGTTAAACTTTGGAAGCCATTACGGTGCACTCGAATTTGGAATGCTTGGGCACATGTCGTCGGGCGCTGCAGAGACGCCACCTAGGGAAGCTATAGCTCAACCTCCTGGAAGCGATGTCAACTACGGGTCCACAGGAGTATATCGAAATGGGGTTAACCAATATAGCCAAATGTACGAGAACGGCATGGCTGACAATTTCATAAATGTTGATCCAAGTAACGGCGGTACATATCCAGGCAACCTGCAGCATGGCTTGCCTCATGCGTACGCCGTGGCAGCTGCTGGTCCAACGCCCAACAGTTTAGCCAGTCCAAGTACAGACAACACATCTAGTCCGCAGCCTACGGGTTATGGGTTTGACCAGTCCCCAACCACAAGTACCTACACTCCTGCCAACAATCAAACGATTTCTCAGCCGTCAAGACCGAAACCGAAAGCCTCAGGTTCGGTGAACAAATTCGGGCCACAATCAGTTCTCGGTAAACGGACTCGTGACCCATCCGCGATCTATGATACAGTCACCGAGCCTTACCCGTACCTCACAGGATTTCATAACTTGATTGCGTTCGTCCAACGAAGATTTTCTGCCAACAAGACTCTACGTATTGCCAAGTCACTGGCCAGTATTCGACCTTCGTTTATTGCATGTACGCGGAACCTCAACAGACAAGATCTCATTTTCATGGAGAAATGTCTACAGCGAACACTATTCGAATATGAAGATTTCATGGGGCATTGTTCGGCGCCAACCATTGTCTGCCGAAGAACAGGGGAAGTAGCGGCAGTTAACAAGGAGTTTATTGCTCTAACCGGTTGGACCAAGAACGTGCTCTTGGGCAAAGAGCCTAATATGAACGCCAACGCTGGGCGATCAGGATCCGAGTCAAGTACAAGCAAACCTGAATACGCTACCCCAAGGCTGAAGACGGTCCAGCCTGACATGAGCAAATCCCCCGATGGGAAAACCCAGCCTGTATTCATCGCCGAATTCATGGACGACGATAGCGTGATTCAATTTTATGAAGATTTCGCCCAGCTTGCCTTTGGCGACAGTCGTGGTCATGTCACCAGGAAATGCCGACTTTTAAAATACCGAACCAAGGAAATGAGCGAGTGCTCAAGCAATGATGACTCCCCCCAAAGAGACCGGCGAACCAACAATAGCATCCTGAGCAATAGGGTGACGAAAATAGACGGGGAGCATGGAATTTCAAAGCTTGAGAAGGACGGCAAGATCGACTGCACGTTCTGTTGGACTATCAAACGCGATGTTTTCGACATACCCATGTTGATTGTTATGAATGTTGGTTACTGCATCCACGAAGTTTTATTCTTTGGGCTTTGCTAATTTATTGCTAGTTCTTACCATGTTACTACCGTAACCAAGACCAATTGGCTGTATAGGGTTCTTCTATGCCCAGGGCCATCAGGATATATATACACGCATATCTTTTCTGGATTATCTACGGATGTTTCCTCTGTAATCAGTACATGAGCCTGCTTAGAGCATGGGCGGCGTTTTTGGACGGAGCTTCTATGCTTTCCGAGCTCCTCTTCCACTTCATGGGAGGCTGGTCATGTTATATATATCGGTATATATACATATATCTTTTGCATGTATTTTCATCTGGATCTTACAAATAAGGGGGTAGACACGGCATAGAGCATGGGTTATCTTTTTATCTATTGGTTTTGCGACCAAACAACCATGAATTTCATTTTTTTTTACCTACTTATTTCTATATGATACCAAGATAACATAACATATTGAACAACATCATCTACAATCATCTATCTAACGGTTAACCTATATTGATATCTAACGCCCAGCACATTAAATGAGCCTAACCCAGGTACCTAACCTAGGCATGTATGTACCTTCAACAAGTAAAGCAGGTATTTTTATTTGACCCCGAGTCTTGGGTATACATGATCAATTGTCTCACATGCCTGCCAGGCCCTGCCTCCTCCTCTCGCGCGTTTCCGGAATCACACGTGAGGACCTCGGGCCAATTCGGGTATCCCGCCTACGCCATCGCCCTCCTGCAACTTTTCAAGGGCCTTTACCCCTCATCCAAGTCTCATGCCTCGTTGCGCGCGTCAGCCGCATTGTTCAAGGATCTTATGCCCTATATGTATCATGGATGTATGTACATACATGTGCGTACATACACACACACACCAACTTACCCTACCCTGCCCTAGCCAACCCCCCCACAGGAATCCTACTAACCCAGTTGAGTAGCATCTAAACTAGATATCTAGACAGGGGGGGTTGAGCGTGGGTGGGTGGGATTGGGAAACTCGTCTTATCTATTCACCACGCTCTATCAATCAATCTCGATCCCCGTCGCAGTCTCAGTGTCACGCGCGCACGCGCACACGCACGATAGCCCCCTACCTAACAAGCCAAGACCCGTCGAACTCCCCCGTAGCGCCGTCAACGGTGCCCTGCCGCGGGGTCCAGCCGGGGCGGGCGAGCGACTGGCGCGCGACGTCGCAGTCGATGTTGATGTCGCGCACGAGGGCGTCGAGGGAGGCGTAGTCCTGCTCGTCGCGCACGAAGCCCAAGACGAGCAGGCGCAGGGGGGCCGAGTAGAAGTCGGCGGCGAAGTCGTGCAGCACGTGCACCTCGGCCGACCGCACCGAGTTCTTGTAGAAGGGGTTGTAGCCGATGGACATGACCATGGGGTAGATCTGCCAGGTCGTGGAGGCTGGGGCCTCGGTCTCGGCTGTGGTGGTGGAGGAGGAGGAGGATAGCGTTGTGGTGGTCTGTTCCGCGCTGCCGTCGGGGTTGCTACTGCTGGGCGACGAAGACGTTATCGTGATGCGCGGCGGGGGCGTCGCAGAAGAAGAAGGAGAAGAAGAAGAAGTAGGGGGCGCGCGCGGGTTGGAGCGGTGGCGAGGCTGCTGGTCGCGACGGTCGGGGTGGTCGCCGGGCAGCGCGAGCGAGGCCCAGCCGAAGTACACGCCGGACTTGGCGTCGGCGATCCAGGGCGTGGCGGCCTCGTCGACGGGGAGATTCGCCGTCGGGATCCCGAGTTCCTTGGACCCCCGCCCGAAACCGGAGATGACGACGCCCTCCATCTGCAGCGGGAATGGCGGCGACGGCCCGGAGGAGGGGTAGAGGATTCGGGGGCGTTGGTCTTCTTGCTCGGTCATGGTGGTGTCTGGTGGTGGTGGTGGTGGGGTCGTTCGGATGGATTTATGTGCTACCTAGAAGTAGGTACCTTGGGTGATAGATGTTGGCAATGGGCACGGCCGATGAAGAAGGAAGGATTTTAGAATCTGACGGGCTGGCTGGCTGGCTGGCGCTTTTTTCTGATTGTCTAATTGAGAAGGAGGGAAAGAAGGAAGGGTTATTGTGTCTTAGATTTCTTTGCGACGGCACAGGGATGATGGCGGGATGGAAAAGAGTAAATTGGATGGATGGTTGGTTGGCTGGTTGGAGGGCTAGGGGGTTAGAGGGTTGGTTGGATGGCGGGGTTGTTGTTGTTGGATAGGGTACTTAGTAAGGTGGGTAGTTAGTGGTAGTACATTACCGTCAATTCGTCGGCGTCTGAATTATTTCCGCGCGGGTCTCTAGGTTTAAGGTTAAGGCATTGAAGTATAAAGAAGACAAGAAGCAATTATAGTATAGTATAGCAGTATTATTGGGTATAGAGTTGATGGTTTTTTTTCTACAGGAAACAAATCACAAGTTGAGAGATTGGTTTAGAAAAATAAAAAATAAAATTCAATGCGATGATGCGATGCGCAAGCAGCTCACGAAATTTCGATGGTTACTCATGGATGCTCGTGGAATTTGCATGGGCTGCATGGTGCGTGCATATTTACTACCTATGTATGGTGGGGTCGGCGGCTCACGATGTCATTCTACATACATACATACATTATGTATTCGATAAGCATATTGATAACACCCACCTTACCTTACATCCTCTACATACCTAGGTAAGATATAAGCTTTTATCGGTTGGTGGCGTAAAGTATGTACCCAGTACTTGTACATTAGGTAGGGTAGGGTAGGTACATAAGCTTCAATACATATTAATGATTGCCCGATTCAAACAGGACATCATCTGCCATTGGCCAATGTAACATGGGATGAACTTGCACCTATATATCGCCGGTAGATAGCCATGATGATGTATCAGTGATGCGATGTTTACTAAGTTGACAAAGTTTCTGGGTAACATGTACCTGCATTAGTTTGGATGGTATAGTATGGAAATAAATGTTTATTATGTGTGAAACTCTGATGCTTAGCTGTGATACTTATGTATATCCAGGGACTGTTCTGCTTCGAGAAAATAAACCAGCTTGCGAAGGCCAAGTGTTGATATACAAGATAATATCATTCACAAAAGCGATGTTATATCAAGACACCAAGTATCTACATAACCAAGCCAAACTGATTTAATACCAAAACTCCTCGCTAACCAAATATACAGTACATGACTCTTTAGCTAATATCCCATCCCAAGAGTATGTAGAAGAGAGCGATATCTTCTCAGCTCGTTAATTCTTTTTTCCCTCATCATCAGATTCCATACCTATGCTAAACCTAATCCAAAGATATGCGTTCCACATTATGCAAACAACCAAGGCGCTGAACCTCGGACTCAAAAATCAATCTACCAAAATCCTTTCCAAAACAGTGTGAGGATCTATAGCGCCTGGGTAAGAAAATCCTGCCTCGCTCACTTCTATGTAGGTATCCAAATAGCCAAAAGTCCAAGATAAATAGATCAAGCCGGAAACGTATAAAAATATGAGCACTTGCCTAGAGAGTACCATCCGCAGGGCGCGAGTTCTGGATTTGGACCTCGACGGCTGGCACCGCTTGCTTTGCCTCATCATCTAAGTGTTGTGCGGGTATTGTGGCTACAGGAGTCCGGTTTAGATCCTCGATCTCGGCATCACTCATTTTCATAATGTCATCCTTCCGAGCGACGGCCGGCCATTTCTTTTCGCCCCTGTTTGCCGCCTGTTCGGCTTCTGCGAGCCAGGTACGCCATTGGGGCGTTATGGGAGCGGCACCACTACGATTGACCCAAGCCGTACGTTTCGTTTCCCGAATCGCGTACCACAGCGTGCGGGTGAAGCTTTTGACATCTTCGCGCTGGTCTGGGCCCGTTGTTGTCTCGGCGCCCTGGGCCTCAGGAGGAGTAATGTCCTGGATATCATAGCGGCCCAAGTCCCAGAAAAATCGTTTTGGGAGTAGCCCCAATGCCCAGTAGAGACCATTCAATGTGATGTAGCTAGCACCGATAAAGATCTGCGAGTTCCACTTGCAATTACCTAATAGGATGACCGACACCATCAGTACGCAGGTGCCAGTTCCCATGAGCACCCGGTAAGCACGACTACTGACGTGGTATTCGCACTCTTCCGTCCCTGAGTATAACTCACGGGCTACTTCTTCGGTACACTTAACGAGAAGGAAAGCGCCTTTACGTGTGCGGATAATCATGTCACCCTCAGGGACCTTGTTGTTATGACTTCGATGCATCAGGACTGGCTTCCACCAGGAAGCCCAGCCAACGACGGAACTCGCAAGAGCGATGAGGGAGACGGCAAGAATGGCTGTCCCGTCTTGGTAATGCGCCGCGAATCCAATGATACTTGCGGTCAACACAACCGAGAAGATGGAGAGGATATGAACGGGGGATAATAACTTGGCTGGGATGGCGGGCCTTTTGGCAGTGGTGGCAAGCGTTGGGTTAGCCGCAAAGTCCTGCATTTTCTCCCTCATGGTTATTCGTTTGGTTATCCCTGGAACTGGTGGTCCAGCCTCCACATCGGTGCTCGAACTAAAGCCCATATTCGCTATCGGCGTATCTCCTTTGGTCTCTTCATCAAGAAGGGGAGGACGAGGTAAAGAAGTATGTTCGTGTGATGAACTGGTGTGGGATCTCCTCTGTGAGTAGAACTTGGAAAGGTATTTGGAACCATTTGCGAGTGATGCTGGAACTTGCACGCCACCAGCATTGTTGCGATCCGTGTGCTTAATCCTCAGCACCCTGAAAGAAAATGCAGATAGCTCGTCGAGAGGATGGATGATGTTCGCAAAGAACCCTACAGTGTCAAGAACCACACCGCTGTAAACACCCGTCATTTTGGCGGTAGTTTCGGGTAGACGAAGAGGTCGAGAGGGCTTTAGGAAAGCTTGTGGGGCAGGAACAATTCGCGGGAAAAGACAAAAGATGCTGGCCGTGATCGTCTGAGCGTGTTCTGCGACGGATGACTCGCCGATGACAGCGAGTAGAGTGACGACATCGAGACGCCAGCCCCACGGACCCTCAGCACCGTTGATGTCGGAAGAGAACCACCTGCCCGCTGCAGATCTATCGAGCCCTGGATCTTCATCGGCCATCGTTAGGCCCGTGGGTTTTTGAGGGCCTTTGAACTATTTTTTAGACCTTATTTTTTTTTGCTTTGTCTAAAAAAACGCCTAACCGTAGGAGACTTCTAGTTGACAGAAAAGGTGGAATAAGGCTTAGTTAGGCGTGGAGAGAAAAGATGGGAAGGGGATTTGTCTTTGAGGCTAAGTTAACTTGACGTTGCAATGGGTTGATTGAGTTTCAAATAGTTTGGCCACCACATGTAGGGAATCTAGGGATTAGGGAAATAATGGTGGCAATACCTAGGTTGACACCTAGCTAGGTATTCTACTAGATACCCAATATCTACCTATATAGTATGTCAGAATGGCATAATTAAATGCTTAAGAGATGATGATATATATGATGGTATATAAGTATATAGACAAGCGACGACGTGGGTGGAATGTGATGAGGAAAGAAAATAGGAAAAGAGGATGAAACAATTAAGATGGAGGTAAAAAGAGAAAAAAAAGGTTAAGAGATGTTGCGGCTGAAATGGAAATAGCATTGAAATGGCTTGTTGCAGGGTACGTTGCTAATCGTTGCCCGTTGGAAGCATGGATGTTGGATGTACCGCATAGTTACATTGTAGATCCTTTCTTTTCTGTCTTCTTGTTGGTTATCGATTGTACTGTTATATAAACTTCAAGTGTCCATTACAGGGTCTCTATAGGATCCCGCGAAGGGTTTCAGGTCGCATATGTCGCTACGGCCCGCCTGAACGATAATCATAGGCATTCATTGGGCTTAGTGAAAAGCTTGAAAATGCCAATCTGGCCCACTTCAACTTGAATGAGTCCACTCAAGCAACATTGAGATCCCTTGCCAAGTGAGGGCGCTTGGGCGCAGTCGCTGTTCATAGCCTCCTTTATTTTATCCTTTATCCTCCAAATGCCTGATCTTCTTCAAGTTCAAAAGTCAACCTTACACAGTACAAGTCGTTGTACCACTGGCTATTGTCCCCTCATTGCCACTATTGTGTGTTATTCATATGAACCTGGAAGCCAGTGGAATATTTGTCCTTTGTGACCTTTTGTGCCATGCAAACGGCATCTCGGTGGACGAGGGGGTAATCTCTAATAGGTACCTACTAACCCTACATGGTAGGTAGGTAGTAAGACTGTACTAAGACATGGAGAAACTAAGCAAACATTTCAGTATGATGTGATGGATATATGTAAGCATCGGATGAGAGGGAGCCTTACATATTACCATTACATTACCTATGTTGTATATAGGATATGTAATATGTATTGCATAGCTGGTACCTATCGTGGTGACATTTCTTTCGTGTTGGAACTTGGCAATGCCAACATTGAATGTACCAAGGTACATGTACATGTATGTACACCTTTGAGGGGGACATCTGGACTCTGGAGTCGAGGAAGTATTAAAGAAACAAATAAATAAGAAAACTATAAAAGAAAAAAAACACAACACTACCAAGGTATTGGTGTTACCAACTCCCACGCCCAAGGGAAAGCCCTGCTTGCGCTCACAATCCCAGTATGACAACTCGACTCTATTGTCCCCAGCCTAGACGCATCATGTTAATCTAAATATCATAATAAATCGTATCCCGTAACCGGTGAATATCCAAACCCTGGAACCCATTAGGAGAGATTTAATCAAGCCTGACTAAATAGAATATCCGAGATGCGTAATATTGTTAGGCGTTAAATTCAGCCTCAGCTTCCCGAGTGTTTTGAATCCTCTTGGCGTACTCTAGTTTATCCAATCTCGCTGGACGATAGTCGGGGTTCTCTTCTAGTATCTGTGGGATGAACTCCTCCTTCCATCGTCGTTCCCATTCAACTAAAACCCGTTCTCGTTCAACTTGGCTCATACAAGAATGATCCAAGCTCCATCTAGCAAGTTGGCGCCAACCATAAAGATTCATATTTCGGTTACCCACCATGACTTCGTAAAAGTCGTGTGACAACGTAGATCTAGATCGCATATTAGCTTAGCATGCGCACTGATCCATACAAGGTCTAACACTCACCCAAATATGGTTCCGTTGTCGCTATTCAGTGAACAGTGAATCTCATGGGCGAGTAAATCGTATATTCGATGCTCATTCATATATTCTGTTAGTCCGAGGATCATGTTCGAAATCGGACACGCTTCCACGCAGACATTCTTTTCCCTCATCTGCTCCATGAGGTCTGGCTTATGAGGCAAAGCATAACCATGACCAACTCTCTTCGCATTGAGGTCCAAGGCACAATCCAAGTTATCTTCGATATCGTCCGGGGTTTCACCGCAGTGGAACAAGAACGGGATGTCGAGCTCCTCTGCCTCACAGTTCTCCTGGAACTGCCTGAATTCATCTTCGAAGTATCTTAATCCATGTGGCTTGTCGTAAGACTCTTCGCCCACTAAATCGAACCCGGCGATGTATTGTGGCCACCGCTTCTTCATCTGTATGCATTCCTGTAAGGCGTCCTTCACCATTGCCTTTGCAAAGGATCGAGGTGTGCAGTATATAACCTTCATACCTCCAAACGATGGTCTGTGGTCGTTGCTCAGAGGGATATCGCCGTTATCTGGGTAAATTGGATTGCCTTCTGAGTCCAATACTCGATTCTCCTTTATCTGGCCATTTTCATCCATGTCACCGATATCTTTCATGAATCTTTCGTATTCCTCCACAATAATTTCCATCAACCCAAAGTTATCGAAGCCTCCTGATCCGCTGTCACGGAGGACTTGGTTGCTTTTCATGAAATTTGGTCGAATTTCAGCATATTGAACATTCTCCCTGACGAACTCCTCTAAACACTTCCGAGTATATGCCCTGAACGCCTTTTCGTAGTTGAACAAGCCTTTCATCATCCTTGTACGCCCGTTAAACTTCTCCCATGCCCTAGAAGATTGTTAGTTTCCCGAGTACCATAGGATACAGTGTTAGATACCTTGCTGCTCTCTCTCGGATGTTTTTGTATGGGCTGGCTTGATAATTTAATTCAATGTCCTTAGGCCAACCTGACTCCTCAGCTTTCTGTTGCCTTGCTTCCTTCTCTTCTTGTGTCTCTGAGTAGATTTTTTGGTCTGAGGGCTTATCTGCTTCATTGAAAATGATGTCTATTTCCTCTTTGGTGAATATAAGCTTATTCGTAAGCCATTTGTCGCATTCCATGTTCATATCCCAAACCTCAGGTTCATCTGAGTCTGATTGGCCCCCTTCTGCCGCTATCAAGCCCTGTCTGAGTTTTCGTTCCTCATCCCACATGGCACGGAAGTGTTGATAGCGCATCTGTTGGCGCGGTTCGTAGTCTTCACGGAAGAGGTTCGGGCCTGTGGAGTCCAGCGCAAGAAGTGTTTCATTCTGCGAATCAAGATCCTGGCCTAAGTCCTCCTTCAACGTCTTTTCAAAATCGTGAAGCATAAATACGATCTCGCAATTATCAAAATCAGATTTTGACCGGAGCTTGTGAGTTGGACTCGAGATGTACATATTAGACATCTCCTTAGCTATATCCAAGAGGACGCTAGGGAGAAGGGTGGAGTTGAAGTGAATGTGAAGGTGTGCACCTTTTGGCATATAGCGTGCGGCCTTCAGCAGTTGAGTTTTCTCGATTATGTGTACATTCCGTAAGAAGTGATCCTCGGGAGCATGTCGCTGAGACTGCTCCTTGGATCCGTATAATTCATCGTCGGCTTCTCTTTGCTCCAACAATATTTCGTTAGCGGACTTCTCATCCGAGTTCGCTAATTCCATCATGGGCTTTTGGAAATCCAGTTTGAGTTGTTGAGATGGTTCTGGAACCAAGCGTATGGACTTGTTCGTCATCTTGTCGAAAAAATGGCGGAACGGGGACGTTCTAGATTTTCTATGGGGTATCTTGTTGCTCTTTTTAACAGGTTGTTCAGTATCGCTGCTGTCTTCGTTATTGCCGCATGACAATCTTATGAGTATACTCTTGTAGTAGCTGGTCATATGGAGACGGAGAAAGTATGGCTTTCTACGGAACAATGGCAATATATATACCTACCTAGGTATATATATATATATATGTGTGTGTGTGTGTTGTAGATGTGTGTTAGTTGTTCACTGATCAAATACCCCTAGTTAGTCCTAGATGTATTATGTTGGCCACTTTTTACAATTTCAGTTGCGAGGCTGTGAATTATTAGTTAGTGAGGGTGAGGCAAGGATGATGAGATGAAAGTGATGAGGATGACTGTTTAAGATTGAAGATGATTGTGTCGCGTGGGGGAAGTTTAAGGTTGTGTGTTCATGGTGTGCAGGTGTGCAGCCTGCGCCTTGGGTACAATACATATTACATACTGGGTACCTAGTACCTACAACGTTGAGTTTAGGGACCACCATCGTACCAGGGTTACTGCCTGTCCAACTTTCCGAATGCAAGGCGCTGGTATGTTAGGCTATTCTGAGTTTGGTTTAGATTACTCCGATTTTATCTGTCATCGCAAGCATATGGGACTTTAACAACTTGTACAACATAGGAACATGGGGGCTCTTACGTGATTCTATATCTCGAACATGCAACTAAAGAGGCTAGGCTGACTTGACCTGATTGAACTCTTTTCACCCCCAAACCAAAGCTCCGGTAATATCTTTGGTGTTTCCCTTTCTCTCCAACAGTCTATAACTGAAGCACGCTCCTTTCAATGTTCTGACTCATCTATTCACCTGTGTAGAGAATATCCTAATAATAAGTTATGTGACATCACTATCTACTCTACTTGGTACTCAATGGTACGCATTATGCGCGCGCTACAGAAACTTCAGTTTGGGCACCATCTCATTGAACGCCAACCTTTGGGCTAGGAAGTTCCTTTCACGAACCAAGCGACCAACTAATCGGCCAATGAAAGGGACCCCCAGTTAGCCCTGCATAGCCGTTCGGTTATTTTCAAATTCAACTTTGGTCCGCTAAGCCACCTGTAGATGATTTTAACGTTGACAATGAAAGAGGCCTTTGGACGTTGGGCTCAATGAGCTGAGATGCCTTAGAGCGGAGATAATGCTAACTAGCGATTCACCTAGCGCTAGCGATCTTTGAACTCCAGCTCCTTTAAATCGCCGCATTAGCGTTGCCAACTAGCCTAGGTTAGAGGACTTATTTCAAACCTCACATCACTATCATGGTAAAATATAACAGAATAGCGGCCGCAATCCTTCAGGAGGTCAGGTCATTGACTCTATTGGGCGCTAAAAGCAGCCTCGTGATTAATCCAGACTCGCTTTCTAACAACTCTGGAGTTGTAGATATCAGTTACCGTATTCATATGTAGCGCCGCCATGACCTTAGCTTGTTGCGTTGGCTTTTAGCGTTTCGAAGGCGAGTTCCAACTGCGGTGATATTCTCTTGATCCTTCTCGCCTTGCTATCTAGGCAGGCGCGGCTTACTTCACCAACCTAACCACGAATTAGAGGCGATAGACCATTGCTTCGTGATGATGGACGAAGAATACGACCGCCGACTTCTGTTTGTACTCCATCCCCGACTCAATTCGAGGCTCACAATCCATTGGCCTTCTTCTTTCGTTATGTGTAAAGCGTGACCTTCATCCCTGAGCCGAGTTTCCATGATAATCGTACATGAATGGCCTCTCTCGCTCAAAAAGCCTTGGGGGACTGACTAAGGGATCAATAGACAAACATCGTTTAGATGCCCGACCGCAGCATATACACTAACAGATGTAGACAGTCAGTCGTTATAATCAAATATCAATTGTAGGCAAATACCCTAACTCCTAGGTATACATCACCTATCTAACATGCCGATAGTGAAGCAACCCAAAAACGCCATAAAACACACTTGCCGTCAAAATACCACTCTATCGAATAACCATCCAATACCCATCTGGGTCCGAAAAAAGTCCTACCTACGCTGAGCCGGGGCGGGCGGTCCACCATCACTGAACCAAACAAAGAACGATGTTGGTAGTTAAAGTTGTTTGATCATCTAATCCCTGAAAATTATACTACCTAGGTAGTGTACCTACCTACCTACCCAATTCTTTTCCCCCCCATCGCAATCTCAATAGGAATAGTACACATCACTCCCGATCTTGTGTTTCCTCTCCATCTCCTCTCCACACTCACGCGTGCGTGTCCCAGCGATCGCGGGCGGAGCCCTTGTGAACACGCGCTCACCGCTCCGCCGAAAAAAAGCTCCACTCCTAACTATCCGTATGGTTCCAGGTTTTGTCCGATGGGTTGGCTTCTAGGGTTTAGGCAACCTGTGTTATATGCATGTACATATGTGTGTAGGACAATGGAGGCTGTAGGTAGGTATGTATTGCTTATGTGCCTAGCTTTTCGGACTATACTCCGTATACTCAATCAATCAGCCTTACATACGATGATCAACTATCGACTCCCTTACGGCCCGCTTGCAAACACACAGCGTGGACCGATGTCTACTCATGTTAAGACAGCTGGGTAAAGTCCTACGTCCTGCTCATCTCCGAGGTGCCCAATGGCCTTACGACAAGTCACACAAACGTAGAAGAAAAAACACGAAGAAGGCTGGTTATAGAGTGATTATCATTCATACGACGAGAGGCACCCTGTTTCCCCTGGAGCATATAGACACGTCGGAAGGGAGGGGGCTTCGCAAAAACTAGGTACGTAAAATCAACGAACAAGAGTCTCCGCCGATATCCAAGCTACCTAAAGCCGGATATCTTATGGCAGTACAATATTGGGCCCTTTTTCCATCGACCTTCATCGTCTAGGCCTATGCTGAAATGTGTGGCGAATCAGAGCCCGACATATACTGTCGAAGTCAAAGTGCTCTCAACATGTACAGCCATCTGGGAACAATTACAAGCCCCCCTCTTCGTCAAAATTAGCATCGAATAGAAAAACGCCCCACACCCAGTGTCTAGTAATTATCAACCTCTGATCTTCAAGAAGAAAGTTAAAGCACAACAGGCTTAACTCCGAAAGCATGGAATTTGGGCGAATTAACTGAGGGAGATTGAGCCTCGCCCCCTTTCTCCAAGCCTCAGTCAGCCTTCTATAGGGCTGTCTTATCGATGACTGTCAGCTGAGGTGCGTTAAGGATTCCAAAGACATCTGGCAAACTCCGAAAACTTGGGCATGGAGTTCTTGACATGAATTGGCCGCTTTTAGTCCTCGAACTTGATGCTTCGGCTCTGGCTGATGTCTAACGGGCCGCCCTTGTAGCTGCCCCGCTTCTTCTTATTCTTTTCCTTGGTGAAGCCCTTGCCCTTGGTGACAATGAGATCTTGGTGGGCTTTCTCGCCGTAGCCATGCGCGACATAAGCATTAGTAGACAGTCTCGGGTCGACGACTACATCCTTGCGAATTCGCGAGAAAGGTTGATTCTGCGCCTTCGCGCCGTTCTTGCCCCGGTTGTTTGTTTTAAGTGTGCTCGGGTCGGGTGGAAGAGGGGCAGCAGGCATGAACTCAGGAGAAGTTTTGTCCAAAGTCGCAGAGGTATCCGATTCCGTTCCATTCAAGGTCTTGCCCTTGGTAACTTGCTTTGGCTTCTTCACATCTGAATCTGAGTCCGAGTCTGAGTCTGAGCTTGACTCGCTAGACGAAGAGCTAGATTCAGGTAGTGGTACTTCAGCAGCAACTTTCAAGTCTACCGTTGGTTCCGCATCGGATTCGGAATCCGAATCTTCAGAGTCGGAACTGGAGTCGGAGCTAGAAGACGAGTCCTCCTTGCCGATCTTCGACTTGCTAATGGGCTTAGCTTCGTCTTCGGAACTCTCATCTGAAGACGAGTCAGACGAATCAGAGGATGAGCTATCATCAGAGCTTTCCTTTGTCTTGGCCTTTTTAGACTGGGGTCTTTCGTCTTCTGAGCTCGAATCTGACATGTCATCGTCGGAATCGGAATCGGAAGAGCTTTCACTATCAGATTCAGCCTTCCGCTTCAAGGGGTTTGTGGCAGATTTGGCGGCTCCAGGTACCGACTTAGCGGGTTTAATCTTCTCTTCATCACTTTCGCTCTCGCTCTCGCTGTCACTTTCGCTTTCGTCAGAGCTTGAACTCGAAGATGATTCCGAACTGGAGTCCTGGGCACTAGGCGCGTCGGCCATGGCAATGTCTGCGGATGCTTCGCTATCGCTCTCGGAGCTCGATTCGTCATCACTGTCGCTGCTGTCGCTGCTGTCGCTGCTGCTACTGCTGCTGCTTACTTTGGTGATCTTCTCCATGGGATCTTCTTTAGGAATGATGGGCGTATTGTTTTGACTGGAGAATGTCTCCCAGGTCTGGAATACGCTGACTAGGGAGTGATGGGACTTGGCCTTGGATTTTCCGGCACCTTCTTCTTTCCAGCCTTTCTTAGCCCTGTGCTTCTGGAATTCGCGGTGAGCATGATCGAATCCTTGATCGGACAGGAAAGTTTCAACTAGGTCCATGAGTTGAGTCGGCGGGGTAGAGGTCTGGTCCTGTGTCGCGGAAGTGGAAGCGGAAGAGGCTGTAGTTACGACAGGCTTGGCTGGCTTGGCTGGCTTGGTCGACTTTGTCGCCTTGGTCGCCTTAGTCGCCTTGGATGCCTTTGGAGGTTTCTTATCGCTCTTTGCCATTGTGGCGTTCGCGTCTCTCGTATGGTCAGATGTTACAGGCGCCGAAGTAGCAGTAAAATTGTTGCTAAACAACCAAGAAGGAGGAGCGTGGGAAGATGTGTGTAGGCTACTGGGCATAACCTAAAGAATTGATAATAATTAATTATAACCTAGAGAGGCGTGTCCAATCCAATGGAAAGAAGGACAACCTTGGTAGTTGATTGAATTGAATTTTGGAAGAAAAATCCCGAGGCGAAACTTTTTTGTTGCAGAAGAAAAGTTTTAGTGGGTCGCGATTAAGGGCCCTCTTTCTGCCACTCAGTTCCTATCATTCACCGCCTACCCCTGCCCCTGCCCCTTCCTGGTGGAGATCAATGGCAACCAGTTTACATAAGCAAAGATAGTTACTTTCAATGTAACTAAACTCCATTATGTCAGCAAGACGACCTCAATTCTCCAGGACCACTACATTTAACATTGAACTAACATTGAACTTACCTGAGCCTCTAGGGAGGTAGGTACGTAGCAGGTACCAGTTAACTTCATATATGTTCACCTCCTTAAGTCACTGCGACCTAGGCGTTGGTCCTGAAAGCAAATGCCTCAGACATGACAGAAAAGATCTCCTAGATTTGAACATCATGCCGCTATTTTTTTTCGGTTGTTGATGTCTCAATACGAAAAATATTATTCAAGTTGCTTGCCTTAGGTAGCTTATCCTACAAGTCAATGTGGGATACGCGATACGGGATGCGGGATGCGGGTTGCAGGAGGCGATTGGGGCTAGCAGAACCCGGAAGCGCCGTATATTGCTATGGTCGGTCAACAATATGCCGGTGCCGTATATTTAACAATGAATATCACATGGCTTCTCATGATTTGGTTTTTAGTCACTATACTGGCAGAAAGGAAGAAGTCCCTCTGTTTTATCACCAAATAAGCTCAAAGCTATCAAAAGGGGTTTCTTACTCACTGAAAATTATGGAGGTAGTTTCCTTATCCCCTCGTCTCCTCGGTCATTATTCAATGCCAGTATTTTAGCATATGAACATAAATTTCCCCTTCACGAGCCTAGTTATTGTTGTCGAAAGTACGGTTTTGCTCAATACACGGTTTACTGCTATTCCACCATCGGCTTGGCCTATAGCTTGATCTCTGTGTGGCCCTGAATACAGATCATTGACCAATGACCATTCACAGCTACATAGGTACGTAGTCTTCGAAAGACTCTTCTATGATAATTTGACAGGTTTTGACGATAAAATTCTGTCAATAAGCGCAGTGCTAACAAATTTAGGGATAATACTCGTAAAATTCAGTTAAGAAACTGACGTTTTTGAATTTCAACCCTGCCACCACAGCGAGACTTAAGTAACGGGGTCGATATACGCCAGTTTTACGGCCTCCAAAGATTTTCTATAAATGCCTCAAGTCAAAACCTGGAAGATGTAGAATAATATCGTTGCGCGGGAATCTCTAGGTTTATTTAGTCATCCGCCCATGTAGCCTTCTCTACTTCAGTTAGCCCCCTGACAATAACTCAAGTAGCGAACACCAACACTCATATTCAAGAGAAACGCAGGCATAGAAGATTTGATAGCCTCTAGAGTATGCCTAGGGAGGGTACGCTCATTGGGGGCAAGTGAAAGAACCTCCTAGAAGGATATAATAGCAGAGAACTAGATCCAAACAGAGTACGTCGATGATCAATCTTGCAATTTTTACGCTTTCAACTTGGCACTTGATGACTCGCGAGATCTCGATTTACCTTCGCCCGAGAAACAGAACACTTTAAAGTATAGTTTAGTTTGAATTCCAAATATTCCCAAGGACCAACCGCTTCATTGCCTCACGCTTAGACTTGGGTCTCAATCTATCAACACTGGTAGTACCTAGTACGACCCAATGATCGGTATCTCAGGTAGGAAAACTTCTTCAGCAGCATGTACATGCACTTCTCCTGAAGGAATATACTTATGATGCCTTATCATGCTGTATATTTAAGTGCCAAGGCTGAGAAATGACGTAAATTAGGAAGCCATGATATTTCCCCTTCGTCAAGGCCAGCAACCTAACCAAACCCAGAGGTTTGCATACAATTCCAAATATTTAGAATGCCCCCAATCGGTCCGATTCACGCCAACAGTTAGAGATAGATGCTAGAAGTCCTATCACCGGTAAAAAGACACTTTTCAATAATCCTTATGGTCGAGATCTCGAATGTGTGCCAGTCCATTTACCCGGGGCTGGCCTATCACAGTCGCCCTACTTATTAGCCCGAGAATATTAGCCTCTACGCTTTTGCATTGTCAGGGGGCAGCAACATGCCGAAAACTTTCTAGGATCTTCGATTAGTTGGGTGCCAACCAAGTCAATATTAACAGAATCTGTACTCTTCGGCAGTTAATAAGCAAAAGGATTAGTCTGGTTCCCGTCGTATGTGCCCTGGGATATATATAGGTAGCTCAGGAACCCGACCGCTGGTCATATCTGGCACTCCTTTTGCCTATCATCCCAACAAGGTCTGTGACATCAAAATCCTCCCCAAAAATGTTTTGGACTAGTCTTCTCAGCCTCGCCGCGCTCGCCGAAGCCGCACCACAGTTTGGTGGTGGCTTCGGGGGTGTCACCATGTTGCGATTCGGATGCCCCAACGTGGTTATTGACCGGCTCGACCCCCTAGTCAACCCAGGCTCGATCCCCTCTTCGCATGTCCACCAAATCGTGGGAGGAAATGCCTTCAACGCGTCGATGACGACCGGTGATGTTTCAAAGGCTGCTACATGCACCACTTGCCAGTTCAGTGAGTCCACTCCAATAACAGCATAGGTGGTATATGGACAAAATTCACTGACTTTGATGTACCTAGGTGAGGACTTTAGCAACTACTGGACGGCCAACCTGTACTTCAAGGCCCGCAACGGAAGCTACAAGCGCGTTCCTCAACTCGGTCATGCGTACGTGTCTCCTATTCCCGTTATGATATTCATCCATTGCTTACCTGTGCTTTAGCCTGCAATTCAACGACCAGTTCAGCACACAGACACAGGGTGGTATCCTCGTATACTACGTCTCGGCCCAACCAGGCCAGATCACTGCCTTCAAGCCGGTTCGTTCTCATAGGAAATGGTCATGAGGCGAAATGATGATGCTGACCCCTGAATGTAGGGATTCCGCATGCTCTCCGGTGACGCCATGGCACGCTCGAGGTCCGACACCAAGCTGAAGAGGCAAAACTGCTTCCGATGCTACACCGGGCCAAACTACGGCGGCGACGTTGGTGCCCCCTGCATGGATGACAAGTAAATGATATTCTCCCCAGAACTCATGAATTCAGGTAGCTGATTATAATTTCAGTGTCGACTCTGAGGCTCTACCTAACAAGGTGTGCCCGGGTGGTATCCGATCCAACATTCTATTCCCAACGTAAGCCTCTCGCCACCTATGGTCTTGGGATGATACTAACAACGACGCCAGCTGCTGGGATGGAAAGAACCTCGACTCCCCCAACCACCAGGACCACGTCACCTACCCCACGACCGGCCCCGCGAACTTCCTCAGTCTCGGAGGCTCTTGCCCATCGACCCACCCCGTCCGCATCCCCCAGCTGATGTACGAGGTGGTCTGGGACACCACTAAGTTCAACGACAAGTCGCAATGGCCCGAGGACGGATCCCAGCCCTTCTACCTGAGCACGGGAGACAACACCGGATACGGCCAACACGCCGACTACGTCTTCGGGTGGAAGGACGACTCGCTCCAGAAGGCCATGGACACGTCAGGCTGCATGGGAGCTCGATGCGCTACCCTCCAGACCCAGAACATCAACACTGCCCGGGAGTGCTCCGTGAAGAAGGTTGTCAGCGAGGATGAGGATGGATGTAAGTTGACCCTGCGATCGAGTATATGGATAAATACACTTCGGAAAGCTAACGAGTGGATAGGGCTCCCCGAACTCCCCGGCATCAACATGCCTATGGTCTAGAGAGCTATGTGGTACAGAATCGTGTAGGATGAGTTTGGGAAGCGATAAATTGGCTAAGATCTTGGGGGAGGATGTTAGAGAGAAAGATTATACCTACCTAGATATTCACAGCTTCATTCGCCATTTGCCGTATTGGTTACTTGTGATGTTTCGAGTTGATCATGTTGCTGTTGATCGCATTAGTGAACACTCGGCCCCAATTTTCCCCTTGCCCCTTTCGACGATCCCCTTTTCTTAGATGTATTGATTGCTAGGTAGGTGATGTGTTAGATTAGGTACTGTGCAGCCTGCATCTGAAGTTGGCCGCACGGATCGCCAGGAACAAATCATGGAGTTATATCTGTGCTGGCGGGAGGCGGCTAGGCGGCAATTCTCACCTGAGGCTACCTACAGCTATTACTGGGGATTCCTTCTCGGGCTTCTATCTAGGTTTATATGTAAGATCTAGATCTCTTAGCTTTGTTCATCAGCTGAATAGGTAGGTGTTAGGTAGGTAAGTAGGTAGCTATATTATGATAGGGGCTAAAAGAAAAGAAAAGGGGGCGACGAGACCCACAAATAGTTTCGGCGCTAAGCTCAACCACCACCATGATCACCCGCTTACTACCAACTTACTCATCATCGAGCTTCAACATTCACCTCCCTTTACTTCGTACGTCGTACCATAAAATAACAACAGCTCCCACCTCAACCTCAACCTTCACACTCTTTCGTAAAACGTACACATTACAAGCCGCCACGATGTCTACCCGGCTCGAAACATTCATAAGGTTCACAACCGACTCAGGTACGTTTTTGAATATTCCTTCTTGTTTTCAAAAATCCCATAGGAAAGCTTGGCGGTGTCGGAACGTCCGGAACATGCCGGCGAGTTAAGTAGCTCTGCCGAGCTGGCCAATTGAACTTCATAAACTCATTTAACGGGATCGCAATCTGGGTTAAAAACATTGGGGGGAACATTCGTAGCTTGAATGAAGTTTGACTCTCATTCTCATTCGGACTTAAGATCCTAGGATATTACGTACTTGAGTAGAGTCTCATCACTCTTTCAATAAGGGGGCAGCTATCTACATATACTCCACAGATTGGATAGGGTTATGCATGGGCCTTGAAATAAGTCAATGTGGTGGTTTAGACTGTACTGAGATGTGAAGGCGTAAGAGTTCATGCCGAAGCTACTTTCATTGGACGTGAATCAAGCTACATCAACATCTTTGAAATGTTACCCACTCACTTTCATCTATATGAAGATGAAGGCTACCTATACTTAAAACCATTTACTCAAAACTCGAACTAAAACTTCATATATAAGCTCATCCACCACTAACAAACCCCCCTCCTAGTCGGCCTCGAGCGCACAATCCGGCTCTTCCAAGCCCTCGTACAAATCCTCTCCTCCTTCGCCCTCCCCTTCGACCTCTTACTGTACACCCTCACCCTCAGCACCTCCTCCCCCGTACCCCCCTCCGCCTCCGCAACCCGCCTCATCCTCGCAACTTTAAACCAGCGGCTCGGCCTAGCGCGGCGCTTCTTCCGGCTCTTCCGCTCCCTCGAGGCCTTCCACGCCGCGCAGAAGATCTACGCCCGCATCTCCTCCCCCGCCCCATCCTCTGCCGGCCAAAAGCGCCGCCCGACATGGGTACACCTCGAACCCTGGCTGGACCTGCTCTCCCGCACCTTCATGGGGATGTACCTGCTCCTCGAAGCGAGCACCTTCCCCCACGCCCTGCAAGTTCCCGGGCTGGCCCCCTGGTCGGCGGAGCGCGAGCGCCAGCTCACGATCGAGGGCCAGCGCTTCTGGCTGTTCGCTCTGGTTAGCGGCGCGCTGTACCAGGCTCTCGAGATCCTCAACGTGCTCGCGCACACGCCCGTCCCCGCCACCGGTGCTGGCTTTGGCGGCAACGGTGCTGCTGGGAACGGGTCGGAGACGGAGTCTAAGGAGGAAGCAGCCGTAGCAGACGCCGACGCGAACAACGACCTGCGAAAAGAGCAGCAGCGCCTCCGCGCCATCGTCGGCGCGCGCAAGGAGCAGCGGCGGCAGTGGCGTCGCGAGGTCGCCGCGAAGACCTCCAAGCTGGCGCGAGGGGCGATGGCGAATGCGCTGGATACCGTGCTGCCGGGGACCGTGGTGGGCTGGATCAAGGTCGAGCCCGGGACGGTGGCTGTGGCTATGCTCGTGACCACGATACTGACGAGCGTGGATGTGTGGGAGAGGTGTGAGCGCGAGGTTTTGGCCAGCAAATAGGAGGGAGGAGGGGGAGACGACTGAGCTTGGTTTTTTTTTCGTTCTTTACTGGGGATGAATCCGATGAGTTTAGATGGCGGATACGCTTTGGATGATGTGAAGTAGAGTGGTGCGAGACAAAAGAAGCCAATGTTGGATCATGGGGTTATGGACTTGGGTTAGGGCTCAGTCCATCAAATTTAACAACTCTGGAACCGACGATTATGTTCGTCCAACGATGCTTGCTTGAGTAGTTATCTACCTACTCAAGTAGATAATTTCAGCCTAGTCATATCAAGTTACCAAATTCATTGGTAAAAAAAGAATTGAGCATTGCCTTCGGTGAATAGGTATGTATATACAGGTAACGAGAAGTTGTGATGATGTACAATGCTGGCAATTCTTTAACTCGTGGAATTATGCCATCTAGCCTCATAAATGAAAGCATATTCATGTCTATTGGCCAGGAGAGACCAGCTTGCCCTGAGCTCGGGTATTGGGGTCCCACCCACCACCCAGAGCTTGGGAGCCGTTATGTTCTGCCGCATACTTCTGCATCCTCGCCACCAACTCCGGCCGGAAATGGCGGATGAGACCTTGGATAGGCCAGGCGAATGCCTCACCAAGAGCTATAGCCAAGTTAGTATGTCTTAAACAAACTGCTACTTGAACGATCTTCACTTACCGCAAATGGTGTGTCCTTCAACTTGTTTTGTTAACTCCTGCAACATATCAATCTCCCGTTCACGGCCAAGTCCCTTCTCGAACCGGCTCATGATCTGCTCAGTCCACTTGCTACCCTCTCGGCAGGGTGTGCACTGCCCACAAGATTCGTGGCGGTAGAAGTGACTTAATCGTGAGATTGCTCTTACAACATCAGCGCTCTTGTCTAGAACGATGACTGCTGCCGTGCCAAGACCAGACTGGCTGTCTTTGAGGGCATCAAAGTCCATCAATTGGTCATCGCAAACGCTTTTGGGAAGGATAGGAGTGGATGAGCCGCCGGGAATGATGGCAAGTAGGTTATCCCAGCCACCTCGAACACCACCACAGTGCTTCTCAATTAGTTCTCTTAGAGGGATGCTCATCTCCTCTTCAACGGTCGCCGGGTTGTTGACGTGGCCGGAAATGCAGAATAGCTTAGTTCCTTGGTTCCGCTCTCGACCAAAAGAGGCGAACCAGCTTCCACCTCTGCGGCAAATTGTGGGGGCCACGGCGATAGTTTCGACGTTGGCAACGGTAGATGGACAACCAAATACACCCACAGCGGCCGGGAATGGAGGCTTTAGACGGGGCTTGCCGGGCTTTCCCTCTAGAGATTCGATAAGTGATGTCTCTTCACCACAGACGTAGGCACCGGCGCCACGGTGTAAGTAGACGTCGAAATCGTAACCGGAACCACAGGCGTTCTTGCCGATCAATCCATCGGCATATGCCTCATTAATAGCTCTCTGTAGGACGGCAGCTTCTAGGATAAATTCGCCACGGATATAGATATAAGCAGCGGTGGCGTTCATGGCTCGGCCAGCGACTAAACATCCTTCGATAAGTTTGTGGGGGTCCTTTCGCATGATCTCTCGGTCCTTGCAGGTTCCGGGCTCGCCTTCATCGGCGTTGACAACTAGATATCTAGGTTTTGTATCCTTATCCCAATCTTTGAAGTTCATAAATGACTGTTCCATCCATGGATTAACAACGGTTCCGACAACAAAAAATGATTGCTATTATGGCATCAGACCTACCCATTTCAATCCGGAAGGAAAGCCAGCTCCTCCTCTACCTCGTAAACCGGATGCCTTGACCTCACCAATGATCCAGTCATGACCCTTTAAAATAATCTCTTTTGTCTTGTGCCAGTCACCCATCTTCTTGGCCGACTTCAAATCGGCGGGGTAGCGTCCATAAAGGTTTTGGAATATACGGTCTTGATCCTTAAGACCGCCGTATGTTCGCTTCGGGGCTCCATCCTGCACTGTCGCGAAATTTCGGCTCTGCTGGGACTTGGAGGGTGGTGGTATTCGGGAGCAGGATGGTAAAGCGACTCGCGATATTGTTTTCGCAGAAACGGCCGACGGCGCGGTAGTCCTGGACAGCATCTTGGAAGGGTTGGGTGTTGTCGGGTGCTCAATTGAGCATGGAGAGTGGAGAGTCCGATAGGCAATGGGGAAGAGAGATCAGGTAGTTGAGATTAGGAATTAATCGGAATTTTGGTAGGAAATAAGAAAGAATGAGGCACTTTGAACCTTGGAATAGAAATGTCCAAATCTTGATTGGCTCTATCTTCAATACTTACATCTCCAGGTGGGTCCTTGTGGCAATCACAGCTTAAACCTTAAATGTTTGAACCACATTTTCATTGTCCTCTGTGGCTAGTTGGCTCTAGTTGGCTCTAGTTGGCTCTAGTTGGCTGAGTAATGAAGTCATTTGCTTGCTTGCTTCCTGAACTATTCGTTTTATGAATATTTCCTTTTTAATAGGTGAATGTTGAATGTTCTAACCTAACCTTAGTTAATACTTTGTTATCGCGATATTTCAATAATCAAGAACAATATCACCAGGATCAAAGAATCAAATAAATCAAATGAATCAACTTCATTAATCAATTGAGCAAAGCCCACCTCTGCATGTAACCATGACCTCAAGCCTTCTGAATCACTCGTTATCCATGCTTCTCCCCACTTGACTTTTCCAACTTATACCGGAGCAAACATGTCCTCTTCAAAACGTCAATCGATCCTCCCGCGCGTGCACTCCGGCCCCAAAGCTCCCGTCAACTTTTCCTCCTCCATTACCATAGCGGATTCGGCCCTCTTGACGGGAAACCATACTATAAACATCAGCTCTGAGTCGGTCGTGCATCCACGAGCGAAGTTGGATTCCTCTAATGGACGAATCACCATCGGTCGAAGATGTATTGTCCATGAGCGAACGAGCATCGGAGCTGCGTCTGCCGACCCACGACCGAGCGAATCTCGCGACGGCGTAGTCATCAGCGACTATGTTACCGTCGAAGTAGGCGCAATACTTGAGTCGGGCGGCACATTCATCGGCGAGGGGTGTCTAATCGGTGTAGGATGTAAGATTGGGAAGGGAGCAAAGTTGGGCAAGGTAAGCTCTTCCCTAGATTTCATGTTATTGTAATGTTCCCAGTATTGATCGTAGCCAAGCATTGCACTTTCACGCCGCAAACCGTCATACAGCCGGGAGAAGTAGTCCCGGATTTCACTGTTATATACTCCAACGGTATCAGACGATCTGATAAACGCGGTGTGACGGAGTTGAAGAATAAGGCGCAAGCTCGCCAGATCGAGATTCTACGAAGACTCATACCTAGTCACCCTGGGAAGTTTCAATAATAGTAGATACCCTTACGAAGTATATGCACATCTTCAGTTACTAAGTTATAATGATATCCACGTGTGTTCCCATTTAAACTTCAAAGATGAGCTTAGCCCGTCGCTTCAATTGATCCATACATGCTAGCTTGTTGGTGCTTTTATTTGTCTAAATTGACTCTATGAACAATCAAAGCTCTCCAGGCGCTGTGTAGCATTTTCTGAACAATGGGTGATAGCTTTCCCCCCTATTTACTTGTCATGCAACGCTAACCCCTCATTAGCTTAACAATATAGGTAAGAATAAGAGCTAAAACTTTTATATGAATAAGGCACAGTGGCGGAGTGGTCTAACGCGTGTGACTCGAAATCACATCTCTTCGGAGGCGCCTGTTCGAATCAGGCCTGTGTCGTCCTCATTAATATTTCTTTTTTGATCTCATCGCTTTTTACAAACTTCAATTATCCTTCAGTTCAGTTCCTCGTGTCTAGTAAGATTTCGGTTTATTTTTACCTTGATACAGTCTCAATCTACATAATAGTCATACTTTTCGTTTAAGTCTCGTCTCGTCTCGATCATAACTATTCCATAGAAATTCAAACCATACCTAATTATATTTCATTTTCAAACAAGATGCCCCCTACTCCTTATTATGTCTCCTCTCCTCATATTCTCTTCCGCACAAATTAGTCTCAACCGAAAGCGGCCCTTTTTAATTGATTATGCCATGAGATTCTGTTAGCTTTCTTATCGGAAACTGTGTCCTCCATTTTCTCTTTGATCATGAACACATCTCTACCTGTTGCCAAATCCGCCTCGGCCAGAGGCACAATGCTAGTTCTCTTGTAGACTCTCCAGCCAAAAAATAGGATGACAAACACTAAAACTACAGCATATGAGTCGAGAAAACCTACAATGTCGAAGCTGCCCGAAAAGGCGTCATAACCGGAAATGAGAACCAAAAACAAATTCAGCGCCACGACGAACCATGCTCCGTAGGGATACAGGAACGCCCGGTACGGCAGCTCCTCGGCACTGCGCCCTTGCACCGTCCATGCCCGCCGTAGGCGCAGGTGCATGACCCCGATGGCAGCCCAGGTGATAAAAGCCGCCGTGTCGCAGAAGTTGATCAGGAACCCGAACACCTGGCCCGGCTCCTCCTCTGCCGCCGCGGTGCTGCAGTTGTTGACCAAGGCGACAAGCCCGAACGCGTTGGAGAGTAGCACGGCGTTAAGCGGCACCCCGCCCGCCGTCGTCCGCGCGAACAGCGCCGGCGCGCGCCCACCCGCCGCGAGCGAGGCCAGCACGCGCGAGGACACGTAGATGGCGCTGTTGACGGACGACAGCGCAGCTACAATCATCACCGCGTTGAGCAAGTTGCTTGCGTCGGCCCAGCCGGCCTGCACCAGCGCAATCGTCCACGGCGACCGCGCCGCCTTGTCGCTGGTCTCCGCCAGCAGCCCGGCATCGTCGAACGGCACGATGATGCCCGCGAAGAAGACGAGCCCGACGAACGTCGCCGCGATGCGCCAGAAGCTCCGCCGGATCGCCCGCGGCACGTCCCTGTGCGGGTCCCGGCTCTCGGCCGCCGTCAAGGCAACCATCTCGGTCCCGCCGAAGTACACGGCCGCCAGTACGAGCGACGACGCGAACCCGCCGACCCCGTTCGTCACCGCGCCCGGGTCGCGCCAGTACCGGAACCCGAGGTACTCCCCGCTGCTGCTGATGGCGCCGGTGTTGAGCAGGATCGCGAGCACGAAGCCGCCCGCGACGCAGAGCAGCTTCCACGACGTGAGCACGAGCATGATGTCGCCGTACACCGCGGCGCCGAGCACCGAGACGCCCTGGAACAGCGCCCAGAAAACCAGCACCCACGCCCAGGGAGGCACGGCGGGGCTCGTCCACCGCCCGACGGCGCGCGCGAGGCTGTTGTAGTCGTGCGCGATGCTCGACACCCACAGCGCGTAGTACGTCGTCCCCAGCGCGAAGGCGAGCGCTGGGTCGACGAAGCGGGCGGCTAGTGAGAGGAAGGCGCCGCGTACGCCAGGGAAGAGCGCGCACATCTCTGCGAGGCTTTGGGAGACGAAGAACACGTCGATGCCGATGAGCAGGAAGGAGAGGAGCGCGCCGAGGGGCCCGCTGGAGGCGAGGGCGGCGCCGGTGCCGTTGAAGACGCTGGCGCCGACGACGCTGCTGAAGGCGAGCATTTGCTATCACTCGGGGGAGTTATACTTAGTATGGTTGCGGTGGGAGTGGGGTTTAGGGGTGGTAGGTAAGTACGCACCAAATGCCGACTCTTAAGGCCGCGCTGTAAGCCATCGTTGGCAGCGTTGTCGTCAATGCATTCCCCTGTCCCGACGGAGATGTCGTCTTGCGAGATGTGCGAGGTCGATGACTTATCGTCGATATCTTCCATGGTCCCCATTATTCTGGTGGGATGGGAAGGATGCTACTACGGAATTACGACAAACGGTCCTCTAAGTCAAGCATCACCGACAGAGAGGATGGATGGATGGACAGACAGGGTTATTCTGAGCAGGCACGTCGCAGTTATGATATACCTCGGATTTCAAAGCCTATGGGGCTGTGTAAGTCAATGGGTGTTACGTGATACACCTGCGTAGGTAAGTATTTACATACATGCCCAGGTGGTTTAATCCAAGTAATCTCTACGATACCTATGTAGTCAGTTGTACATCCAGCACCAGCTACCTCAGCGCAATAGCAATCTCTATCGTGGAGGCAAACAGACCGGTAAAGAAGTTCTGGGCTCCCCGCACATGATTGGTAGACAGCGTTGCAATCATATTGGTAGTTATTCATCTATAGTAAGTCAATATCGCTCGTGGCGGAGCTGACTCTTACACACTTGCCCGTTCGTGTCGAGGTACGTAGTAAGCGGTACACCTATGGCTGTCGATGAGTGGCAAATTAGCTTGGACATAACTACATATTTACTATATTACTAAGTATGCGAGAATCTGTGCCTAGTATATTGAGAGGTTAACTTTCAACTCTTGTGGTGGTTTCTTATCCCGAACGGGCGACATAGTTGCGACGTAGTAGACGAATGAGGTAGGTAGCTAGATTGAGGCATGTGGAAGTGTCAAGACCCAACTGAAGGGAACATATGACGTATTTATACAGGAAGCAGCAAAAGAGTACACCATCTTGGGATCGAGGACTCGAGGACACGATTTCTTTTTTGGTGTAGTGGAAAATAGGGGTACATGCGACATGTACGAGGAAATCATTGGGTATATTGATATACATCGTAATCATCTCGTTAGCCTGCTGCCTTTGAGCTAAGTGCCAATTACTTCAGCTAGTTTTGCAGCATCTAACATACCTAGGGGGGTAGTCAACATCAGTTGTGTCACGTCGACTCAGCAATCTTCCTCACTCCGAAGAAGTAGTTGCCAATTTTCTCACTCCCGTTGACCTGCCTCCAACCAACCCCAGGGACGTAAACCACGCCCATGCATCTCGGTTCGGCCCAACCCGTTCTGTTCCTCAGAAAATGTGCTCTCATCTCCTCCTCGTTAATATACTTGTTCCAGTCATGCGTGCCCTTCGGCACCATACGTAGTATGTCTTCCGCCACAACATTCGTGGTCAACCAGCTCATCCATGTTCTTGCGATCGTGCTAAGCACAAGCCATCCGCCGGGCTTGACGAAAGGTGTACACCGGTCTAGAAACTCCGCCGGATTCGACACGTGCTCTACCACTTCGAAGATGGACACGACGTCGTATGCTTCCTCGGGCGTGGCGGGCACGGGAAGGTTCTCGATGGGCGTGTTTAGGTAAGTTAATTTGGACTTTAGCACCGGATCGCGCTTCGCGTGGGCCTTAGCAATGGCCAGCACCTCGGGGCTCGGGTCAATGGCTGTCACGGAAGCAGTACTGGGCAAGCGGGCGGCGGACTCGGCGAAGATTCCCCCTCCACAGCCTATATCGAGGTATTTTAGTTTTGTCGAGGGTGTAAGGGGGGCGTCAAAGGTAGAGGAGTGGCATGAACGGATGAAGTCGTGGCGGAGCGGATTCATAAGGTGAAGGATCCGAGAGGGACCTTGGGGGTCCCACCATGAGGAGGCGAGGGCATTAAAGTGGGATACCTCTTCGGGAGAGACGGTGGTGAATGTGGAAGAGTTGGTGGAAGATTGAGATTGTCGGTGGGAAGCGGGTGTTGAGAAGCTTCGGCTTGGATTTATCGTCACATGCCGAATGGTCCGCGATGCCGCGGTAGGAGTCCGAAGCCGTCGGAGGAATGTGGTTCCCGGACGGGGCGGCATGGCGTAAGGCTATTAGCTAGATACCTGTGCGATTTGTCACTTGATCATCGTTGAGTGCTATCGTAGACAATAGTAATACGCAACTGACGATATAAAAGATGCCAACCAATGGTGATGATATTGGTCGCATTGAATAAAAAAAAGATGAAAGTTCCCAATTAGGTAACGAGCTGAAATCAATTAAAGTGCAGGTAACAGCCCATGCGGAATTGGCCAATCATGGCTAGGTGCTAACAGTGATGTAATCCTTGTCGGACCCCGAGGATCACCATATTATAGTGCACTCAGTGACTGCACTCCATAGAGGATAACCCCTCCTACCCCGCCGAGGATCGGGATACTTAGGTACTCTGGGTACCTAGCATGATTACCTAGGTACCTAGTATCGATTACTCGGGTCATCCATCAGTCAGCATTTCAAAGAATCTTTCCCTTTTTCTTACAACTTCTCTGAATGAGGAATTCTATATCCCTTCTACATTCCTACTCTTTAGATATTTTACTGTTAATCAAATCATTTCAAAAGTGAAAGCTCTTTGTTTCTACGTTATCAATTTTTGATTAAGCTTTCACACACCCACAAACGAGCCCTTCTCCGTGATCTACATTTGCTGCATATTGTGACGCAAGTCTCCAAATCTCGTCTTTAAATCTAGACCTTTGCGCCATTCCTGCGCCATTCCTGCGCCATATCACATACAATGCCTTCCGCAGCAGCCATCGATCATAAACGCTTCGATACGATACCTGATACCATCGCTGCTTTCCGTATGTGTTCATATTCATAGGTAACTTGTGAATTGAATCAAACTACTCACTGGAGGCCTTCATACTCAAGCATAGCTATACATAACTAACACAATTAACTCTTGGTTAGGAAATGGAGAATTCATAGTAGTTTTAGATGACCCAGGTCGCGAGAACGAAGCCGATCTCATCATAGCCGCCGAGCATGTAACCACTGAGCAGATGGCTTTCTTAGTTCGATACTCGTCTGGTTATGTATGCGCCCCGATTACGCCCGCCCTTACCGAATTCCTCAACCTACCTCAGATGGTTCAGCACAGCGAAGACGTCCGTGGAACGGCGTACACGATCTCTATAGACGCAGCTGATCCCTCTGTAACCACGGGTATTAGCGCTCATGACCGTGCCCTGACCGCGCGGCTTCTTGCCGACCCTAAATCAACACCAGCTAGTTTCCGACGCCCCGGCCACGTGCTTCCGTTACGCGCCCGACCGGGAGGTGTTAGGGCTCGGAGAGGTCACACCGAGGCCGGTGTTGACTTTTGCAGATTGGCCGGCAAACCCGAAGTAGCCATAATTTGTGAGCTAGTCGAAGACGGAAACGAGGTCAGCGGAAGCGCCGTGCTGGAAAACCCCGGCATGATGAGGGGCGAGGGGTGCATCGATTTCGCGCGGAAATGGGGCCTGAAAGTCTGCACGATTGAAGATCTGGTTACTTATTTGGAAAAGACTGAAGGTAAGATCGATTCAAATGGGAGCGCGTAATGTCCCGCGAGTTATTTTTGCATATTATCGGTTGTACGACATTCTCAGGCTCAGCACTGCCAAGGGCGTAGAAAAAACAAAAGCGAGGGAGAAACAGGGCGGCAATGCCAGTCTAAGGCCTAAAAACGAATCCATATTTGCGCTTGTATAGAGAAAAAGGTCCGTCATCACGGAGTTGCATCCCCTCACCCACGGATATATCTGAATATACCTGTATATCATATTGTACTATATACTACCGACGGCAAGCATCTGACATCGAAGATAAGATACTCCTTTACAATGTATTTGCCATCTAGTCCCACACCCTTTCTCGGGTATTTTGTACTGCACTATTGATGCGATTCGCCCTGTCGATCCATCAATATACCGGTCAGCTACTGTAAGAGAAGTGCATTTATGTACCTGGATAAGCATCTACCTTTTCACATCCTCATAACCGCGGCGGAACTGGCGATCTTTTGATGAACGTGGTTACATTAAGACATCGGTCATATACCGTTAATTCCGGGTCGTCGTCAGCAAGCGATGCCATCGTATATTTCTCCAATCACCGGGTTGCTTATTTCGAGTTTATATATTTAATATATTTATAACACTCCCATGACCAAAATTCATCTTTGGTATTTCCCAGAGTGCACATCATAGCTATTACAGTGCGTGGGGGACTATCCACAATGGCTACCATGGCTTCTACCCTCCCTTCCCCCCACGTATTCCTCGCCATATGCATTTCTATTCTTCCTATATCTATAGTTATATATCGCTTGTATCTCCATCCGCTGGCAAAGATCCCAGGTCCTAGACTTGCTGCTATTACAAGTCTGTGGTACGTGTACCAAGTGAAAGAGGCACGCAGTAAGTCCATCTCCAAGTATCCTCGAAACAACAACCACGTGAGAATTACTGAATGTTTAATGCTTCAGTGCTCAGTCTATATCGAGAACTACATAAAAAGTATGGGCCGGTAGTTCGGGTCAGTCCCAACGAGGTCTCATTTGATTCCAAGGAAGCATACGATGAAATATATAGTACGTGAATAATCAACCGTAGTTTGGAAGTCATTGATGGTCAAGTAGCTCACGAGAAGAAATTAGCTGGAAATCGATATATTGAGAAGGGCGACTTCTACTGTATGATATTCATATGTCCCCTCTTCTCGTTTGACTAGTCTACTTATCTTAATAGGGGCTCTCAGCAATAATCCAGGACGAATTGATTGGCGATTCCGCCGCCACCAAGGCGATGCCTTTGCCTTTAATGGTGAGCTGAATATGGAAAGGTACCGCAGCCACCGCAAGAGCATCGGCCAAACGTACTCCGCATCGTCAGTCAAAAAGTACAGCGAGCGTATGGATGCAGTGATGGAGCGGTTCATCGCCAAGCTGAAGGAGCACGAAGGACAAGTTCTCGACCTTACGAACTGGGTTCATCTGGTCATTGTCGAGCTTCTAGGCGCTGTCACGTTGAACTGGTCTCCTGGCTTCATCAACGACGAAACCGACCATGGATATCTGCTTAAGACCCTCGGCTTTTGGCGCGAGGTGACTGCTCTAGGAGCTCTCCAGTACTTCCTCCTCGCTATACATAAGTGGCCTTCGATACGGCCAATGGTGGATAAGGTGTTTGGCCTCCAGGTCAAGCTGCCTGCTGGCTACGTGCCTTTCGAGCCGGTATGAACCCCCTTATTCACTTGTGCATACCTTGGCCAATACATACCTACTTGTATCGCAGCGACGAAGCTAACCCACCGATGCAGAGATTCGAATCCATCATCAAAGACCGCACCGCGGCTTTCCTCTCATCCGAAAAACGCGATAAACCCAGCAGCGACGCATCGCCGCCGCCAGACATGCTGTCCGAGCTCCTCCACGTCACCACCAAACGGGCCAACTGGACACCCGCGTACGCCTCCACGATGGGGTCCGCCAACTTCATCGCCGGCCACGAGACCACGACCTCCATCGCCACCTCGGCCCTCTTCCGCATCTTCTCCGACCCCGCCATCCAAGCGCGCGTGCACGCCGAACTCGACGCCAACACCAACACCAACACCAACGACGACGACGACGACGCCTGTGTCTACACGCACGCCTGCATCAAAGAGGCCCTCCGCCTCGACACCGTGACCTCGCTGCCCCTCTGGCGCAAGGTCCCCGCCGGCGGCCCCCCGCTCGCGCTGCACGGACACGCGATCCCGCCCGGCACCACCGTCGGCGTCAGCATGCCCGCCCTGCACTCCAACCCCGCGGTCTTCGGCGCCGACGCAGGGACGTTCAGGCCGGAGCGCTGGCTCGAGGGGGACCACCGCCGCCGCCGCACGAGTCTCGCGTGGGGAGGCGGCGCGCACACGTGCCCCGGAAGGAACCTGGCGGAGATGATGCTGGCGAAGGTGGTGCTTGGGGTGTTGCGCGGGTTCGAGGGGGAGGTGGTGGGCGTGAGGGGGGGCAGGGAGATGGGCAGTTTTACGTATGTGGCGATGCGTTTGGGGATTGAGGTGAGGTTTTGGGAGAGGGGGAAGGGGAGCGTGTAGGAAGGGGTGTGGGGAGAAGAAAGGGGGGGGGAAGATAAATAGGGGGGAGACTAGCTTAGGTAGCTTAGAAGCTTTGTGGTCGTGGGTTATACTGTATAGTTAAGGTTTCTATATATTATTTTGAGCAGATATAGGTAGGTACAGGTGTCACTATTTAACGATGGAACTCGGATTTACCTCGAAGTTACATGCGAAATATCTTTCATATTCTACCCATTTTATATATCTGCCTAGCACTTGAATAAAGTGGTATAGGAAAAGAGCACCGACCGAGCCAACCATCTATATCCGAACATAGTCGAGAACTAAAACCAATTACCTACCTACTCAAATTTACCTAGGTATCTACGGCAGCCATTTGATCTTTCGTATCTCTGCAAGCTTAGCGACACACTGCTCATCGGTCTCCAGCGGGAATATTCTCTTCATCGCCCTGTACAGGCGCAGCTCCATCCGCACCACCTCTATCTCTGCCGTCTCAATCGGCGCCCGACGCATCAGCAAGTTGAATCGAAGAGGAGAGTACAAGACCCTCTCTGCCCGTCTCAGCAGCCAGCGCGAGAGCACGGTGTGACGCCAGATGAGGCCGTTGAAGAGCGCCGGGTCCTGGCTCACCGCGCGGAACTGGTGGAGCTTCACGCTCGCGCGGGCCTTGATCACGGCGAGAAAGCAGAGAGACAGGCACCAGCCGAAGAGCTGATACCCGCTAACCATGATGAACATATACGGGTTCGACTGCCCGAGCGTCAGCCAAGGGTTGACGGTGGGGCTCAGCACGTTGTACACCATGGCCAGGAAGCACGCGATGCCGCCCCAGACCGTCCAGAGCAGGTCCCAGGACGCGCGGCTCAGCTCGCCGTGCACGAGCATGGTGTAGAGGTTCATGAAGTCGGCGACGTGGAAGTACAGCACGCACGCGACGAACTGGAACACGGGCGGGTGCAGGTAGTACTTGGGCTCCGATCGCGATCCGACCAGCATGCTCAGGACGTCCGGGAGCAGGGTCCAGCGGAGGAAGAAGTTGTACAGGAAACTGATGGTGAATACCGCGAAAAGGACATCCATGATAACGGTAGCAAAGGAAACCTCTCTTATTACTTCCGCAGGATCGTAGACCAGCGGCATGGATTCTCCCCAGGAAGTTACATTGGAAGGGAGAAAGGCGTTACTGGTCTTCTCGGTGGCTGTGAACATGCTCAGGAAGAAGTTCTTCAGAATGGCGGAGAGCTTCCTAAACATCTGCCCGGCGATACCGAGAGCTTGGGAAACAAGCTTGGAATCGGCGATGGAACGGAACATCGGCAAGTTGTACAAGGGTGCCAGGGCGTATTTCACGACCCCGGCCACGACGTTGAATGAAGCAACGATCAGATCCCACACGGAGAAGACACAATACTGCCAGAAGCGCCAAATTGAGCGAAGGATGCCGAGAACGAACATAATGGCGCTATAGTTGTAGCCGAGGATCCAGGAGGCGAAGTTGCGCACGGAGGAAAAGGCGCCAGCGGGGATGGTGAACAAGAACGGCGCGTTGTGGTAGACCCAGCTGTATACGCTAGTAACCGGTGTCAATAGGAGAACAAGCGAATAGTTGCACGCGCGCCAGACGAAGCCTGGTGTGGCATAAATAAGTCTCATAATACCACGGACGCAACCGGACGATGCAGCATACGTGTCCTCGAGGAAGACAAGGGGGTGTGTGATCGAGTGCCAGATGTAGTTTGGGATGGCAATGAACGTGAATAACAAAAACTTGTAAACATAATGACATATACTAAAAAACAACATCGTAAGGAGACCGAAGAGATACTTGCACCCGCTCCACAGGAAGCTCGGGACGGTGGTGCAAGCGAATCTCGCGGCTTTGTAAACATAAGCGAACGAACTCGAGGACAATCTCCCGAGGAGGCCAACGGAGTATTTACTGAAGCGCCAAAGCATGCCCGGGATGCCGCAGACGAACGCCGAGGCATACGACCCGGAACCGGAGGCTAGCGCGCGGTAGTCCGTGGCGAGCAGGACGTTGCAGAGCTCGAAGAAGGCGTTCTCGTAGAAGAACCGCAGGTTCCCGACCGCGAAGTATATGATCAGGTACACCTGCAGGTACACGAAGAGCTGGCGCGGGCTGAGGTCGAAGCCGATGTCTTCGAGGAAGGAATCCATTCTTTTTTTTTATATGGCTGGCGAGATACACTTGGATACCTTTGGGGAAAGGAAATTGACGGTGAATGGTTGGGTTAGTAAAAAGTACGTCTGATTGGCCTAGGGAGCTTAGATATAATAGGAAGGAATAGGATGCTACTATTTTATAGCGAGTTCTTTTGTTCACGAGCACGGTGGTTGTTTCATTGTTAAAGGCATCGTGGTAAGACGATGAGAGATGGTTATGGCTGGAAACAAACATGGGCTCTTTATTCATAAGCGGATTGTCTTCTTTTGAGATTTATTGTGTACTGTTGTTCCGACTTCATAGACTGGTCATTGACTACCTACCTAGGTACCCAGCAATTCAAGAACAGATTGATGCCTGCCTAGGTAGGTACTGTCAGCATGTACCTATCAATGCCATGGCTTCGTGGAGCGATTCAAGAGGCATAGTTTACCAGAGAGGGTGATAAATAAACTGGAGGGCTTGATTCTTTTAACCTACAAATCTACTTGTCATATGCCACACAAAGGGATACATAGAAAGAATAGGGGGCCCCTTTTCTTTTTTGATTAGCAAAACTGCTACCCGACGCCCCGGTCGAGTCCGGCAAAAAGAATAATTGACGTACACCACGGAACAAATGATGCAATGCCGAGGTCGGGCACGAAGCAACCAAATTCTGTATTTACAGCTTAGCTTTACAACAAAATCGAACGCTGCCGTCGCGGATTTCCAAGCCGGAAGGAAACGGGATCGTCTAACGAAGCCTGCCGGTATCCGGACCCCACACTTCGTTTTCTTTTGATTCCCGAGGTTATTGCTATATGTATGTTCTATATGCTACTGGACGCATTTGCATTCACCCATCCGAAATTGCCGAGACCAGGGCGCGCGGAGGCTAGTCGGAAATGGGGAATGGGGAATCCTGCAAGCGCCGGTACCGGTACTTTTTTACTGGCCGGTGACTCCGTGCCCAGCCGGTCGTTCGTCCACTTGTTTCCTTCGCACAACTTTCCACCGTTCTCATAGATTTCGCTTCAATTTACCAATGAAATCGGCATTTCTGTTGAGTAAAAGGAAGGCAGCTTAAATGTTGGACAAAGTGGCAAAGGGCGCGAGATGGTTCTACCATGAATTTGGCATCGCCGCCATCAACGAGGCCGGTCGGGATGCGTACCTCATTATTCTTGCGCGCACGTGCCGCATGTTTGCGTACGGGACGAATGCGCTGATTCTCGGTATGCACTACTTGCTTCGTTGAACAGATCCATCGATTTTGGTCTGTTGTGTGTGCGTGTTTTGACAAAAATCTGCAGCCATCTTTTTCTCTGCCTTGGATATATCCGACCACCAGATTGGCCTTTTTATGACGCTCACGCTGCTCGGGGATGTATTCCTAGGAACGTTCATCACGCTCGTTGCAGACCGCATAGGGAGGCGGAAGGTCTTGGTCTGCGGCTCTCTGCTGATGGTACTGAGTGGCGTCGTCTTCGCGGTTTTTGAAAACTTCTGGATCTTACTTTTCGCTGCTATTGTTGGTGTTATAAGTATCACCGGAAGTGATTTTGGCCCCTTTCGGAGTATCGAGGAGTATGTCTTATAGAAGCAATAGGCTACATTCTAGTACATGGATTGCGAAATGGCTAATGATCACACCTAGGTCAATGCTGTCACAGCTTACTACTTCTTCGACGAGGGCAGATGTCTTGGCGTGGTACGTCACGATCGCGCTGTTTGGGTCATCATTGGGAAGCGAGCTGTCAGGAAGAATACTGCACTTCCTGCAGAGCAAAGACGGGTGGTCGGAAATTGATTCATACCATGCTCTCTTCTGGATCTATACCGGCATGGGCCTTGTCAATGTTGGGTTGATGCTGTTGCTGACGGATGCTTGTGAACTTCCGCCGTCAAAGGAGACGTACACACAATTACCCCAGGAAGATGACGTGAGAAATGCAGATGCGAATGTGGAAAGTCGCATTGAACCACCGGAAGTGGCTTTTGGATCTGAAGAACATTCGTTCTGGTTTACGAGGGTTCTGAAGTGGCTTTCTAACCGATTTGCTCAGATATCGGCGCCCACGCGATCTATCATGTATAAGTTGTGGTTTTTACTGGCCGTTGACTCACTTGCGGATGGTATGGTGCCGTATTCGTTGACCAATTATTACATCGACAAAACCTTCCACCCTTCCAAGTCGACGCTGGGGGATATAACCTCTTTTAGCTATCTTCTTGGAGGGATTTCGGCGGCATTCTGTGGTCCTCTGGCGAGGAAGATTGGACTAATTAACACAATGGTGTTCACGCATACCCCGTCTTCTGCAGCTGTATTGATATTCCCCTTTTCCCCGCATCTTTGGGTGGCGGCGGGGCTTTTGCTTATTCGGGCAGGGCTGAATAATATGGACCAAGCCCCACGAGCTGCTTTTATTGCTGCGGTCGTAAAACCAGAGGAGCGAACGGCGGTTATGGGAATCACAGCGACGGTCAGGACCCTGGCCGCAATGACGGGACCTAGTATCACTGGTCTCCTGGCAGCGAATGACCGGTTTTGGATCGCATTCGTTATGGCAGGCAGCTGCCGCCTAGCGTACGACTTTGGCCTTTACGCTTTATTCGTGAACATGAAACTTCACGAGCATGAGAGCAAGCCGAACGACTTATCTACTGGACAAGATTCAAGACGTGTCTATGACGAAGAGATGGAGCTGCGAAGCTTAGCTGACACTGGTTCTGATAGTGATACTGATAGCGGTAGCAAAGAGTCGAGTTCTGACAGGCTGGAGTTTGGAAGCGCTGGTCTCCAAATTCCGGACGGGAATCAGAGACTTCGAAGTAGAAGCCCGCGTCGAGGCCCTGACATGGGCGAGGTTTGATTCAAAGTGATACATACATTGTAGCTTAGCCCGGGTAGGCAGCTAGTGAAATTCCAAGCATACATCCCTAGGTACCCAGGTGCTTGTCAAGTTAAAAGGCACCGAAATATTTCAATAAAAGGGGATCATACCTGTCGCATTGCCCATATTGGATTCATTGATAGGCTTTTATACATGTGTGGTGTTATCCACGATATCCATAAAATGGAACATACGGACTTTATACCCCTGCATACCTAGGTATGTAGGTATGTATAGTACTTTTGTGCTTTTCATCTTCGGTGCTGAAGATAGGAAACATCATTGAGGTAGGTTCTGATAGGAAGTTTATACGACGGTTTCTTGAGACGATGTGATAGATGTATGTGATGGATGAACATTGAATTAATAAGCGCGCGAACTGACATTACCGGTACGTTGGTTACACTAAATAGCTACTTACATACATGTACCTGCGTAAAGTTACGTACTATGTAACTACATATATACCTATTTAGTAATTTTAGTTACCTAGACTGGGCGGAGTGTACCGGTGAGAACACCCCCTGGAAAAAGCGATGCTCGCCTACTTGGCAGGGTGGATGTACAATACATAGTTACATAGTAGGTAGTTACATACTACCTACCGACATACCAGGTAACCACGGGTTTACATATGTATGTATGCACATTTTCTAGGTAGATATATGTAGTACGCATAGTACCCTAAGCGTTCGACGCCAGTAGTTACTACTAGTAGTACATCATAAATACCTACCAATCCTAGGTAACGACAGCTGCATCTCGTTGTCTCAGAATCCATCACCGATATTATCTTGTGCGACATATCTCCATTCTAAGACCCATTTCGCAGCCATGACATCGACAGCCACAATCTTCGGAAGCACCGGCCTGGTCGGTAGCTTTATCCTATCCACCGTTGCCAGCCTCGATGCCTTCAAGGCCATTCAAACCATCTCGCGTCGAGCGCCCAAAACCCAGTCCCCCAAATTGACTGCCACCATCGAGCCCGACACCACCAAGTGGGCATCTAGTCTCTCGTCCAGCAAACCTACACCCGACGTCGTCTTCTCTGCTCTAGGGACCACCCGACAAGCTGCCGGCGGCATCGCAAACCAGTGGAAAATCGACCATGATTGTAAGACATCCCGTTTGATCCGTGCTACGCCAAAACTGCACGCATGCATGCACGCATTGCGTCATTGCCACACTACACAGAATGGAACACATGCTGACACGCTGACGCCTTGAACCTGTATAGTAAACGTCGAGCTCGCAAAGACCGCCCACGCCGCCGGCGTCAAGACCTTCGTGTTCGTCTCGTCGGCCGGCACGGACACGATACTGGGGAGCTACCTGCCGTACTCGAAGATGAAGAACGGCGTCGAGGAGTCGATCAAGTCGCTCGCCTTCGACCAGGCCATCATCCTGCGCCCCGGCATCATCATCGGCGACCGCGAGGTCCCGCACCTGGGCGGCCCGCTCCTCATGTCCCTCATACACGGCATAGGCAAGGTCTCGCGGGGCTGGCAGGACAGTTGGGGCCAGGACGCTGACGTCATTGGACGCGCTGCAGTGCATGCGGCTACGTTGGCTGCTGAGGGGAAGGCGCCGAGTAAATACTGGATCCTAGGGTCGGATGACATTGTCAAGCTGGGGAGAGATGAGTGGAAAGCTTGAGTGGGAAGACGAAGTCTAATGTGGAAGCCGTCTTGGTCTTGGAGGAATGATGTTTCCGTCACCTGGGTAAGTACCTAGGTAGGTAGATAGAATATGGCGCCTGGATACGGCGGTTGACTGGCAAGTAGACAGACTGAGATACTCAGTTGAATCGGTATATCCCTAAGCGCCTAAATGCAGTAGTACATGGCAATACAGCACATGGCTCTAGGCGATGGGAGGTGGGGATATAGTTGCATTGTACAAAGGCCATAGCCGGAAGTGTGAATTCCCTTTGTGCTGGGAAGTCGATATCTCTACTACAAAGTAAAGAAAGCGTTGAACCATTTCTACACTTTTAGTACAAACTTTGATGAATAGAAAGCAAATCACAGAAATCATTTTGGCAATTGTGGTCATCTCTCTGCGGCTCAGTTTTCCTGACATGGGTTTGGGTTGGCATACCACTGATACTAGTATCGCCTGTGCCTCATTCCCGCATATACACTATCTATATTCTACCTAAGGCTACCCGTTTCCATGGATATTAATTAGTATATGGATATATGAAGACTCCTCAATCAAGTGAGGGGTCGGTAGTTAATACTTTATTCTCTCAATTAATTAGCGCTAATAATGGATCATATGAGGAAGTACTGTCCATTTTGACGCTTTCATCCTGCCTAGATAGGCGCGGAAAGGGTTGAGATTGCGATGATACAGGGAAAAAAAAAGGCAAAAAGTTGGAAATACTGTAGCATCACTTAGGATAGACTAGACCTAGCGCTTTTGACATGATTTTTTTTTCTTCATCTACTTAGGTATTCTACCAACAACCTCTAGTAAGGATCTAACCTAGGTAAGTATGTATGTATGTGCCTGCATGTATGCATCTCATGTACCTATGTTCAACCACACACGTCGCCGCCCACGCCCTTCTTCTTACCCAGCCAACCAAAGTGCCATCCGCACCTACCTAATCACAGCCTCGACGATCCCTCCGCCCCCGCCCCCGCCCCCTCCGTCCGCGGGAGTCACTTCCGCGTCATCGTCCTCCTCACCATGCCCTCGAACTGCTCGCGCCGCGGCTTCTCCGCGACGTGCAGGGTCTCCGCGACGATGCCGACGGGAACCTCGTCGTCGCCCCTCAGCAGGCCCGCCCACGCCTCGTCGGTGAACTGCGCCAGCGGGATGCCGATGTTGCCCTCGCCGATGGCCACGAGCTCCCGCTGCTGCGAGTGCAGCTCCGTCTGCACGGCCGGCGGCAGGATCTCGATCACCCGGAGGTGCGACCACGAGGGGTCGTGCGCGAACTGCGCGCGCATCGACCACAGGAGCGAGTGCAGCGCGGCTTTGGTCGCGCAGTAGTTCCCGCAGCGGGGGAGCGGCACGATGGCGAGGCCGGAGGTCACGGCTACGAGGGCGGCGGGCTGCGGCGCGATCGTCTTGAGGTGGGGGAGGAGGTAGGTGGTTAGCAAGAGGTAGGACGTGTAGTTCGTGTGCAGCTCTTGCAGGGTTCGGGATACGTCGATGGCTTCGGGGTTGGTGAAGTCGAGGGTCCGCTGGATCCCGGAGTTGAGGATCACGGCGTCGATGGTGGGGTGGGCGGTGGTGATGCTGCACGGAGGGCGAGGGGTTAGTATAGCTACCTGCTACCTACTAAACTGCCTAGCTACACCTAGGCTAGGTAAAGTGAGAAGATAAGTGCTTACTCTTTGGACCACTTTTGGATCTCGTCAAGCTTCGTAATATCGAATTGCGATACTGCGGCCTTGGAGGGTCCATGCTTGGCTACGAATTCATCGAGTCGCTCCTTGCGGCGGCCGACGCCGATTACGAAGACGCCGTTCTCGATCAGGCGCTCGGCCAGCGCGAGACCAATGCCCGATGTTGCGCCGACTAGGAGGACTGTCTTATATGGGAACGGCATTTTCTCGTTTACGTATTTGGGGAGAGTGGGATATATTGGGTGGTAGTGTGCAACTGGAAGTTTGTATTGTAAATGAGTTGGCCAAGAGTCTAAATGCCAATTGGCTCTATGTACAAATAGGACAATATCGATGACGAAGGTGAGGCTTAGTGAGTAATATAAGATGCAGTACATCTAAAATCCTATATAGAGCTTGCATACCTCGGTATGTGTGTCATAAAGAAATGTAGGAATATTGTTCCCCCCCAGCTCCCGAACTTCCTATTCGTCCAGCTTGGCAAGCTGGAGTGTCTCAAAGCTACATCTGGATTCTCTCAGAAGGCCAATATAATGTATTATTAGTATGTACGGACTGTTATGCCGGTGTTAAGAAGAATCCTAAAAGCATGCTAGATACTAATTCGGGAGATTTACACACATCCACGTGGGGATTCCTTACCAAGGTAGCCTAGGGCTAGATTACCCCACACGAATCTGTGATCCGAGAAGGGATTTGCATCTCGGCAGCTGTATTCAGCCTTTCTAAACTCGGTAACTCCATTTAAGACTGCGAGCGCACTACCCAGTAGGGTGTCACATGAATTTCTATTCCATCCATAGATGTGACCATCTATAAATCACCTGACTTTGTTCTCTCTATAGTAACTTTGAAGTTAGTAAGAACTCATATAGAAAGTATTGATATGGTGTGGAGAAAAGACAGCATCGTAGTACCGTGCTATTTAAATATTCTAGAAACTCATACTCCATGTAACTCTTTAACGCCATAAGTTATAGCTTCGTTCTTATTACATCTTAAAAGTTGCTTTCCGTACTAGTAGTGTATAATATAGGTCCAGCCTTATGGCCGTTAAGCTGGAAGGGTCTTGGCCATATCTCATGCAGAGCCCTTTGGAGGCTGGTTACATTACGAAAGTCACGCATAGGTACCTAAATTAGCCGGCGCAATGTTGTCCAGGGAAAGTTGACAATACGACCGAAGTAGATAGATAAGTAATAGTGAATGTCTTGTATTAATAGCCGAGTTTATAGCAATTGCACTCTAGACTGTACCTCAACATGTCGAAATCTTTACAGACAGGCATATAAAATTGCCCACGCCCCTATTTATACGACTGGGAGTTCGTACCTAGGTTGGTAACTACCTAAGCCTTACCTATGAATTCTTGATCCAATGCCACAGACCTTTGTTGATTTACTTGACATCGACTGTTGCCTATAGTATGTAGTATGATTGCTGACTATCCCAATATAACTAGTTGGTTGGTCTATGGACTTTGGCCTGGTTTGGGAGAGAAATGCCACGCGCCCAACGAAACGGGTTGCGGCCAGACGTCGAGTAGGTGACTGCCTTTGGGAATAAATGTTGGAAGAGATTGAGTTTGTTCTAGGATTAGCAAATATGGGTTTGCCTCGTGATGTATCCACACAATCAATGAAGCACTAAACCTCAGAAGATTGGTAAAGCAGTTGATGGTTCGTTCTAGTTATGTCGTTTGGTTAGCAAGCATGGGAACCCAAGCAAAGGTCTGCTATTTGCGGCAGACAAGGTTCTCAGTTTCCCTGAAGCCAGTCTCTCCACTGCCGATCTTTCAAAATGAATCTAACTCTAGCCTCCAGCCACTCCGTATTACCCCAGAACCCCCACGAAGCCTGGAATCTCAGCCAGTCGACCAGCGCAGTTTCCCAATGCCGAACAAAATCCTCCCACCTGTATTCTATTAAACCGCCCTCGGAATCTTTGAAACCGTCTACCAGTTTAAAATGGTAGTAAGCGAGCAAACTCTTCTCACCTTGACTCATCGGGGCCGCCTCCGCCACGTCACCGTCGCCGTCCGTGAGCAAGGTCATGGGAACCGAGCACGTAAAGAGCTTGGCCAAGTCGCAAGCGCCGAGGCCGACGCCCACGTACTGAAAATCAAAGAACGCAACTTCGCGTCCGGTGTTGGTGGTGAACAAGTTCTCCGACTTGACGTCGCCGTGGATAAGGGTTTCGCAGTCGCGACCACGGGGCGTCAAAAAGCTCGCCACCATCTCAGCGATGGATTGCCGCCCTGGAGTCGTCGGCGCGCAAAGCACAGGTGACCACTCCGAGTACTCGTCTTCGGCAAGGGAAGCATACTCTTTCCGGCGCGTGGAGAGGTACGTGTAACCCCCATTCAACCACAACTTAGTCCCTGAGAGATCGCCGCCCCGCCTTCTCTTGGCCTCGTCGAGAGGCGGCAGCAGGAACTCGCGGAGATCCCGGGGGACTAGCTTACGAGTGGACCTGTGGAAGCTAGATAGCCAGTCTAGCGCGGCGTGGACTTGCAATTCGTTCAGCTCCGACCTCTTCTCGCCCGCCACGGGGTATCGAGGTCGTAGATCCGTCATAACTAGGAGACGTCAATATTGCACCCTCATATAATCAATTAAAGCGAAAAAGAGTAATGGACGGCTTTTCGGTAGGCTTTTCAAACTACATGGGTAGATATCCCGAAAATTACGTACTCGTCGCAGTCACACCATCCAGCCGCTCCGCACCAGGTCTCCCGCGCGAATCTCGCGTTGAGGCAACACAATGCGCCACCGCCGTCGCGCTCCCCAGGCCAGGCGCAACGTCGCTATAAAAGCACTGCTCAACCTCATAGCTCAACACCTTGCGCAGATGCCCCTCGTCCTCACGGCCTAGCTGCCGGGGCGGGGGTGCGATGAACTTGAGTATGAGGGGGAAAGATTCTACGGCCGAGTCGAGGCGGCAAGCTCTTTGAAGCTCATCTGCAATTTCTTCGCTGGTGGCGCGAGCAGTAATCTCGTAGATGAATCCGTAACCCGCCCATAGGGTTTGGATCTTTCGGCTGGAGACTAGCTCTAGGCCGTACCAAGACAACATGATCGTGGCCACTTGTTCGGGCTCGATTGGGTTTTTAGGCGGGATAGCATATTGCATATTTTAAAACAGAAAGATTAAGGTTGGAAACGAGTGAATATTTTATTTCTTTCGAAAGAGGAACTGACTTTTACTCTGTTTTAGGTTCAATGTTTATATGAGGTAAACCTTGAGGTTCACAATGTATCTAGGGTACCAAAGGTACCTAACCTAGTAGGTAGGATGAGACCCACAATAGCCCCGGAGGTAATCGGCTTTTAGTGCTGATAGTGGACCGTCTGTACCGCTCTGACAGCTGCCAGATACGCTAGTCCCCCCTATTTTTAACCTCAACACATGTGCAGTTTCAGACTTCACATTCACAATTGATCATTACCATTTCTGAAGTACTTTCTACAAAGTTTTTTATCCCGCGTATTTAATTGTCTCTATAATTAAACTTTGCTCATTTTATCCACAACATCTCCAAAACACCATTAACAAGGTTAGTATGCCGCCAACTACAGCACACTGATTTTCAATCAACTATGCCAAACCATTCAAACAAGGTATGGGTTGTATCCAAGCTTCGTATTTTTGTATCTATGCCAATGTTCATAGTACCTGTGTAGGTTGATACAGAGATGGTTAATCCATACAAGTGCTCAACATATACCAAACTCTCCCCTCTCGAATACGCATTCGCCAGCACGCGGTGCTGAATACAGGGAAAACCTCACACGAGGGGAAAACCTGTAAAGTATTCAGATTCTCCCACCATATCCAACCATAAATAATAAACACTTGGCGTGATCTGTCTCTAGGCATGGAAGCTTATTTGGCCCCATATCTTTGTAGATCATCGCCAAACTCAATTCCTCCATAGCTTCAAGCTGACTTAGATTTTCGTCCCATGCTAGCTTGAACTTTGCTCAGCCTACTTGGCTTGTCGTGTTTGACTTCGATTTAGTTGCTGTCTTTCTAGCTGATGTCGTTCTAGTCGATATCGTTCTAGTCGATGTCGTTCCTATTTTGTGGCTACTACTTTCAACGTGGTTAGTCGTGTCGTCTATGGTGTTAGGTGTCAAGGATTTGCCCTATATAGGAGTTAGATAAACCAAAGACAACTTACATGTATATATAGTTTCGATAGTTTTGGGGGGGATGTTCGATATCCTCGCGCAACAATGATGTTGTTCTGCGTTTCTTAGGTTCCGCCTCGTGACAGGAGATAAGTGATATTCGCTCCGTGTGAATTTTCCGTTTGATATGTGGCTTCCGTAGTCCTCGGGGAGATGATGGAGATCCTCGCTTAATGACGATGTTGCTCTGCGTTCTGTGGATGTCGACTCTTGCTTCGCCTTACGTCTGGCATATCGCTTGGTGCCCTTTCGCAACAACGTCAGACCATCGAGCCGTCTGGCTGGTAATCGAACAGTTGGTGATCATGCCAGGCTTGGATGGGGAGACGATTGAAGCTGGCACTGCGCAAGTAGCTGGCACTATGCAAGTAGCTGGCACTATGCAAGTAGCTGGCATTGTGCAAGTAGCTGGCATTGTGCAAGTGGCCGGCTTTGTTGTCGGCGAGCTTTTGCTGCGAGGCGCCAAACGAAGTTCCGAATTCCCCATCATTGTGACCACTGCAGGATGTGTCCAGCGTTCCGCGAACTTCCAGCTTTCCCTCATGTGACTAAGGAGGTCGTCGAGACTTTCCCGAGTCATAGTCAACCTGCTTTTGACCTTGGTGAAGTACTTAAGCGTTGACGCGGGGACCACGAAGCAGTTGGCAGCGTCTACCCAAGAAGTCTCCGGCTTGGGGAACTGCTCACCATTCGCGAGTTCGAGGTGCTTTCGGTCCGATTTTGGTTTCCTTGAACCCGCAAATGCTCGAAACCGGTCGTGGCACTTTCGACAGTGGTAGGGTTGTTCCCACGGTGGAAGGTTCCCGTTCAAAGGCCCAGAGCCGTACGCTGACACGGTGGTGACTAGGAAGTACTTCAAATCCTCAGTGTATTCGAGGATGATAACCGGGTGTTTCGTTGCCTTTTCCCTTAGGTAACCGGACTTAATCAACGCGTCGTACTCCGTTCTGTTGAACTCATCGACGTCCTTGAAAAAGGCAATATTCCCGTGTTTCCAGTTGGGATTTGTTGGTTGTCGTCCATGGGGGCGGGGAGTTTGTTGAGGCATCTTGTATGTTTTGTTTGAAATATAGGGCTTGAATAAAACTTTAATGGAGTTGGAAGATAATAGATGGTGACTGATGTGTGTTTTGTTTGGGATGAATATCAAATAATTCCAAAAGCTGTAGGTGGTAGACGAGAAATGTTTAGAAAAGAAAAGTAGAAGTAGATGCAGTGGAAGGGAGGGAGAGCCTTTTTATATATAGAACTAATCAGCAGGCTAGCACTTGCCTGGCAACGTGAAGACTCATAGTACGGACTGGTGATTGATATCAAATTTTGAATAGAAGGAAGTTAGAAATAAAAGTTAAATGGTAGCTAAAATGGTGAATATCGTCAGAAATGTTATGTGAACTGTGTATCTAGCTTAAGATTTAAGACTAATTGGCTTTCCAATGGTTTAGTCATCAGTCAGCTGCTGGGCTACGGCATTCTACTGTATGAAGTTGTGTTTGGGATGTCCAATGGGTACTGTTATATACGCGCTAGAGAGGCAAGTGCTGAATATTGGCACGGTTCATATATCGGTCGGTACCTAGGTATAATATATGTGTGTTTATAAGAGCCCTGGAGGTCTGAAGTTTATTGAAGTTGTTCCCCTTTTTTCTTTGTTTTTATCGACCATCCCGGCTTGGAACTCTATCACCTAAAGTTCAGGTACATTCGTGAAGTAGTACTACTTGACTTGTGGTAGCAGCATTGAGAATAACTACTAGATACCTAAGTTAAGTAACTTTGTGTGTGGCGTTGTGAGTTTGTGTTTGTTTTTATGGTCGTGTCCTCTTTGGGTTTCAGAGGCTTATTCTGTCAATACCTCTTCATGGAGATGTGTTGGAATATGGCGTAAACTTTAGTTTTTGTCTCGGTACTCTGATTATTTTTCTAGCAAACATGATCGACGATGGTTCTTTTCAAAAGCAAAAAGAAGAAGGAAAAAAAGTATGAAGCCCAGAGTTCGTTCCCTTGGACAACGGATAACCCTCCCTCTCTCCCTGTTTTTTGTATATATAATATCTCGACTAGCCACATAGATCAGACTTTTATCCTTAAAGGGGACATGTTATGAAACGTAGGTAATTAAATCTTCCCCATCAGAAACTCCCACCTAGCCGCCGCCTGGTTTGTATGAGTACCTGCCTCGATCGATACAGTTGATTGTACTTCAATACTACGTAGTATTGTATTACTAGAAAAGCTCTCTTCTGTTACACTCACAGTCGGGTGGTCATCATTACCGAATTGATGATTCTTGTCAACGAGCCTGTTATTCTTATAGTCGTTAGGTTCAACGTCCTGGTCGACGGTTTTCGCTAAGCCATGCTTTGAAGTTAACCGCCTGTAAAGTGGCCGATATGTTGGAATTGAGGCTGCGAGAATACCCATTGTGAGTTCAATAACAGATAAAATACAGGACGGCGCCTGGTACCCTGTGTCATAAGTGGTAAGCATAGAGTATGAGACTTAATAAGTCGTGACAGAGTGGGCGAAGTGCGATATAAATTAAACTTACATTCGCCAGCAATTGCGCCATGATCTTGTAGAGAGACTGCTAGCCGTATGATGCTGATCAAACATGCACTGCCCCCCATCGCAAACGTAAAACAGAGCAGCAGCTTCTTTTTCTTTGTGACATGCAGCCGCCATACCAATGGAATAGGCATGGATAGGATGATGAAGTCTGTAATGATGTTGATAGGGGCACCCACAACGAAGGCCGTGCCATAATCAATGGAAGTTCCTTTGGGAACAGTTTCATCCAAACGTGCAGTTTTTGGCATAGACTGGAGCAAAGAAATGGACCCAAATGAGAGGGCCCATATGATGACAACAGCGGAGACAAACCAGAGGCAATAGCGGAACCGCTTTGATGAAAAAATGCTCCCATAGAAGCTAAGAATACTGCACTTTATAAACATCATAGAAAAGCTGTAAGCACTCTGAGAGACCATGTCGAGCTGGTCATTGTTAGATACAAGGAAGCACCATAGCAATTCCACATAGTGTTTGTAGACTAACAATTTGCAGTATATGCTCTGTTGTGTGATAAGACCTGTGAGGATCGTCTGCATAATGGATCGTCAAGGCAAACGAAACATCGAAGCCAGCGAAAAAGACCTATGTTAACACATTTTATATTAGGTATGGTCTGGTAGAGCCTGTGTCCCTTTTGGTTGACTTACCCAACCTATCAGGAGCAACCAATCGCTCCAAGTTGGGCCACGACTAGATACTAGTCTCTGTGATAAATAGCGCAGCAATAAGAAGACGATTGATGCGATGCCACAGATTGAAACGCATATGACAATATTTGATTTCCAGCTATCATCTTCATAGTCTTCGCGTATTGATAGAGTTGGCATTGTGACAAGGAGTTTATATGGCCCTGGGACCAGTAGAGAATGAGTTCACCAAAGGATAAGTTGAACCTATTAACAAGAAGGTATCGGGCTCCGTACAGATAGGTTCATCAGTTGGGGGCCAAAGAGAATGACTATATTTGTTTTGCTGTCTCTGTGGTATGTATACCTAAGCTTATATACCTCTGTGTGGCGTGCATATCGGCCCCGATCATCAGTAGACTCCCATGGAGGGTTAATGATAAGTTCTGAGACATACAGGCAGTGTTAAAGGTTTTGATGTATTCAAAACATATACCTATTAGCCTCTTACTTGAGATACATACATGTACAACTGAAGAGATATTTTAATTTACGCCTGTGCCACTTTACTCGGTACCGACTCCGATACGACGCAGTGATAATGTGCTGGCCTTGCTAGTACAACTTATAGACTGAGTCGGGATCATATCCCATTCATTCTCCTGCGGGTCTATTACCCGATGAAAGGACAGCGCTTCTGCCCCGGGTTCTTACCTTACCTCTAAGTAGGTTATCAATCTAAGATATCTACGGCCTCAAAATAGAAACACCATCATCCTTTACTAACATCGATACATCAAGTCGGCCGTAAAAGATCCAGAGATCTTTTTATAGATGATGGCGCATACACAAAGGTCTCTGCATCGAAAGCATTGGTCTGTTTACGTCACACAGCAGCTCGACTCTGAGCCCCTATTGTGGATCCGATAGGACCTTACCTAAATATGGGAGACCTTCCGATGCCAGCATCCGACCTTGAAAGCCACCACTTGTTCAACGATGCTGATGAGATCAAAACGTGCTCACATATTACTGGAAAGGCAGTGAATGCTGATGAATGGACTGGCGATACTTTGTTTGTCAGTTACAATCTACCTACCAAGGTAGATTCAAACCTAAGGTGTTTCCTTTTTTGCATTTTTGTCTATTTGTGCACCCAACGGGTAGCGGCATCTGGGTTGATTTTTCACTGAAACGTGATCAAATGAATGCGATCATCGCACTGATTTAACAATAGGTTTGGAATGGCTTTCCTTAGCCATAAATTCATTACGGACTTGGCCCCCATTGTGAGCATGGATACGGCAATGCCACCTGGGGAGGTAGCATAGAAATTCTATGACAAATCATTAAGTTTGTTCTCGATGTCCTGAAATAAATATGAAACTAATCTACGAGGGCATATTAAAGCACTGAAAATATATGGGGTTTCCGGGACGATGCTGAACAGAAAATGAGCCTAGTCGGAGTTATCGAAGAGGAGCTACGGTAAGACGAAGCCGGTCAAGGGTTCATAGATGTTAATTATTCCTATATAACTATCACCAATGGCTGACTACACTATCTTACGCCACTCCCGCGAAGATAGCCGCCGCTTGCTCAGCCAGAGCATATAGGGGCGCTTGTAAATGGGCGCTCAACGGCACGGGGAACACCGAGGCATCGGCGACCCTGAGACCATCTACGCCGCGGACTCGCAACTCGCTGTCCAGCACCTTGCCCATGGCGCAAGACCCTGCCGGATGCCACGTCATCGCGCCCGTGAGCGCAGCCCTCTTGTCCAACTTCTCGTCGCTGTCGTCCAGCGAAAGGGGCTCGAGCCCAAAGCCCTCTGGCACCGACTCGCCGGCGATGTACTTCTTGCCGAACTCGGTTGCCAGCATGAGTTTCGTGATTTTCCGTAGCCCTTCGCGGTATACGTACTTGTCTGCCTCGGTCGCGAGATAGTTTAGGTTGACTGTGATTGTAAAAGTTAGCATGAAACCGCTCTCTTCATTAAATAGTATGTATTTATGGCATTAATGTGCTAACTCACTCTTGGGTGGATCTTTAGCATCGGCGGATCGTAGAGTGATGGTGCCCCTCGATGTGGGGAGGAATGTTGCGACATCAGAAGTTACATGGTCGGCATCCATGGCAATACCCGGGAAGGGCAATTTCATGTGCATGACGAACATTTCCAGCATCGCACGTGGCGTGGTAACGAGCGGGTGCTTCGCAGCATCGCTTGCGCTGCCCACATCCTTTTGGATAGCCTCAGCAAGACCCTTCTTGTCGACGTCTGCACAGGCCAGCCAGTCCAACGGCACTCCGAGGGCGAACTCTGGCTGTTGGAAGAGCGGGTTGGCTGATCCCAGAACGTAGCCCGCGTTGGACTCGCGCAGGCGCCAGTGCTGGAAAAGTGACATATGATCATGAAGCCCCTGTCCGACTTCGGGTAGATCGACCAAGGGTTCGATTCCTACATCCTTCAGGTGGGCGGACGGACCGACCCCCGAGAGCATGAGGAGCTGGGGTGTCTTGAAGGCCCCCGCGGAGACAATGATGTTTTTACCTGAATATACCGTGCCATCAACCACCTCGACCCCCGTGGCCTTGGGGGTTTCGGTGGTCCCATCACGTTTCAGTACTACCCTCTTTGCAAGGGTGTCGGTCAGGATGTCAACACCTTCCAACGAGTAAGCCGAGGCAGACCACTGCCTCTTGCCCTCACGCCTGCCCTCGCAGACTTCTGCGCGGCCAATATTGTTGCCGGTGTTCTGATCGAGATCCGGTAGTGCATGCACGCCTATCTCTTCCCAGGCGTCAGCAATGGCCTGGCCCAAGGGGAATTTGCGGCCGGTTGACGAGACGGAAGAGATGTGAATGGGACCGTCGGTGCCGTGCTGCTCCGGGTTCTTGCTGTTGAACCAACGCTCACACTTCTTAAAGTAGGGCAGCTGGCCTTTGTAGCTCCAACGCTCATCGCCGACTGATTCTGCCCACTCATCAAATTCGGTGGCATTACCACGGATCCAACCACCTTCACAAGTCTTAAGTTAGCCTACTGTCTTTTTAATCAAATAAGTTGCTGAGGTGTGACAAGTTAAATAAAAATCTTACCCGAGTTGATGCAAGAGCCGCCACCAAGTGCTTTGCCCTGGTTGTAGACAAGTGTGCGGTTGAAGGCGGTGGGCATCGGCTCGGTCTGAAACTGCCAGTCGAGCTCTCCTCCCAAGTTAAGAGTTTGTGGCTGCAGAATATCCGTTCTGCCACGTGTATCTGAGCCTGCTTCAATGACTAAGACTGTAGCATCAGGCTTATACTGCTTTATGCGGCTTGCGACGACGCAGCCCACAAGGCCGCCTCCCACAATAATATGATCATATACAGTTGGTGCCATCGTGTAGTGCGTTGACTAAGGTAATTAGAGTACTAAGCGATCGGAGAATTTGATGAAAGCTATGATGAATATGTGAAGAATACAACATATAAGGGAGAAGCAAAGTGAGAGGTAGATATGCGCATCAAGGGAGGAGGCTACGAGTTGGCGGTAAATATTACTTCCAAGGTTGTTACCAGATAGGTACTAGGTAAGTCCTGACTAAGTTACACCAAGGCTCCCCCCTCACTCCCCCTTTTGTCTTGTGTTAGTAGTGCTGCAGCTATAGAGGCACCTAAGACAGCAGGCAGCTAGGTACTAGGTATGTATGGATATGTAGAAAGTTCCAAAGGCCCATGCTATATTCTAGGCTAGCAATTATTGTTGGTAGGTACCTATTCACTTCAATGTTGATCTAACGATGTGTGGGGACCAAATCGTTTGATTCTTCTCTAATCCTTTGATAGATCTAGTGTAGTCGAGCTGTATGTGGGCCGTCGGTACTCGCCTAGACCACTATTGCCAACTAAATCTTATCCTGCGTTGAAGATTGAAATATAAGACCTCAAGGGTTCTCTCCTCGTCTGTACGGCGTAGTATTCTCTAGCATCCACAATAGCTAACTAGCTACCTGGTAACCTAGATTGAACATGATATCTGTATCTGCCTACACTAGGTCTGTGCCTGGAAATTTGTGGACTACCTCCTAGCTTAGGGCTACCTTCTAGCTTAGGGAAAATGTGGTTAGACGATAAAGAAGAGGCTTCGTATTTATTCTTAGTATCAATTGTGAGACCACCACTACCTTTTAATATGTAAGGTTAGCCTTCAGGTAAGAGGCTGGTACCTAGTGTAATTTAATGATAGAATATGTACGTGATGAGGCAAGTTGGGACGAACTCGTCAAAGCTTCGCAAATGCATGCCTCGTTTCTGTTTTCTATGCATATTACTTACATATCTCATCAACCCACCTGCCGTATACATAATCCTCAAGGGGTTCGATCACCGACGGCCCCACACAGAATAAGTGCATACCTAGTAGGTACCTACTTAGGTGGTTAGTTCGCTACAGTTGCTTATGTACCTAAGCTGCAGTGGTAGGTAGGCATAAAATCCTACCAACAAATATTTTGTCAAAATATGTTTAAATTACCCACTAACGTTATATTGTGGGATTTGGTTACCAACATCCTCATCAACATACAGGGACGAAGAACAGAATAACTCAACCTCTTTTTTATACCTACTTATGAGACATAGGTATCCCGCGAAGCAGGTGCCACTAATCTGGTATCCGTGGGAGTGGTACATTTCCGCTTTTATTATTGCGCCAAGTAGGCAAACACCGACTACCCCAGATTCTGGCATGGGCACACGCTGGGAGGTAGTCGAGCCTCTTCAGCGGGTAACATAGTTAAGCCTTAAACGTGTTGTGCTGCTAATCTATGGCCGGGGCCCCGGTTCAATGCCTTCAAATACCAAGGCCTCATCTACTGCGCCCCCCTATTACCGTTACTATCGTCTCCCGGCCCCTGGAAAAAGTCTTACGCGGTGCCATAACTAGCCATAATAACCCTTGCATATTTCTACTGATAACTAATTATGTATACAATCCAGCATAGTTACATACACGTGGGCTCTAAGACCAATTTGATGATATGTAGTAAGCGTTGTAAGCGTCATAAGTGTTCATGTCGTCTAACCTAGAGTGTTGGAAAAAAATGGCGAAAATAATCAAGTTTGTTAAGTAATGACTACGTGGTATAGCCTGCTAGTTAGATGATTCTATTCCATGGATATCAATCGCTTATCATACAATTCTCGGCCGGTATTTGAGAAACAATGTTTATCACAGTAAATATAAGGGGTGTAGATCAAAGACTTACAAAATTCATGGACAAGGGCACCTGCAGATGCGCCAAGGGAAGACAAAACAGATGGCGTTGAAGATTTTTCCATGGTACGCTCCAGGTTTATCTATTAAGCAAGAATAAGCGTTTTGGGAAGTAGAAAGTTGCTCATTGGCTACCCAGAGAGAATATGTAAGCAAGCAGGATCCCACGCCCCTGGGATGAACTCGGTTCGGGTAATGGATGAGGCCAGATGAGAAAGGAAATATTATGCAGTGTTAGTCTACGTTTATGTTGATTGGTCTCCAGTCTTATAGACCCCTTATTGGAATCCTGCCAGTGTTGCAATAAATACCTTTCCAAGAATCCAAGTACTTGGTCTTATAGATGTACTTGAACTAATTCGTTTTAGATGAATGTCGGCTATTAACTTTTGAGGTTCACAACTTGGGATGGACCACCAAAAGCTCACCACGGTCACTGTGCCTTTGGCTCCGAGGGAGGAGGTTGCGCAGTGCATTCGAACAACGATTATCTTCAGCGTCCTGGTGGCAGTATGGACCGGTCTACGCCTGTGGTCGCGACGGATACGTCAATTACCGATAAACCTTCCTGATATTTTCTTCTACGTCTCTGTGGTATAGCAACGATCCATCCAGTCTCTCGGGGAGACTTTATCGGCCATCAGCTAACAAGTCATGAAGGCTACTTTCTACGCCATGGTCGTATGTTTGTTTATATGTGAGTTGGAAAAGAGGCAATCGGATACGCCGGACTCCAGTCGACTAATATACTATTAGTACTCTACATGGGCGGCATTGGCTATCACATGGATCAACTCCAGAAATACCATATCGCAAGACTTACTCAGGTAAGTGGCAAGCAAACGATATCCCCTTCGAATCAAGATTACAAGATTACATCTCTAACTGCTATTGCAAATAGTGTATGCTCGTAATACAAGCCTTGTACGGTATATCGATGTGTGGTGCCAAATGGAGTATCTTGTGGACGTTGAAGAACATCTTCGCGGTCCGCTCGTTCCAAGTAAGCTCAACTTCACCGCATTGTCCCCATACCATGGCTGACGCCAGCAGATAATTTCCTGGATAGTTATTGGATTTCAGGCGGCGTGGGTTGTCATGACGATATTAATAGGCCTTCTTGTTTGCCGGCCGATTGAGAAGAATTGGGATCCGACGGCAGTTGGTACTTGTGGCGACCAAATCGCAGCATACACAGCGGTCAGCATTTACAACGTTGTCGTCGACGTTGTAATGTGCCTCATGCCAATACCGGTAAGACTATTCGATTACTCGCCCCTGGTCGAGTTACCATGTTGGGTTATACTTGGAGGAACACATGTCTGACCTCGGGTTGCGAAACAGATGATTCTAAAATTACAGCTCAAGAAGCCATACAAGCTCGCGCTTCTCGGAATATTCAGCATAGGTGCCGTGTAAGTCAATGAGTGGAACTACAGCAGGGGGCGCACTTCCTAACGGTCTTTAGTTCTGTTGCCTTTGCCACAATCCGTCTATTATCTTTCCGTCAACTCGACTTCAACGATTTTGCGTACACAGTGGTTGACGTCGTTACTTGGACCTACGCCGAGATGGGAGTTGTTATCATGGTAGCTTGTTCGCCCCTATTACGGCCAGTCTTCGACAAAGTCTTCCGCAGATTCATGCCATCCCGATTCACGAAGAGGAGTAATCAACAGTCACATGGGACCCTCGGAAGTAACGTAGATCCGATGGATTTGAGGAAGCCCAAGTCAAGAGTGAGGAACGAATTTCAGACGATAGGCGACTCGGAGGAAAGTCTCGTCGAACTCGGACAATTAGGCCGCAGCCAGGTTGTGGCAACATCAGGGAAGGCCGAGAAAAACTTATATCTACAAAAGGAGGCCTCGGACGATTCGTCTTATGGGGCAGGAATATTGGTTCAAAGAGAGATTACGCAGACATTCAAATGATGCGGTTTTGCTCCAGCGTCTGATCCCAATTGGATTCAGTCGGAGAGAACGAGTTTTCAATACTACTATGTATTACACTTCATAATTGCCGATTCGGTGTTTACCTACATGCTAAGGTGCCTGTCTACCTGCTAACCTTAGGCGCCTATGTTACAATACTCTTTCAATTCAGAAAACCACGCATCCTCAACACGACTAAATATTTGATAGGGATTGGATTAGCAATATCTACATACGCTTTGCATTAGCCAGTGTAGGGCATCGGCATTGTGGTTACGTGGGGGTCCTTGCGTTGGAATAATTTGGTGTCTACGAAAACGAGAACATAACTACCGAGTTCACCGCAACATGTTTGGAACTTTGGTGTAATTCGGCTGGCTTTAGGTACCTTCAAGCCTCGCAATAGAGGACTACCGACTGCCTGGATGTCTAGTATGCATTAGGCCCTCTTCAACAATTGCAGGCGTTCCTGGATAGTGGAACGCACGGCCTGGGAACTAATGAATGGCGAAAGTGCTAGGTTAGCTAATAGTCGATATCCACATCTACTCCCACTTTACTATCAGCCTAACCTCAGTAGCTACGTTGCCTACTGCGTATATTCTGGCGACCACGACGATCACATTCTGAATAATCTGGCCATTGTTAGAGTATTAGATCCCTCAACCCTGCTCAGTGAGCCTGGACTCGGAAGCCAGATATCAGCAGCCGTACTTAGTATCTCAAAACAAGCTATATAGTCTAACTATGTAGCTAGCGATGAGCAAAATATAATGCCCGATCGTCACTAAAACAGTTTGATGGAGAAGTATAGCGCTGTCATGAAACTAACCGTCTATCGGAAGCCGTCCTCGGCGGCTCTTCGCAGTCGAGCCGTCCTTGGCTGCCGAACGGACGGTGGGCCAAATCAATTGAAACCGCCAACCCGCCAAAACATTAAAAATATTGATTATATAAGCACAGGGTACAAGGCTCGCCATACAAATTTATATGGTAATAAATGTACCTTTTTAAGGAGGAATAATGCTACATAACCTACCATATACCACCATATACCACCATATATACCATCTTATATACCATCTTATATACCACCATCAAAGACTCTAGATATTTGATAAAACTTATTCTGAATAGTCAATATATATATACAATTAATTAGAGAGGTAAACAACGGGTGAACAACGGGTGAACAACGGGTCAACAACAGCTCAACAACAGCTCAACAACAGCTGAACAACAGCCCAATTACATAGGTGGCTAGGTATGTATTTAGGTGCCTACGTATGCTACAAGCCTCTAAGATTTCTCCTAAACAGCTATTTAAGCAGCTAGAGGCTAGAATAACAACTGCAGAGACCTTTAGGGCTGTTGTTAACCCGTTGTTGAGCTGTTGTTGACCCGTTGTTGAGCTGTTGTTGACCCGTTGTTGAGCTGTTGTTCAGCCGTTGTTCAGCCGTTGTTCAGCTGTTGTTGAGCTGTTGTTTACCTATTCAATTAACTATATATATATATATTGACTATTCAGAATAAGTTTTGTCAAATATCCAAAGTCTTTAATGGTGGTATATATGGTGTGGGCGCAAGGTACATTTATTACCATATAAATTTGTAAGATAAGCCGTGTACCACGTGCTTTTTTTTCATGTTTTGGCGGGTTGGCGGTTTCGTTGATATGGCGCACCGTCCTAGTAAGTCCATACAATCGTAGTATGAGCTTCGTATAGCTGGAAGCTTATGTAAGCCAAGGAGGCCCGGACGTACACTTTGATAAGTTTTTATATGCACCTGAGGCCCGAATTTAGGGATATGATTAGTGCGTAGGGCTGTTCAGACTTTCGAGGCTGTATAGGAGTTAAGGTTAACAGTATTAGGAAAACTTGAAAACATCTAGGCTGCTCATATCCTATCAGTTCAGGCGGAGTTAAAGACGCATATTCCTAAGGATTAGATGCCAAGAAACGAGCTTTGCTCGGTGAGCAAATATTTCTTTGCCAGTTGGCGCCTATCTAGACTTGGCTTTGCTTTCCAGCCTTACGTTCGCTTCCCTATAATTAATAGTCTTGCCTGTCTATTTCTCCTACGTAGAACTAGCACCGAACAAGGCTTTCCCACGTGAGGCTCTTCCGTACCAGGCAGCTCCGTGCTAACGGCTACAATATATTATATTGCAGGAGGCTCTGACAGCTTAGGAAGATGGGCTCTTTCCCCCCGTACCCGGCGGCCCCCCTCCGTATTAGATATCTGAAGGGCTGGGGGTAGCTTTAGCCGCCTGCGCCGCTCCGAGTTTGACCTCGGAGCTTAGGGATATCTGGATTTAGAACGCCATTACATAAGGGAGGCTGTGGTTATGCTTAAAACTTTTACTTGGTGGGGCGTAGGGAAGTTGAAGCAAACGGTAGTTATCCATGGATACTAGTAAACTAACCGTAGATAGGTTGGCGACTGTTGCCGTCCATGAAGTAGAAAAGGGTTGCCATTCACCAAGCATAGCTCTCAGGAAGAAGGAGTTCAACTACAAAGATCCCACGCGGCAAAGATGTACTGAAATAAGAGGGGCTTGTTTATATATAAGGTAGCCCTAGAGGTACCTAGGTAGATATCAGGAACAGAGCCGTGTCAAGTGTCGAGTAATAGGGTAAAGTACAATATAAATATATTTACCACAGCAGTCACCGCGTGTGCACAAATCCAGTTCCTGCCTGATGACTCTGAATTATTCTATCCTAACAGCGCTACCGCCATTGCAGAAAACTTTCTACTTATCCATTCACCACTTTATTCACCATGAGACCGCCTTCCGCTATCCTAGCCTTTGCTACACTCTTCAATTTATCCTCCCACGTTAATGAAGCTACTGCATTTGTCCTCCAAGGTAGAACCACTACAGTGAATAGTTCTCCCAAGCCTCACACATCTACAAACACAAACACAATAGCTGTACCTAGTATTACCAGTTCAGGTGAAAACCCCACAAAGGAAAACACAGAAAACACCCAAGATTCTTGCAGCTGTGCCATGACCGGCGACAACGTCTCTGCTGCCATGTTGGCAGCCAATCGCGAACTCGACGACTTCGGCCTAGTGCGCTCGAGCCGAGGAACGATACAGAATCCCGGAGCATTCGCAAACTTCGTGATTACCAAAAACAAAGACTGGGAGCAATATAGCATTGACCCGAAGGACGACACGAAGAGTCTCTACGGCAACAAGGCTGTTTACCAGTACCAGACGATCACGGTTCAGCCAGGATCCGGTGTCTTCAACACCATCTGGGTCGAGACCGAGAACCGCGGCTTGCCCGACCACGTAAACCGCCGCACGCTCACGAAGAACGGATGGACCGCCGCCGGGGGCGATCTCGGCAAGCTGATGATACTGGGGGACTCGAACATCATCAACCCGGCCGTCCGAAACTCCATCCACGACGCCCTCGCCGAGCACCCCCGGGGCAGAGACGCTGGGGATGGCCCCCAGAAGCTCGTCTTCCGGGAAGGCGACAAAGGCTGGGAGGAGCTCCGTAACAACCCCTTCATCGGCGGATACGAGAAAATGCTCCTCGAGGATGCCGCCGCATTCAAGAACGCCAGGATCGCTGCCATCACCGTGATCATTGACATCATCGAGCAGTATCACCTGCAAGTCTCGCTGACGCGCCAGAAGCACGAGGCCCCGTCCTCGTCCGACGACGAAGACGCCCCAGACGCAAAGAGACCGAACACCTCTGGCGGCACAAAAGCGACCAAGCGAAAGACTGCCCCTAAACGAAACAGGCGCAGTACTGCCCCTAAACGAACCAAGTCCAAACGAAGTCCGATTCCGGGACGTGATTCTTGAGGAAGTTTCACTATCATGCTAGGAACTTTGCGGCGGCCAATAGCAGCGGAGGTATCTTAGGATTAGGATAAATTTTGATGAATGAATGAAAAAAAAGATTGGTATGGATGGGTATTGTTTATATAGGGACCCAGTTAGGCCAAACGAGATGTGTCTACGAAGCAGGCTTCAGTGATGTAAGCCAGGTACTATACCCGGGAGTAAGAACTGATAATATGGAGGGGGGAAGACCGTAGGTACTTGAAACTCCAAGAAATGACAAAGTAAACACCTCCTTATGCGGTATACTTCAATGTTCAAGAGAGCCTCATGCTCAACTATTATGAGTACTTGTCCACGTATGGCTGTACTGTTATACTAGGTCCACTAGGTGCCTATCTACCTAGATACCTAGGTAGGTAGGTATGCCATGCTATAAAACATCGAGGTCTGATTGAATAATGCGGCGCACTGTAATCTAGTTACAGGTATTAGAAAGTAGTCTTGCGCCTTCGCGACATTTGCTCAATCTCGTAGGACAGATGATACCTTGACGTGTGTCTAGGTAAAACCGAGAAAGGGAAAATACATATCATCATCATCATGATTGTTATGGCTCAAAGATATTCTAGTGCGTCTTGCTCTATTGCGAGTTGCCAAATGTCCTCTTGGTCTAGCGCACACTGCGGAAACAGGTATTGGGGTTGGTATATCTCTTTACGTCCGGCACAACGATGAAGGACCGCGCCCTTCTCTACACCTTCCTGTACAAGCACATCTGCCATCGATTCCAGCTCGTAGAACTGTGCGACGGCCATCGCCCAATTTCCGGTCTCCGGGGTGTCCAACGTGGCACCGTATTGACGCAGCAAACGGAACATGGGCATATCCTCCTTGAAGACGGCTAATACAATGGGTGGAGGGCAGCCCTCGTTGCTTCTTGCCCCTGCCTCTAGGAGCATCTTGGCTATTGAAAGTCTTGAAAGTCGCACAGCGGACATAAGTGCGGTATCGACAACTGGAAAGCAGTTTGGATCTGCTCCATAATCGAGAAGCAGCTTGACCACATCCAGGTTTCCACCCCTCACACCTGCTAGCAGGGGCTCACACCCGTTCACTCCGTTCTTCAGAGTATTGTGGCTAAGCAAGATGCCTTGGCTGAGGAAATATCGTACCATATCCACATGGCCTGCGTCTGCTTTTTCTGTAAGTCGGGCCTGGGTACTTCCACGACCGCGGGGGTCGAATATCTTGCTCTTGGGTATGAACATGGAAGCGCCGCGCTTGTAGTTTTCTACGATTGGCGTGGAAGCTATTGCATCCCTTAGACATTCATATTCCGGGTATCCGCGGCAATCTTCACGCTCCCCTGCGGTCAAATCAATAGGCTTATTGTCGAGAGCGAAATCGAAAATGTCCTTGTGACCTAAAACGGCAGCGCGGCGGAGAGTACGTTGATGAAGGCTGGAATTCAGAGGCGCAGATTGTTGAAAATCCGGACTGGATGAAATGAGAAGGCGTAACATGGATAAGTCGCCCTTGAAGGTGGCTGCCCCGTAAGCGTCGCCAAAGACGTTACTGGTGACATGTGCCATCTTTTGCCAGCTACCTGGGCGGTTACCTTGACAGTTACCACACCGAGAGCCCTGCGAAATGAGCTTCTCAATATAAGATCTATCGCCAAGATACACGGCCGCGACAAAGAGATCTTTTCCTAGCTTTATGTCGTGGTATTTGGGAATTGGCGATATTGATACGTTGAACAGATTGTGGCCGAATTGTCGATACTCCTTATTGCCGAGAGCAAGATGACAGAGGGATTTGATACGAGCGTGAATGGTGGTCCGCTCCGTATCGCCGACCTGTTCAGAAATGGTCATCGCAACACGTCGAATGAAGCCGCGAAGCGAATTGGGCTCTTTCTCAACCCATACCTGGTAAGCCAGATACTCTAGGAGAAAGGCGCGCCAATCACTAAGGCGATATGAAGAGGTTTCATAACGGACGTCCAAATCGGAGTTGTCGAGAAGGCGAAGGCGGAAGATGACATTATCAACAAAGAATTTAAATTGGCCTATGAAAGTTAGTGAGCAGCGATGAAGTGCATATGAAGCTGGGGTTGGATAAACTAACGGCTAACAAGACGCAATCTCATGAATCGCTTCAGATCACGAGAATTTGCGAATTCTGCAAATATATGCTCGACGAGCTCTGGAGCGAAGCCGAAAAGGTTCATGATGACAGCCTTGGAATTGAAAAGAAAAAAAATGGTCTTGACCCTCCAAGGCTCTGTTAGATTCCTGGATACTAATGTAACCAGGAATGAAGCCTTTTCATTGATACCTATTTTTTCACTTAAGACCCTAGGTTAGGTACTTTGCAGGGTGAAGCTCAAATGAATGAATGCCCTTCAACGTTGATTGGAAGTGCTTCCTACTACCCAGGATTGGCAACTGGCCACTAAAATAGCACCCCCAAGGCTATTTTTAGCGTAAAATACTGCGAACACCGCCCCCTAATGCAACGGTCCTCTGCTAATGGATGGCCTATAAATCTCACAACTACTCAAATTACGGACTGCCAGGTGCTTAAAATTAGCATTCATCCATTATAAAACGTTAGGTAGTTAGATGCCTAAGGAAGGATCGAGCTTCCCAGCCTAGGTAGGTATGTACTCGTCAATTTACATACCTAACCGTAGTTCCCACCTACCTACAATGTACCTAGGTATAGGGCTACCTTAGGTATGTAGGATACCTAGGATATCTCATCTCATTCTTCTCCCATAACCACAACCTCGCGGTACGCCTGGAATATTTGAAGCACGAAGCCCTTTCAAATTGCCGCCGGACTAGCAACGCTCGTTTTTAATGCAGGAAACCCTTTCTATTTCTTACGAAAGGGCTTTCTTTCTTTGGTCTTGCACTTCCAATAGCCATCGCATCCAGCATAGAGGTTGCGCTCGCCACCGAAGATTCTAAATGTGGTCCCATGTCAAACCAACTCCTGAGAGTCAATAGGGGAGTCGTTCTTCACAAAGCTTAAGAACCCTTCGCAGATCTTAAGTACTAGGTACCTATACCACCTACGCCCGACCTGGATGTCTTCGTTTGCCAAGATATGGTCAAATGGGCAAACACCAGCCTGAGCTTGATATACGTATGTGGTAATCATGGAAGATTTGGCTGGGTATGCGTTTGTTACTGAACCTATGGATGTAGATTGCCTCCCCTCACAGACCCACCGACATAGAAAAGGGTTCCAATCCAACCAACAGTGTGGTCGCTAGATACGTTCCATACTAGAACAATAAGTGGTTGCTGTCCCGAGAATCAATGCCTTTCTCTCCTTAGTCACTTTCCCATACGCCTTTATAGCCTATGGGTTGCCGGCACATTTTGACTAAAGCTGCGCTATCGAACCTTCTCTCACTTACCTTCTTTCAAGCTGTACGACAGAGGGAGCTTTGATCTTTGGATGTGGGTTTGTGAGATCAAGGGACCATGCAGCCATGATAGTTTGCCAGCAGGCCAAATGCATATGTTGTGTTTGGTGGAGATAGGTGCAGGGTCGATGACACCGTTTATATTTCTCCTAGTTTTCTAACTATCTATTATGTGCTTAGATCGGCATTGCCAGAAGCGTTCGTCAGTCACGTGAAGGAAAAGGGGGGTGAAAGCAGACATGCTGATTACTGAACGAATAGGCTCAGAGATTCTACCATTCTCGAACTACTAACTAGGTACCTATCTAATACGGAGCTACCGAAGAAATGGAGTTTACTGAATACCTAGTGACTATCACGAGACTAGGTAGGACAAAGGAGATGGGAACATAACGACCTAAGTGTCTATTAGCGCGAAATTATGTCGCCCCCCTTAACAAGGTCAATGACGTCGGACTTCCGCGTATGATCATCATGAGCACCCCAAAGTATGTCACTAAAGTTTTATTTTAGGTTGAAAACAGAAGCTCAAATCAGAGTTAAGTACCTCAATGTCTTGTGAAAAGATGATCAGCACGTGTCGTTGTTGTACGGCAAGAAACTCATTCGTGGGTTTACATCGCTGAATATAAGGTATTATCAGATGAAAAAGAGAACAGGTTATTGATGACGGACTCGGTCATTTTATCAGACGACAGATCACAATAATATCATGACTCAGAACGGTAACACAACTCAAGATGGCCGTAAGCGAATTGTCGTGGTTGGTGCTGGCGCTGCTGGGTACGGGTCCTTGAATTGTTATTTAGCTCTGTTCTCTAATAAGCATAACACAGCATGTCTACGGCCTACCATCTATCACAACATCCCGAAAAGTTCAACGTAACACTTATAGATGCTGTCGATTATTGCGGTGGACAAGCGTTTTCCATCCCGCTTGAAAAGGAACGCCATGGGGCATCGTGGTGTAACCAGGGGGTCCAGGGCGGCTCCTATATCTTTCATCATACGGCAACTATGTTTCACCGGCAAGGGTACCACGCAGACCCTGTAAATCTTCAAGTCTCTTTCGGGAAAGACGACACATTCTGGTCTAATGTGTTTCCTACCAAGTTATTAGCTCAACACGAGAAAGAGATTAGACGCTTCCCAACAATGCTGAAGCTGATGCGCTGGTTCGAAGTGTTCTTCGCCTTACTTCCACTCAGGTTCGTATTCAAGATGTTTCGATTCTCGGAGGAATTCATCAACATCATTGCCCTACCTATGACGGCCTTATTTCTAGGAACCGGGAATGCCACCCCTGAAGTTCCGGCTATCATGTTCGAACGACTGTGTACTTCGCCTACATATGGAATGTGGTATGCGCCTGATAAAAGCACATTTGTCAACAATCTACCTCCGATGGTCGTCTTCCCCAACTTCTCGGAGTTTTACGATAGCTGGCGGAAGGATCTTGTCTCGCGCGGCGTCAACGTCCGCTTATCCACAGAACTCGTCGAGGTCGTTAGGAGGGGTAACAGTGGAGTGGTCGTCAGACTCAGGTCTTACACTCCTATGCCCAATAGACACATGCCTACTAACTGGAATCATGATGCCCCGGTTAATGAAGAAGTGTACGACGAGATTGTGATGTGTTGTCTTGCCGATACTGCAAAGAGGGTGTTAGGTCAAACGGTGACGTGGAAGGAGAAGAGGGTTCTTGGCTCAGCAAAGTTCAGCGATGATATAACCATCACTCATAACGACGCCGACTACATGAAGAAGCACTATGAGAACTTCTATCGGGAAGACTTGGCCGTGGCCAATATCAACGGTATCGATCAGACCTCGCGGCTCGAATTCGGGGCAAGGAACTTCCGGCCGATGTACTACATCAAGATGTATCCGGAAGATAAGTCGAAGCTCGAGATGTGCTTTGATACGACGAATTACCAAAGCCAGTTCCCTGAAAAGGTGCCTTTCGAGCAGCACATATTCCAGACCATCTTTCTCAACAAAGACCGTGACAGGAACCTGTGGACAGATGATGAGATTCGAGAGGACAAGGTTATTCGGAAGGACTGGTGGCATCAGCTTTGCCATAGCTACACGCACTATCTGTTTGTGATTCCCTGGATGATGTTCCTCCAAGGGAAAAGCCATACGCGTTACGCGGCTGCCTGGACTTTGGTCAACGCCCACGAAGTCGCCGTTATGTCGGGAATTGCGGCAGCCGTTGATCTCGGCGCCGAGTATCCCGAGGATCTCGAGAACGATTCATTTGCGTTCCTGTGTTTCCGGCTCTACTACCTTCTCTCGTACGGGAAGTGGTACCAGCGAAGATACACTAAGAAAAAGAGGGAGCCCACAACGCAGGCTGCCAAAGAGGGCAGGAGCTGGGAGACAGGGCTCTACGGAAGCGTATACCAGGGCCCCGGCGTGTCAAGAACGGAGCGTCAGACGTGGAAAGAGGAGCTGAAAAGGGGCCTTAGCACTCCGAACTTTGTCGACGGGAAACCCACTAGTAGCAGTCTGCGCTGAGGGCCAAATTTGTGGAGGCTCTATATCGAAATTAGAGATGGAGATGGAGTATCTGTATACTGAATTTCCGTAAACGTTCCAATGCATTCATCTCCAACTAAAAGTGTGGTTCAGACGTTGACACGGGATCCAACCCTCTGAACTGTCAGCTATACACGAGCCTCGAATATTTCCAATGTTCGGCGGAGAAAGCCGCACGAGGACTCTTGGAGAAGAAGTCGGTGCTACCTATACTAATAACAGAAACCGAAATCAGTCCATTGCAATCAATTTAATGGAATTAACACTTCAGAGTATACGCGGCAAAACGGAAAGTAGGCAGAGGTGGATATAGTTCCCATTGTTATACTTCGTATTGCTGTTCGAAATGGTTTAATGCGGTGGTGTTATACATGTTATACATTGGGTGTGCTAAGTAGGCACTAGGTATAGGCAGGTAAGTAGGTATGTAGGTAGTCGATTATACTCACCCCCATTCTCCTTTTTACAGTTTCCTTGATGATGGTCGGTGCGTTAGATAGTATTGGTTGTTATAGGGGGGTTGAAGCTGACAGCGGCTCTCGTCTACTTTATTCTGTGGGGCCAGATGTCCGAATATGAATTGGCAGGCGTCAGCTGAGGCTTAGCCCAGGCTTAGAAGAGCTTAGCCCAGCATTGATAGTTCAATGTTGATACCTCCAGCCTACATAGTAGTAAGTACATCCATTGTCTCCATTTCCATCCATCATCCATGCATATTCGTTCTTTTCCTTTGTCTCCGCAAATTAACGGCCGACAGTCGGGTCTCAGCTAATCACGGCGTTGATGAGTCTAACAATAACAAGTCTTTTGATGAGTGAGTCAAAATACCTACATGTATCCATATCCATTCAATTCCCAGGTAAGATATTTTTGGCTAGAAGAAACGTAGAAAATCAGATCCGGAACCAAAAACCAAAAACCAAAAACCAAAAACCAGAAACCAGAAACCGGGACCGGAACCAGAACCAGATATCAACCCAACATGGAGCCTTGTCATACAGTATCTTGTTCCTCCGAGAGGCATCCAATCACCATACGATCCATCCCGGCAGCCGACACTTACGCCTTGCGACACGCTGTGCTCTGGCCCAACAAACCTCTGTCTTACGTGCAGCTGCCCGACGACATCGCCGGTCAGCACTTCGGCGCTTTCATTTCTGCACCACGCCTTACCACCGTCGCCGAGAAAAGCAAAGACAGCGAAGACAGCGAAGACAACCACAATCACAGCCACAACACCACAGGATATAATAAAGACGCTAATTCCGAAGATCTTGTGAGCATCATATCGCTGTTTGTAAATGATGATGGTGATGATGATAGTGGCACGGCTCGCTTTCGCAAATTTGCCACCGCGCCGGCGTGGCAGGGGAGAGGCGTGGGTTCCGCCCTACTAAACTACACCATCGAGACAGCCGCTAGGAACGGTGCCACGAGTATCTGGTGCGACGCTCGCCAGAGCGCCCTGCCCTTTTACCAGCGGTTCGGGATGAGCGGTGAGGGCGAGGTCTTCTTCAAAGGCGAGCTTCCTTACCTTCGCATGTCTAGGGCCTTGCCCTAAACGAATTGCCGTCCTTTGGTTGTTTTCGGGGTTCCGCATAATTGACCTGGCCGGCAGGGGTGAGAGTGAGAGTTGTTAAACCATTTCCCTATTTCACCTCCTCTTTTGACAGAAAAAAAAACTGTGTCTCTACTGGGGGGGGAGGGGGGACCAAAAGGAAAGGAGTGGGATTAGACGCGCCCTTTTTTCCCACTCACAACTTGCAAGAGCCAATAAACCCACCAATATAACCTCGGAAGCCGATGATTGGGAGGACGCCGCCGCGGACAGCGCTATATGCGTACTGTGGCCCAGAACCGGTGATCCCCCGCATTTGCCTGTGGGCAACGGCTGGTACGGACCATCCCTAGTCGAGAGCAGACGAAGAATACCTACCTACCCTCGTAAGGCAGGAGTTCGACATTTAGTCCCTGTTTTTCCCAAGCCGTCAACCGCCGATGACGTATCCCGGCCAGCCACTCAATCTCAGTGTTAGTTATTAATTTGACCCTGGGCGACCACAGCATGATTCATTCTCGAATTCCCTTGGAGCCCAAGGTGACACAAGTACATACATTCTGAGTACGTTCTAGGTACGTCGAGAAAGGAGATGGGGGCCCATATCTATGTACATACATATGTATCACGTATCACACGTACACATGTACTGCGTACACGATGCGAATATTGCACGCCAATGGATCACGTGCATGATATAGGGTACAGGCTCAGGACGTCGGAGAACTCATCGAACGGCCATCGCATTGGCTTGGGTTGGCCGGGTTGGCCCAGCAATAGTTGATTGGGAAAAGGGGCGCTACTGCGATGCAAGCTGATGTGTTTTCTCATTTGAGCGCTGACTACAAGACACTGTGTGCAAGTGGAGGAGGACGCAGAGAGGCTCCTCTTTCTGTATGGCATAACAAGAGTTTAACAAATCCGGTATGAACGCTCTGCTAGACCCTCCACTTACGCAATGTTTTATGCAGCATTACCTATCGGAACAATGTTAATGAGAAAATCATAAGAGAACTGGAAATCGAATAATGCACGAAAGGTCTGTACCACCATTCTAGACCTTTAGACCTTGGAAAGAGTTGAGCTTGGATGGTCAACGATTGATGGTTGATGCTTGATGGACCCTAGATCTCGATGTGGCTGTTTATCACGTTTTGGAAATCCAAAACCTGTTCTTTGAACTGAACTCCAAATATGTAGTAATCCATCCCATACTTGGGATGTCTTACTATTGGAAGCATGAAAAAGAGGCATTAAAGATCATCGTCTCTTACTAGACAGCCTAAATTGAATATCGCCACTGACGACTTCAGGCCACTCAGTGTTTGTGTTTGTTTTTCTTTGGCTTTTGCTTTTCTGTTTTCACTACCTAGCCTACATACCTATGCATTTTTCACAATCGAGTCATTCATAATTAGCGAATAGTAAAAGCGAGGCAAAACACTGTGTACCCAGGCAGACCGAACGAATTTCATAGAATGACCCCCCAAGGCTCGTAAAAAGAAATCAATACACAACGCATTCGCTGTAGGCATCTGCCAGTATTGCTAATCGCTATTCTAAAAGAGCGCTCACTATACCAACGGGGGATTTTAAATCGGGCTATCAGGGTCCGTTAGGGTCCGTTGGGTGGTCGATCCTACGGATTGCCCACTGCGCGCTTGGTAGGAGCAAGCTTAGTCGCCCGCTTGACAACACAATTGACGACTCAATAAGGGATAGAATGGGGCGTGCCGTAGCCAAAATAGGCTCTCGACAGAAAGTCGTTGTGGCTCAACTGGCTCCGTTGTCCATCCAGCTGTCCAGTTGGTGTGAAAGTTTTTAAATTTGGGATGCAGGAAGGTGTCCAATCCCATTTATACGTATCAAATATATATAGGATATGTAGGTACGTATGTATGTATACCTACAATCATACATACCTGCCTACATATACATATACATATATGTACATGTAATGTAGGCTTGCGTTTGGGCCCCATATAGGTGTGACTGGTCTGAGGGATGCTGTGAGGCATATCTGGGACTGGCTCTTGAGGTTTTCGGTTAAAACGCACAGCCCTTTGGGCCCAGGCATCGGTCAGGACTGGGAAGAAATGGATGAAAATTGTAGGATAAACCCTATGTAGGGCATGTAGGGCAGAGGAGACCTAAGTACGTCATTAGCCAGCGAAGAATTGCTTACGATTTTTATTGTGTTTCTTCATGGGCATGGAGCATGGGAAGGTGACAGGCACTGGGGTGATAGAGACGCGGAGTGGTCAGTAATTTTAAGGAAGTTTAGGTACCTACTGGGGTGCTAGGGGTACCTAAGGTCGGTAGCCTTAGCAGGTGCCCAGCAGGTCAGGTAGGCAGTACTGTGTGTAGGTATTGTACATAGGTAGGGAAAGAAAAAAAAAGAAAAAAAAAAGGTTTTCTTGTGACTTGGCAAATGGTGGCAAATGCCCATAATGGGTAGGGGGGTGGGGTCACGCTCATTGGTCACCCTGAAAAGTTTGAACCAATCATCTTACACGAATGCATTCATGCCCAACTTTGCCAGCATTGGGCAGTTGAGCATCTGATCCAACCACTCTAAATTACATACTCACCAGGTACAAAGTTTGTAGAGATGTCTTAGACGCGGCTTAACGTTTGCATGGATCTATCTTGAATTCCATGTAACTTGAATGTAGTGTAGGTGCTAATTATGTAAGTCTTGGTACTTGGAACTACTGCCAGGCTTAGCCAGGCTACTACTACTAGGGAACGTTGCCTACCGTACCGTACCTACTTATCTGCCGGAACTACATACTCCAGCTTCACTGTTGGCACTAAAAAATTAAAACTGTAACTACTTCAACTTCTTGTGACTTTATTTCAAGTTTACGAGACCACCCCCCCTTTCTCTCCTCCCGTTGGGCATACGTTCCTTATAGTAATTGGGCGCCTCGCGGTGAGTCAGGTAGGACCTAGTATAGACTGGATGACCAGGACCACCAGGTACTGTGCTAAGTATGTTACTAAGTTAAGTATCCATATGTATGTATTGTACAACTACATCCATACATTCATCCATATTATCGTATGTAGTGTATTGTACAACAAATTCCCTTGCAGAAGTCAATGCAGACGGACCCGGGGATGGCATCCTGGTCAGCACGCGGGCTGCGCAGTGCCGCCCACTCCCATCTGAAAGCTGGAGCCCATCTGGAGCCCATCTGGAACCCATCTGGAGCCCCATCGCGAGCCAATCTGCACCATTCTGTCATACCCACACCCACCGTCGCTCAAATCCAGATTAACTCAAGTACCCGTCAGCCTTCCTTTTAGGTCTTTCTGGGTCTCCTGATTCTTACTTAGGAAAAAATCAACAAAAAGCCCTCTTCCTACTTGTTTGCCTCACCTTGTCTCATAAAAGATCGACTCAGACAACAAAACCCTCACCAAGCCCATCCCATTCCCATCGAAAGATGTTCCATTACCATAACCACAACACATCATCACCAATTCAGGCCCCTGTACTATCACCAACACTACTACAACTACCATCATCACTACTAACCTGGGCAAATATCTCCACCACCCTAATAACCAAACTAATCTATCAATTTCATCCAGAATACGACGAAGTGCGTATAAAGACTTAAAGACTTAAAAATGGACGTGAGAGCAAGCCGGCCCATGGATCGGGGCTTCGCTATGCCGGGCGGATTCCCGGCCTACCCTGATCAACGATCCCGGGAAAGATCCCGGCCCCCCACATCCAAAGATTCTGAAGCAGAAACATCACCTAGTCGGACGGCAACATCACAGTCCACTACGCCTCTCAGAGGTATCCTCAAGAACGCAACAGCACCGGCGCCACGGCCGATAGACCCCTTGGCAGCACGATTCTACAGAGTATCGAGGCCGGAGAACATGCAAATGCAAATGTACCCTGTCTCAGCACCTCAATCACCCACATATCCCTCCGACAGTGAGAGGTATAGCGGCTTCGATACCGATTCACAATCCGCCTCATCAGAACTCTCCGTCAACACACAGGCCACCAGTGTTTTGTCGGATTCCACCATCCCACCCAAACCAGCGAAGCCATCTACACAAGTAAAGCATGTACGCCGCCCATCTGTAACATCTACAAGCCGGGTAAGGACAAGGCCACGAAGCAAGGCACCTTCAGAGGTAACCAGCAGCAAGCCCCCTGTCCCGGAAAAGAAGAGGACGGTTCACATTCAATTCGTTCCCCAATCACAAATACAACCACAGCCACAGAACCCACCCAAGTCTCAAGAACTTCAGCTCGCTCGGAGGAAAGATGATGACCTCATGTACAAGATCGAGAAACTGGAGTCGGAAACTGATGTCCTCCGCAAGGACCGGAGCAGACTAAGCAGGGACCTAGACGACGTATCTGTGCAATTGAACACCAGGGGCGAAGAGAACAAGGAGATTGTGCGGGCTCTAACCTATGAGCGCAACACTAAAGAGCTTATCCTAAGAGACCTCGAGGAGCAGAGGCAGATGTCAGATGAGTTCCGAAGTAACTACCAATTACAGCAGGGCATGCTTCTAGATGTCGAGAGAGAGCGCGATAACCTTAGGCGTGACCACGAGAAGTTCGAGGAGCAGATTGCCAGGCTCGAGGAGGAGCTGGCGCGCCGAGACCACGAGCAAAGGGAGCAGGAGGATGCACTCAGGCGCGACATCGACAGCTTGGAATCCACCTCTGCGAACTTCGAAAGGCAAATCGGCTCTCGCACCAAGGAGGTCAAAGATCTCAGCACTGAAATCCGGGAACTCAACAAGGAGCTCAGAGACTTAGACATCGAGGTAAAGGAGCTTACTTCGGAGAGAGACTCTGCTCGAAAGGAGTACCATGGCCTTCAAGTCAAGTTGAAGGCCCTCGAATCTAGCCGAAAGCCTGCTGCGGAAGAGAAGGAAGCACTCCTCAAGGAGAAGGAGACGCTGCTGGGGCAGATCAAGGGGCTCCAGGGCGAGAAGAACTCTCTGCGGGAGCAAGTTAAGGACTTCGAGCAAGAGATTGAGTCGCTCCGCGCGCAAGTTACATTGCTCGAGGCCAGCCGACTAGCTCTCGAGAAGGATATGGCCTTGGAGAAGGCCAAGAAGGAAGGCCTTGAGAAGCAGCTTGAGGCTGCGCTCGCCGAGAAGCAAGAGCTGCAGGCCCAGCTCGACGCTGTCAAGATCGCCAGGGATGATCTTGCGCAGCAGCTTGAAACCACCAAGACGGATCTTGAGAAGCAACTCGAGACCACCAAGGATGAGCTCGGCAAGCAATTAGAAGCGACCAAAAACGAATTAGAGACGAAACTAGAATCCTCCAAGCAGGAGCTCGACAAGCAAAGCCTAGACTTCAAGGCCATACTCGACGACAAGCAGTCGCGGATTGATGGCCTAATCACCGAGGTGGCCGGGTCCCAGGACGCTAACATCGCCCTCGCAAGCCAACGCCTCGAGATTGACACACAACTCACCACTGTCAGGGTGAATCTCGTCACTGTCGAGACGGAGCTTAGCGAGGTCAGGGAGCGCAACAAGATGCTCGAGTCGGAGAAGGAGGCGCTGACAAGCCGCACCGCCGATCTCGAGAAAGTGAGCTCAGACCTCGAGAAGCTTCGCCAAGAACACGCAGGGCTCGAGGAGAAGTCGAAGGGACTTGAAGTCGACATCGGAAAGCAACAGGAAGCCGCCAAGGCGCTACGAGAGGAGAAGGAGAAGCTTGCCGCCCGCGCCAAGGAGCTTGAGGAGGGCGCAGGCCTCGAAAAGCTCAGCAAGGAGAAGAGCGCGCTCGAAGGGAGCGTCAAGGAACTTGAAGACAAGGTCGCGGTACTAACGCAAGAGAAGACAACTCTAGAGGCGAAGGCCGGTGATCTTCAAGCTGAGGCTGCCAAGGTGCCTTCACTAGCTCAAGAGAAGGCTAACCTTGAAACCAAAGCTAAGGATCTGCAAGCCGAAGCCGACAAGGTGTCCTCGCTAGCCCAAGAGAAGGCCGACCTCGAGGCTAAAGCCAAGGAGCTGCAAGCAGAAGCCGAAAAGGTTACGGCATTGACGCAGGAGAAGGCGAGCCTGGAGGGCCAGATCAAGGATCTGCAATGCGAGGCGGCCAAGGTGCCGGGTCTTGCGGAGCAAGTGCAGGCACTGACGACGCGGCTCGATGCGGTGACACAGCAGCTGTCGACGGCAACCCTTGGGCAAGCGACAGCCAGCGCACAGGTGCTCGAGCTACAGGTACTCCTCAACAAGTTCAATCAGCAGCAGCAACAGCAGCAGTCACGGCCCAAGTCGCGTAGCAACTCGCGCGCGCCACCCAAGCGTCAAAGCCGCTCGCCATCCTCCGGGCTCGTCTTCGTCCGCCAGCCTAAGGATGGCAGCAATGTCATAATCACCACACGCGACGCGCTCAAGCCGCGGGACCGGGATCGGTCGCCTTAAATTAACTCACTGGGTACACATACCTACCCACCTACTTAGGTACCTAAACATCGATTATCGATCTGGTCGCATGGCGGCTATCGAGAAAGATGGGGGTAGGGAGTGAGTTCAACTTGGCGTCGCGTTGCCCTGCTGGCAAGAAGAGGAGGAGAAAGGAATAGAGAAAATTAAGGGAAGGGGGTTCGAAGAAATCGAAAATAGAGCTGGGCTTGGGAGACGTGGAAGATTGATCGCGATACTCTTTACCGACGAGGTATTGGCGAGTCGCAATGATCGTCCGGTGGTCTCACTGCGGAAACTTGGGTTACAGGTATTGGGTACTTGGGATACATAAAAAGCACACAACTGCGGTGGCGACGAGAAGGAGAAACACGAGTTGCTTTCTGAATCTTCTCTTTTCCCTTTTCGTCTCCTTTTCTTTTTTTTTTTTTCATAATGTTTCTTTCTGTACTAGGTTGTTTTTATTGTTGTCAGCTGTGTAAGATTGCATTGCTGGCGTCGTCATGTAACTTTTGGGGATGATGAACGAGAGACGAGAAGACGAGCGACGAAATCATGGATAGATTGTTGAAGTTGTCCTGGACATTACAGGAGTGGGTGAGGAGTCAGGGCACCTTGCTGCGCCACGAGCACCATCCATTCCTTTTGTCATATTTTCTTTTTGTTTTTCTTTTTACTTTACTCAAACCCATACTCGCAATCGTCGACGAGTTGGGAAGATATGGAGGGGGCAAGGGCAAAAAAGAATACGGGATACCCTAGGGATATTCAGATATTCACCCTCGGTTGTACTGCTAGTGTAAGGTTGTCGGACATCATAGTCATGTTGTATTTCTTGTCTTCATGTATCCGATCTAGACAATCAATGAGCACGAGCTCAAAAGGGGGCGTGAGAAAGTGGTGGACTTTAAAGATTAGATATCGGGCATATTTATTAAGTAGTAGTTAATTCAATCTGAACAATAATGGATGCATACTTATGTTGTAACTACTTCAAGTTCTTCTTGTGCTTTGGTGATGAGTCTTTTGGTCGCCTGTGTCTGTGATGTTGTGTGTTGCGTAGGCGTTGTCTTCAAAATGGCGCGTCACACTCGTAATTAGGTACCTAAGTAGATCATGGATTCCAAGGCTCATAGTGTTGTAGTTTAGGTATGTTTCATCCGTACCTACCAACTATTAACTGTTTAAATCAGTGTATTTTCAGATTTATAAGGTCTAACACGGACTAACATTATGAGATAACAAGAATTCATGTATATACGCCGCCTACCCCTAACTAGGGAGGTTACGAGGGCAGGCAGGTCCTCCCCCCTTGCCACGGCGTTGAATATACCGGCCAACGAGCTACCTACCTACCTAGGTAGGTACCCAGGTAACCAACTAAAAAAGTCACAGCGTAAGCAGGAGAATGGGAACGTAGAGCATGTATAAAGTAAGATAGAGGATAGTCAGTGTAGGTAGAACTATCTGACTGTAGTACCTATCGCAACAAAAATCAAGAAACAATGGCCTCTTATATCACAGCACAATCCCTTTATCTGGATCTCCAAGTGTCCTACCAGCACAACATGAGAATTCAAGACAACCATTTATATCAAGTAGGTATGTATGGGCCTGGCTATTGAGGGAGGTACGTAGTAAGAAGTTGCTAGGAAAAAAAAAGAAAAAGTCAGATCTATATTCCAGCAAACCCTCATTCGGATCTCTCACTACAGCCTTGAAAAGATGGATTCTTTTGAAAACCATATCCAGAAGCTCTGGAGCGCTTTTTTGGATGACAAAATACTCTACGAGTTTATTCCCAGAATCGTTGCCATCTTCCTCGGCGGAAGCCGGTTATATCTCGAAGAAGGAGAAGGAGAAGGAGAAGGAGAAAATGCCGCCCCTAGAGGGTGGGACGGCGTGATCGTCGTCGACGAGAAGTATCAGTTACACAATCTCACGTACCGCCGCGAGCGCCTAAGAGCACTGGTGGGGATCGAGAGAGAAGAGTGCGCGGAGTCGGCGCTGCAGGTGCCGCGCCCGGGACTCCGCGACCCGAGATGGGACGAGTACATGTGCACGTCGCTCAACATCCTGTCGTACAGAGATCAGCGCGTGCATAAGACAGTAGGGCCGGGTCCGGCTACGTCATATCAGATCCATCAGTCGACGGTTGACTTTTCGAAGAAGGTGTACTGGCTGCACGACCAGTGGGTTTACTCGGCCTCTAGTGGACCCCAGCAGAACTCGCGAGGAGGAGGAGGGGCGTTCGGGATCGTCGCCGATTTGATTGTTTCGGGAGTATGTCTCTTTGGATACGAACAGTGTAAGCACTGGCGCCATAGAAACGAGCGGCATGGGCGGAAGATCAAGGAGAATATTTTGGCGCATTACGCAGAAGTTACGTCGAAGCGTGCAACTGTCGACTCTTTTGCCAAATCGCACTACTTCTCCCCTCGCTACGCGGAGTGGCTAAAGCAGGAACTCGCTGGTCTCCAGGGTACTTCTGAAAACGAATCACCGGCTGAATCGTTAGACTCGGGAACAGGAACAGACGAGTCTCTTGTTGCTGCTGCTAGTGAGCCTACATTTATATTCGGAAGTACTACCGGATCCGACGGCGTTCCTACCAGAGACTACAGCTACCGCTCCAGCATGTCCACGTCCAACGTGGCCCCGCTCGGCATCATCCCCGAGGCCGCCTACCATGATTTCGAGCGCCGCCGCATCACCGCCCCCCTCACGAACGAGCCGCTGCCCCTCGGCTCCAGCGAGGACTTCTACTTCGTCGAGACGACGGGGCGGGACCCCATCAAAATCCTCTGCAAGAAATCTTCGCGGGCCCGGGAGGAGAAAGACGCCGCCGAGCTCGCTATCCAGTACTACTACCCCAACACCCCCGTGCCGCGCCTCTTCGAGTCCGACACGCTCCTCTATCCCTTCGTCTCGGGCATCTCCGAGTCCGACCTCCGCCTCGCGTTCGCGAAGGAGGGCGGCCGCGACTGGGACGTCGCGGAGAGGATCCTCTACGCCGAGCTGGCGAAGGCCGAGGACGCGGTGCGCGGGTACCGCGTATATCTCACGCAGCAATTCGCACGGCGGCCGGAGGGCAACTGCCTCAACTCCCCCCTGCACCTCTTATTCCACGGCCGTCTGCTCGGCCACGCGCGGCTGCGGGAGCTGTACGGCGCCTCGATCCGCATCGCGGGCGCCCCCGTCCCCCTCGCGCGGTTCCTGCGCATGCCCTGGACGATCAACGGCAAAGCCTACCCCTCGCTCGGCTCCGCCCTCGCCCGCGCCCGGCGCATCCTGCGCCCGAGCACCTCCTCGTCGTGCCCGGCGGTCTTCGGGCTCGGCGTCGCGCACGGCGGGACCGTGGTCGTCTCCCACGGGCCACCAGCCGAGACCGAGACCCGGCCCTGCGAGCTGCAGTACACGGACTACGCGGCGGCGGGCTTCCACCCCGCGGTGCTGGACCTCGCGGCGCCGCTGTACACGGACGTCTTCGAGACGCTGTACGCGGACCTCCTGCCCAGAACTGGGCAGGGCGCCAAGTTCCGCGTCTCGGAGGGCAACGAGATGACGCTCGACTTCGTCCCCCGCGCTGGCGCAGGCGGTGCTGGACGTCAAGGTGCGGTACCTGGTGCAGCCGCTGTCGGATTTGATCGCCACCGCCCAAGCCCAAGCCCGAGCCGAAGCCGAGGCTGAGTTGAGAGGAAAGGAGGAGGAGGAGGAGGAGGAGAAGCGCTCTCGGGGCTTTGCGAGGCGTTTGCGAAGTTGGGGTTTGCTGTGCCGGATCTTGCCGTGCCGGACTCCGCTTCCGACAGTTCGTCAGTTTGTTCAGATTACTGACCTAGGTGACTAGTCACTATCATGGATGCCGTGGTTGGTGTACGCGGATCGCAACAAACTGGATTCCTGGATCAAGCAAGCCAGTCAGACTCCGGGGACTGGTGACGCGATCTCACTGTCCTTTACGATAAACACAAAAAGACATGAAAAAGAATGCATAGGTACACAAGCAAGGGGAGCGGCTGTTAATATATACATTATGCCACTTAAAATGGTGTCACAAACTTGGTGAGGTAGCTAAGTGAATAAGCAGCATTTAAAAAAGAAATCGCAAAATTGTATGTGCCGTAGAGCTAATGCCAATATCTAAGTATCCTCCTCCTATAGTGCGATATGTATCCCAGGCCAAATAGTAGATATGTACTAGATAGAGCTTCCCTGATGGTAGGTAAGCAACGTTTCTTTCAACATTAGTATGTACTAGGTGGTGCTACTATTCTTTCATTTTCACTGTATCACTTCCGTCAGCTCTAAGCTCTTAAGTGGATAATAGGGACGGAGTCTAGGTTTTAGGGAACTAACCGTTGATGTTTATCAGTAGTAGGTGTTGGTCATTTTCAGATCATAGCGTACAAGTCGTAGATAAGCTTCTCCCAGCTAAATTTCCTTTGTCAAGCAGAGAAGAATATCGATGCTAAACTTGATATCACCAAGAATAAGACGGGCCAGGGCAATGCAAAGGTTATGAACAGGTAATTAGCTTTTAAGTTGTTTTTGGACCAGACTCGCCGCTCCCAGAACCGATCAGTTGCATATACTTTTCATCCATATACACTTTTAAAGGAATCGCAAACGAAAAGTTCGAATAGCTCACAGGCCCGATTCAAGGTCTCATCAATTGTAATAGTAGGTAACAGACAAACTTCCAAACTCTGCTTGCTTTGGGGGGAATATTGACTCAACGCGAACAAGTTCTAATGGTTAAGTAATCAACAGAATCAAGTCTGAGACTGGGCCACTGGCGGCGACCCTTCATTGCCCGAGGCGGCAAGAGTGTTCTGAATGACACCAGATGATACCGAGTTCGTCGGGGGCCCGCTCTTACGGTTGTTGTTCCCCTCATCAGTTAAGAGCTTGCTCAAAAGCTTCAAGTCGTCTCGAGACCTTGGATCACGCTCAAGAGCTCTGCGCACTGCAGTCCACTCCCCCTCCTTCATTCTAGCAGCATGGGGAAGCAAGAAGGCCACAGTCGAACACACAAAAAGCGGACCTAGTACTTCGCGAGCTTTAGCTTCCCCTTCAGCCTGCGCAGCCCGTAGAACAGGAACCATAGGATCTTGAGTCACCATCGCCGGAGCCGTTGGCGAAGCCTGGTACGGAGGCATATTCTGGGAGACGATTCCTGGAATCCTCGGGGCAGGGACTGGCGTCTGGCTGTAAATCGATCCTTGCGGGGTTGCGGGTGACCATGAAGGACCGGAGCCTGACTGTGACAGGTGTGCCGGTCCACCTTGAGCTGACGTTACTGAGGAGGCGAGCTGAATTTCAGATAGCTGTTCCTCCACAGGTATCTGAGCTTGCTTTTCGTCTCGATAGATGAACACCATAAGTAGCATAGGTTCAGGACGATCCTCTGGAATGAGGTGATCGCAGATATTTTGAATTGGCTCAGGAATTGGGCCATTACCCGGCGGCACAGGCACTAGATATGTATCGCGCACATTGCCAGACCTCTTCTCTCCTACAACGCCATATCGTTGACGGGACAAAAAATAGTCAATGAGAGCGAAAAATTCCTTTCGCTTACTGGCGTTCTCCGAGCGGGATGGCAAAAGCCTGGTAATTACTAAATCGACCTGATTGTTATATCGTAGGCCACAAAGGTAAGGGGTGCCCTTCTCTTCGTCCACGCGACCACACACCGTGATTACAGGCGGGATTAGATCTTTCCAAGCAATACCTCTCACCTTGCTTAGATCAGCACCACCCGCATATTTAGCAACAACTTCAATCTCCGCTACGTTGGTCATTTTTAACGGACCACACCAGACAATGTCAGGGTCAATATTCTCGCTTGGCGAATATGGCGGAGACTCATTGCCATCCTCTTGAAGCAATCGGTCTACCTCGGGATCATCTCCTGGTCCAGTAGACTGAACGTGCGTAGAAGCTCGTCTCGGATGTGGCGTCGACGGTGAGCGCACGCTAGAGAAGACTTTGCCAATATCAAAATCGGATCTCTTTGGCGATTGCTGCGATACTTGAGTATCAACTCGAAGAGGCCCGCTTGAAGAGTTTGACCTCATGTGCGTGGAGTTAGCCAGCTCATTGCTTGAATGTTTTGCATCACTCGCCTCTCGCACAGCTTGACGGCGTAAAGTCGATGGAGTGTCATCTGAGTCAGCAACAAGATGATATGGCTCGACCACTTCTTCCCCCTTCAGAGTTCGTCGAATTCGAGGTGCATCCTCTGTGATTAGGATCGCTTGTTTCTCAGCACGTGCTTTCATCTCCGCTGTCTCACGCTGCAATTCTTTGGTTGCAAGCTCATCACTAGTCATCACTACAAATGACGTAGGTGGCAACGACCTGTTGAGCACCTGCGACGCAAGTTCGACGTTGTTCTTCAAACTGAACATGAGGGTACGAAGTTGTGAATGGTTGGCGTGTGTATCTTGAAACGCTCGCTCAATCTCGAGTGCCAGGCGTTCCGTCACACTCTTCTTGGTTGAACCTTGGGGGATGGAGTAGAGCCCCTTCTTCTCTGTTAAGTCAACCGCAACATCAAGCGATCCTTGTAAGGCTATGGCAGCCTGTTTTCGACTATCTTCAAGTTTCTGGATGCTATCCGAGAGATCGCTAGGAGGAGTATAATCGGGAACCGATGGAGCAGGTGGTGCTACTGGAGCAGCTGTAGCTGCTGGAGCTGCTGGAGCTATTGGTGTTGCTGGTGCTGCTGGTGCTGCTGGTGTCGTTGGAGTCGGGGCTGAAGCTGGAGCTGGAACTGGCACTGGCACTGAAACTGCTTGGGCCTCTGATATCTTTCGATGCTTGATCTGTGGTCCCTGGGAATGGTCGCGAGATTTGCGTTTCGCCTTCATTACGGGCTCTGTTACGGGATCTTCCTTCTTAGCGTCTGGCGTTGGTGAAGCCTTGGGCTTAGCATTCATAGTATTTATAGCACTTGGGGAGGCACGGTCTTTCGGATCACTGAGGCGTTTAGCTTTGCCCTTCCTGCCACCCTTCTTCCGCTTCTTGTCCTCCTCATACTTTTGGCGACGGCCTTCCCATGGCCTTTCCCCCTTCTTCATAGCTTCAAGGGTGTGCTTATGATCATCGGGGGCGCATTGTTCACAGAAGTAATCTCTAGTTAAGTCTTCGGTGAAAACACTCATCCCCATACACACATTATGCTGCCAAGCACCACACTTATCACACGCAATCCAGGGCTCATTCGTATCGTCATCGTCTTGCGTTGTCGCGCCACAGATACATCGAATAATTTCTTCATCTTCGTCATGTTTTTCGTCTTTCTCAGCCGCCTTCTTTCCCTTCTTGGACTGTCGCCTCTTAGGGGGTTCGGGTCCGTTTTCTAGCTGATCAAAGGCTTTCGTGTGTTGACCTTTGGTGGCACGCACAGATCGACGAGGTTCTGGTTCACCTATAGAGTTGCGGACAATTGTTAGTCTGTGTACTAAACAGTTGAATTGGGCCTTAGAAATGGAATGAATAAAGAGGTGCTGCGGCTGAAGTCTTTTTTGGTAGTGGATGGCGATAGTGGAAGTGTTTTTTTTTTCTTCATGCAAGCCGCTTGTTGTAGACCTCTGGTAGGAAGTACGCTTACCTGACATCTCGACAGTAGACAAAGCTCAAATTTTGGTTGGTTCAAGTATAGTACACAGTTCTAGTTCGAGGTTGCTCAGGATCGCATGAGTCTTGAGTCTACGTTGCGAGTTGGAAGGCAATTGGGGAGCAGTACTCGTCAGACAACCATGACTTCTACGGAGCTGGGTTGATCTATAGTCTGAGAAGAAGACAAAAGATAGGTAAAGTGACCAAGATCCTTGACTTCCAAGCCCCTTTAGCACCAAACAAAACCTAGCTTTTTTGATTTCCTTGGATGGTCCGGGTTAGGTAGAGCTTGTTTGAATAGAGGGCTGGTATAGTTGGTGGTGGCTGCAATTGGTGACGTTGGCGCGCAAGTAGCGATCAACACGCGACGAGCCAAAGGTAAGGCTTCTGAAGAAATGATTCTCTCGCGGGTAATTGAAAGCGAGCAACGCAATAGCACCCTACTTCTTAGTAGTTAGTGAACAAGATGGATGCCATAGAGAATAATGCGCGACGCTTTGTGAGTAGTGCGATGTTGTATCCAGGTATCGTGACGTGGACCGGCGATTGTTGTTGCGGTAAAGAGATGGGGGGAAAAGGATCGCGAGTGGAGAGTTCGGATGGGGTAGGTAAAGAGCTAGCTACATAATTATGTAGCTTTTAGTTAGCCTTTGGGAGGTTGAACCGTCAAGGGAAGAAAAAAAAAATTAAAGATCGGGGGGGGGGATGATTGAGCACGGGCCTCGGCATTCACACTGAAAGAACGAACAAAGGTACCTAGGTACATGATATCCCACTAGTACCAGGTGGGCAGGTGGGGCACTAGCCACAGCGGCTTTAAGCTTCTACATGTCAACGGTGCTAGTTAGCAGTTGAATTGTACGCGTCGGAAGCTCTTGCCTAGCTGCCAGCCTGCCACTGCCAGCCTTGAAGGCAGGTACCTAGTACGTAGGTATGCTACAGCCTTTCCAGCTTCCCGGAATTCAATTCGCAGCAATCCACCAACTAAACAATACCTACTACCTACCTAATACCAACCCAAAACTTCCCATTTTCAACAACCGTTACAACTTCAAATAGTATCAGGCGTTGATACTCCTTCGTAACTGTCTAATTTTTCACGGCCGAACTTGTTCACCATGTCTCGCCGTTACGATTCTAGAGTAAGCTTGAGGAGCTCATTACCTATCCCATAACGTCTACGATAAGATTATATTTTACGTATGTACACTTACTCATAGGACAGACTACAATCTTCTCGCCCGAAGGTCGCTTGTACCAGGTCGAGTATGCGCTCGAAGCTATATCTCATGCCGGAACTGCCATCGGAATTCTCGCCAAGGACGGCATTGTCCTGGCCGCAGAGCGCAAGGTTACGTCGAAGCTATTAGAGCAAGACACCTCTGCCGAAAAGCTTTACATCTTGAACGAGTATGTATCATGTTCTTGCCTATGGCTAAGCTTTACTTGGGACCATAATGCTAACATTCCACAGTAACATGATCTGTGCAGTAGCCGGCATGACGGCAGATGCCAACATCCTCATTAACTATGCCCGACAAGCCGCACAACGCTATCTCCTCACCTACAACGAAGACATCCCGTGCGAACAGCTAGTGCGGAGACTATGCGATCTCAAGCAAGGTTACACTCAACACGGTGGCCTACGACCGTTCGGTGTATCCTTCATATACGCAGGATGGGACCCTCAGCGACAATTCCAGCTCTACCTGAGCAACCCCTCAGGTAACTATGGCGGGTGGAAAGCGACAAGCGCAGGTGCCAACAATGCGAGTGCCTCGAGTTTATTGAAGCAAGACTACAAGGAAGACTGCACATTGAAAGAGGCATGCGGCATGGCAGTCAAGGTGCTAAGCAAGACGATGGACTCAACTAAGCTGAGTAGCGAGAAGAGTGAGTTCCCCATGCCTAAGTGACGGCGCATTCTCATATACTAATATCAATGTTTGTAGTTGAATTTGCGACTGTAGGACAAACCCCGGATGGCAAGATCTACCACCGACTTTGGAGTGCGGACGAGATCACGGCGCTCCTAAAAGAGCATGATCTAGCAAAGGACGAGAGTGCGGAAGATAAATAGATCAGATCTCTGATTCCTAGATGCCACCCATACATACATAAGCTATTAGATGTAGGTGGAATCGATCGTGTATCAATACCACTTATATGAATACAATCTAGGCACTAAGGTCAACGTATCATTGCAACCAACGTTGCGAGTTTCTGCGTCGTTGCATGAGTCGTTGCATGAGGTCATCTAGGTAGTTACCACTCAGGAGCGAGTTGGAACTGGAATATGATAATGAGAGATCTCAAGATGAGGGTTAGGTATGTAGTTCAAAGCTCATGGTCACCTGCTAAGTGCCTAGTATGATGTGTATGTGGATGTTAACATGATGATATTTACATATGCAAGTAAGTGCATATTTGGAGGCACCGGTCAAGTTTATGTTACATATCTAGTAACTATCCCTACTAGGTACTGCAGTCTGCAACAACTCCCAAGTTCCCAACCAGCCTGGAGCCTGTGGCTCTCCTCCGCTAACCTAGCCCTGGAGAACCTTAGGACCCAAATTAGAGAGTTGGAAACCAATTAGCGTCTCCACATTGAGCACGCATGTCCGTGGTGCCGTGCCAGTGATTCACTGTGATTGCTGTCTTTATCCCTGTTGTATTTAGGTAGTTCCCCCAATGAGCTTGGACAATTGCATGAACCCAAGACTTTCAGGTCCTTCTGGTCAGGCTCCAGGGGTTTTCACTGACGCTGAATTCACTAAACAACAATACTTTTAGTTAACTACTGCCCCGCCAAATAAAAACAACTTGAGCGGATTCGTACCATTTTACATACATTTTACACATCGTGCAGTAACACTTGAGTACAGTTGACCTTTTTGTCTTTCAAGACCAATTCGAACAATATTCGTCTTCTTTTATTATATACCCAATTACCGTCATTATGCTTCAAGTTCCGATCCGAGAAAAGACGGGTGGTAGTGGTAAGGGCACGAAGGCCGTTATTCTGGTACGCGCAACCCATAAATTCATCACCTTCACCTTTCGAACGTGTACAAGAACGTACAAGAACGTATATGAAAATATATGAAAACTCTCCCCCACTAACAAAGATCGCCTACAGGTCGGTGGTCCTTCACGAGGAACCAGGTTCCGCCCTCTATCGCTCGATGTCCCAAAGGTACCTATACTATATTCCCCCATCCTTCTCTTCTTGTCGTATCTACTTCCTATTATTCTTTTTTCAATGCAACTTGCATGGTATTAATAGTAAACACGTAGCCACTCTTCGACGTTGCCGGCCATCCCATCGTCTGGCACTGTCTGACTGCCATTGCCAAAGTGCCCGAGATCCAAGAGGTTTGCATGATCGGCTACTACGACGAATCTGTCTTCAAAGACTTCATCAAGGAAGCGGCCTCCGAATTCCCTAACCTTCCCATAAAATACCTTCGAGAATATCAAGCCTTAGGTACCGCAGGTGGCCTGTACCACTTCCGAGATGCTATCCTCAAGGGCCGACCTGAGCGCATCTTTGTCCTCAACTCTGATGTGTGCTGCTCTTTCCCCCTCAACGAGATGGCCAAACTATTCGACGATAAAGATGCAGAAGCCGTAATTTTGGGTACTCGAGTAGGCGAGGATGCTGCCACCAATTTCGGATGCATTGTGTCGGATTCGCACTCTCGTCGTGTTCTGCATTATGTTGAGAAGCCAGAGAGCCATATATCGAATCTGATCAACTGCGGTGTATATCTCTTCAGCGTCGACGCCATTTTCCCGAGCATTAAGACCGCTATTAAGCGAAGAACCGACCGACCTCGACTGGTGTCTTATCCCTCTTCTGAAAACTTGGAGTCAAGTTTCATGGCAGACGACGACGAAGAGCGCAAGAATGAGGTTATACGCCTGGAACAGGATATTCTGAGTGATCTCGCAGACAGCAAGCAGTTCTTTGTGTACGAAACTAAGGACTTTTGGCGTCAAATCAAGACAGCTGGCTCCGCCGTCCCAGCTAATGCACTATACCTACAGCAAGCCTACCAGACAGGATCTACCGAGCTTGCTAAGCCCTCTCCTAACGTGATACCCCCCGTGTTCATTCACCCTTCTGCACATGTCGATCCTACCGCCAAACTTGGCCCTAACGTGTCCATTGGACCCCGGGCAACAGTCGGTCCTGGCGCCAGAGTTAAGGAGTCTATTGTTCTGGAGGACGCAGAAATCAAGCACGATGCTTGTGTGCTGTACTCCATTGTAGGCTGGAACAGCCGAGTGGGCGCCTGGGCGCGTGTCGAAGGCACGCCTACACCTGTCACAAGCCATTCGACCAGCATTGTGAAGAATGGTGTTAAGGTCCAGAGCATCACCATCCTAGGCAAGGAATGTGGAGTTGGAGACGAGGTCCGCGTGCAGAACTGTGTCTGCTTGCCATTCAAGGAATTGAAGAGGGTAAGTCCCCGTTCCTGGCTTTAAGCTAGCATATCCGACTATATCAAATTTGGCTAACGTAACTACGCAGGATGTCGCTAATGAAGTCATCATGTAAGGGGCAGGACTTTCGCTGGTTTAGATCTAGGTTAGTCACTTACAGTCCTCTGATCTTTCTATGAAATATGCATTTCCGATTTGGAAACGCGGTCGGTGGTTGACTCCATCTTCGGTGTAATGGACGGGGCAACAAAAGAAAAGGTACGGTAATGGTGATGATACCTACGGGACTACTAGCTATCTACCTACCTACATAGTATCTACCTATTACCTAGGTAGTCTACCATGTAAGATGGTCAGCAAATTATATAATTCCCAACATGATCAACTTGGGCTCGTATTTCACCTCCTATTCGTAGTGTGCAATTCAATCTCAATATATTGTTAAATTCCTCCCCTAAGGGATCGACACAGGGTGCCGGCGTTACCAAAACGCAACAAAGACTTCACAAACTTTGTCCCCCCAGGTGATTTCCCAACATTTATATGGCTGGGTCTATCCTTTCGAGGGTGTAGTAGCCATTTACCCATGTAGGTATTTAAGAGTTCGGTGCTACAGTAAATGCCTATGTCTAGCTACACTAGAGGGCATTGGAATTCCATTAGTGATTGAGAGCTTCTTTGAATGAGAGCAAAGCAGACTTACCAGGGGCATAGAAACCAAAGCCGGTCAGTCCCGGGCCCTGTATGGCTCTACGAGTCCAATAAAGGTCTCGCCTATTCAGACAACAACGGCCCAGTAGATAAATGCAGAGGCTTTTCTCTGCCCCTTTTATTATAACCGAACTCATGCATAGTATAAATATCGACCCATCCTATAGTGATATTGATTTACTCGATGAGATGGCCGGCCTAGATCTCCTGCTTCCCCTGATTTCCTCTGCAGTTCCTGCATCCCGCTCGCCTTCGGAACTGAGCTTTTAATAGGATCGCAACGCAGATGAGCAGGCCCAATCCGGCCAGGCCAACTGCAGTATATAACGCAGCTCTATACCCTCTCAACTTGCCCCGCGTAGACTGATCGCCTCTATTCACGTAGGATTCCACGGTACGAGCAACCCCCAGCCCGAGTGAAAAGCTATAGTAGAATACAGTGCTAGCCAGGCTAGCTGCGATGCCCTGGTGCTGCCGTTCGATGGAATGCGATAGCGCTAGGGTTATGGCGGGGAAACTTGTGTCGACGGCCCAGGACATGACGAGCACGGAGAGGAATAGCTGAGCCCAGTACGTTTGCACACGGGGCATTGTGGCGATGAGCACGGATCCTAAAGTAAATGCTAGGAGAGATAGCAGCATGACGATGGAGGGCCGTAGGTGCTGGAGGAGGAAGCCAGATGACCCCGTGGCTAAAACGCCAATCACAATACATGGGGTGACATATGCTGTAGTCTAGAGTTATCCTGAGGTCAGCTACTGCTTTTAAGCTGCTATCGCATCAGGGTATCGAGACATACCAAAAGGGGAGAGGCGTGGCGGATGTTTTCGGCAAACTGCCAGGTATAAGCGATCCAGATCCCGAAGCACGACCACCCACACGCACCTACAAGCAGGGCTAAGTACGTGTCCGACGAGAGCGCATGGAACGGCACCAGCGGCTTCGGCGCGTGGTATCTCTCGACCAGCACGAACAGCGTCGCGAACAGCGCACCGGAAATGAGCGCGAGCCATATATACGGCTCCTTCCACCCCACCTGGGACGTCTTGTTCCAGGCAAAGCATATCAGCTCCCAGCTGGATATCCCGGCGACAGCCCCGGGGATGTCGAGTTCCAGCACTGCGTCGCGCATGGTAGCGGGCATCGCGTTCTTCTGGATGACTTGGGGGATCGCGAAGTATCCCGCGCCGGCGATGATGAGCAGCATCAGCGCGAAGGCCCAGTAGGCCAGCGGCCACCATGCCAGCGCGAGGAGACCTGCGCTCAGCGCGCCGACGACGAGGCCGATGGGCGCCATGGCTGCGACCAAGGTGAACGCCAGTGCCTTTTGCGGCCCCGGAGGATGCGTCGAGCCGAGAAGGGCAAAGCCGTTGGGCAGAGAAAGCGCGGCGCCGACGCCGTGGAGCACCCGGGAGACGGTGAACAGGGAATGGGTTGAGTAGACCGAGATCCCGGATATGGCAGACCAGACTGCAGACCAGACGAAGCCTATGAGGAATACGCGCTTGTAGCCGTACGCGTCGCCCAGTCTGCCTGCTAGGAGGATGAAGGTGCCGATTGCCAGTGTGTACCCAGCTAAGTTCCAGGTCAGATCGCTTGTGTTGGTGATGTCGAAGCTAGCCCCTATTTCACGCAGAGTGGCCAGGGTCTGGCCGATTCCGATTTCTAGGCCTATGTTAGCGAATGTCGCACATAAAGCCGCCAGTACATCATATCATAGAACTTACGGGTGCAGAGTAGCGCCATGCAGATCGTCGCAACATACGTGAACACGTGGAGCCTCGACATCTTGTCCACCAAGTAGGTCGGCGTCTCCTCCGGCGCCGACGGCGACAGCGGCGGCAGACTCATTCCGGGAGGCATCGGCCAGGATATCTCGTCGATGGCGTAGAGCCCCGAGCTAATCAGGCTGCTGGTGTGGCGCCGCTGATTCCTCCCCATGCTATGCGCCCGCGGAACGGGTGGCAGCGACTTGTCACGAGCCGCCGCCATCTGCTGCGGCGAGCTTCGTCGTGACTGCAGGGATGCAACAATGCCCCCGCTCAGGGACCGCAGGGAGACGGGTGGCGGATCGTCGTCGTCGTCGTCGTCGCTGCTGATGGAGAATCTGGACACGTCTTCTAGTGTGGAAGGAGGATTGTTGTCGTCGTTCATTCCAGTTGTGGTTGTTATTGTGGGTTCGTTGGGGTTGGGGTTGGGCGAAGGCGAGGCGAAGAGCTCGCTCAGGCGCCGGAGGACGATGTCCTGGGTCTCAAAACTCCAGATGGAGCTTCGGAAAAGCGAGTCCGTGAATGACATGGCGGCGCTGCATTTGGGATGGGATGGGATGGGATGGGGTTCAGCAGGAGGGAGATGCTGCGTCCGGCTAGCTAGGTAGGAGGAGGAGAAGGGAGTCTAGGTCACGTTTCTCCTTGCGCGAGGAATTGCACTTGCTGATATATAAACAGATTTAAACAAGCCCCTTTAGGATGTCTCTGGGGATATCCGCTGGTGGTGTGTTCAACAGGTTGGCTAGGTACGTAGTACATGTTAGAACTGAGTACTGAGGGTGTTCTGGGCGAAAGTATCCCACCTACCTGATGCCTATCTAATTCTTCCAATTTCTTATAATAAATTATTCCATTCACTTGTAATCAGAATATTGATCCTATGATCTGCTGTATGGGTACCTATGTTCGAAGCAAGCAAGCAAGCAAGCAACGATGATTGGATGCCAGGTATGTGGCCTTGAATACCCGATTCGGTTCCGGTATATCACACCAGATGATAACGTGGGAAATAGAACTTTTGTTCTCAATCCCCAGACGTGGGCAGTCAAGAGGATCCTTATAATAGAAATACATCTTAGGGTTTGGCCCAGTAGTTGGTTTGGCCTGACTATAAATGAGACTAAGTGTCCAAACTCACCTCTTCATAACCTTCGCTCACTTGTTCTCGTCCCATCATGGAACTCCTTGAAGAGCTGAGTTCTCGTAAAAGCCTGGCACTCAGATGCAGACAGATGGATCTGTGGGATTAGATAGCACAACCGGGCATTGATACAGTCCGAGCCATCTTATGCAAGTCTAGACCAATGCACGACACCAGATATAGAAGAACATCACGGTTTTCCATATTTTCCTACCTTTCAAAAGATGAGCATTTTACGGTCTTTACGGAGATTATCAGGAACTCACCTTATATCCAATCAAGTATCTGATTAAAAGCGCACCGGCTCCGTCATGCCATGTGATCTCTTGCTTCTTGATCTCTTTAAAAGGGGTTGATGATGTCCTACCGTCGTCACTTCACCATCAACCTTCCAGATTAAAAAGTCGAAACAAGTTGAAACAACGATGGCTGCTCCGGGTGAATCTTATAACGCAGCTTTCCCATCACAGCCCAAACCTTACCTCTCGCACGGTTTACCCTTCGACAAGGCCTGTGCACACCACGCCGAGAATACCTTCCACGCCTCGCGCATCTACATTGTTGTGTCCAGGTCTATCAGCAAGACAGACGCTTTCACAACCCTCCAGACAGCGCTCGGTGACAAGATTGTCGGCGTTCGTTATGGAATCCTTCCACACACTCCGTGGGAGGACATATTCGCTCTCGCCGAGGATTTAAAGGCCAAGAACCCAGACCTCATCATTACCTTGGGCGCTGGATCCATCACCGACGGCGTCAAGCTCGCGCGCTTCTTTCTGGCAAACAATGTGTCGGATCTGTCGGGCGTCGATGCGCTCTGGGCAAAGTGCAAGGCGGATCTTAGAAACATGCACAACTCTCCCCCGGATGTAGAACCGGCCACGATCCCAGTCATCAACGTGCCGACCACCCTGTCCGGCGGCGAGTACACTCCCGCCGCCGCGGGCACCGACATGAAGACCTTTGAGAAGCGGAACCTCCTCCACGCCTCCATGACCGCGGACCTCGTCGTGCTCGACCCCGCGCTGACCGTGTCGACGCCGGCGCGCTTCTGGCTGTCGACCGGCATGCGCGGCGTCGACCACTGCGTCGAGGGCATGTACGGCAACCTCGCCACCGCCACCCCGGCGCAGACGGCGGCGCTGGCCCGCGCCCTGCAGCAACTGCTCGCCGGCCTGCTGCGCACGAAGGAGCAGTGGGACGACCGCGACGCCCGCCTGCAGACGCAGCTCGCGGTCCGCACGGGCGTCACGAGCCTCGCCAACGGCATGGGCGCCAGCCACGGCATCGGCCACCAGCTCGGCCCGCTGGGCGTCGGCCACGGCGAGACGAGCTGCGTCGTGCTGCCGTGCGTCATGCGGTACAACTGGGCGCACGGCGACGAGACGGTGCGCGGCGCGCTGCGGCGGGCGGCGGCGGCGTTCTGGGACGAGGCTGCTGTCGTCAGGGCGCTGGGGCTCGAGGATGCTGAGAGGGAGGAGGTGAACCCCGGGGATCTGGTGGCGAGGTTTGTCGGCAAGCTGGGCTTGCCTCAGAGCTTGGGTGCTTTCAAGATTGGTAGCGAGAGGTTCGGTGGGTTGGCGGATAACTCGCTGACGGATCCGTGTACCATGGTAAACCCGGTGAAGCTGGATAAGGAGGGTATCGTTGAGATATTGAAGATGGCGGCGTAGGTGGGTAGGTGGAGGAAGAAAAGAGTGAGCTGCATGTGGTGATGTGTGGCTTTGTAGTTAGCTGGGTAGGCACCTGCGCAAGTAGGCATTCAGGGGTAGACTTCCTACTTGGTAGTAACGTAGGTAGGCCGTTGTAGCACTCATTTGGAAGGAAGTTAAATGCTATTCGATTTGATCGGACATTTGCCTTCGCATAGAGTCCTGGTCTTTTCTTTGTACCAAGGGCGATGAGATTTTTATCGACCATCGTGATCACGGGCTCCTGCCAGCGTAAATACTAGGTAGGGGGCATGGATGTGCCTCTTTATTTCCTACCTAGGATATGTGCATCTCATTCTAAGAGACTCGACACGAATATGATGGATGCATATTCATGATCATCATCTTAAACATCTCTTCAGCAGGAATGACTCTAACGGATAGGGGGTCCCCGCTACGGTGCCTAACTATTGTATACTGAGTCCCTACTAGGCGGGTGGTGGAGTGGAAGATCATTGTGATGTTATCTGAAGTTTTACTCTACGACCGTGATGAGATCTCACATCTCTGTCTATGATTCGGTAACGAATTGGAAGCTAAATGAACTTGGCGGCGTCTTATTGATTCTACACACTTACTGTAATTTAACTTCATCATTTAATTCGACGGAATAGCAAATTTATTAGCTTACTTGAAAGTAACTATGTAATTCCCAGTTGTATGTAGGTACCTAGGTAACCTAGATATATTGTATTACATACCTGCTTGGGGTTGTGCGCGCCAAAGGTACAGTCAGCCCAGACGGCATAATCTAACGAGCCGTCCAACCCTTCATCGCTTTCACTCGATAGATGGAGGAGTTCGGACTTAGGCCAACCAAGCCGACGGGACGCAATCTCAGGATCGAGGGTGGCCATTGTCCAGCAATCACTACCTGGTACCTACCCAAGCAATTACCATTGTGAGTGCGAGCAAATTCCCGACGCTAGAAAGAGTCACATTACGTTGTTCCTGCGGGTTGCCTCGTAACCCCGTTGGGAGGTGATAGGTGACAGACAAGAGCCCAAACGCGCAACGGGACAGTTGGTGATGACTACCTACCTAGTTTTATTTGTGTGACGGGAACACAGATCCTCCCGCGGCCTCCTTCGACTCGACCTTTTCTTTTTTTTTTGGCCCGGAGTTGGTAGGGATCTCGACGGACAAAAATGCCCCAGCCACCCCAGAGATCTCGGCTCGGCTCTGACTACATACATAGGTTACTAAAGAGATGGATGGGCCCAGTGCGCTGACACTGTCGACACTTTTTCTTTTTGTCCTGAAATGTATACACCTGATACCAACAATTTGAGTTTTACGTACCTACCGAACCGAAGCTCAGGGGGGTGTGCGCCTAAGATTTCATTTCCAGGTGACTCATAATGAGACTAAAGTGATCACTGGTTTGGTGTGATACCAACAGGGCGGGTAATGCCTCCTATGGTAGATGGAGAGATGGATAGATGAAATGAATGGGACGTCAAACGTCGCACTGCCCTACCTACTACCTACCTCCATATTGATAGATGGCCGTCCGTCCTTGCGGATCGAGCTAGTGCGCGACGTTGGGGGCCTAAAGCGTAGCACAGATTCATAGCCTCGCGGGATGTACCAAGATGAGGCTGGCAAATACTTTGGGTAGGTAGGCTGACGTGTGACGCGGCACTTGGGTGTGGCGGACAAATAGCGCTGGCAGCCTCTCGAGGACTGTGCTAACCTAGGTATGTAGGTTAGGTGATTTAGGCCCGCGTGGGAGAACGCGTCGCTGCTGCGATGGCGAATCTGCCGAAATGCCCGGATCGATAATAACTCGTCCGGGGTATCTATCGCTCTTGTCCTCACTCACCCATTACCAATATCGACACCGATACCGACAACCCACGCCTCCTCAGCGTCGTAGTGGTAGTGGGAGGCGGATATCTGTTGTAGATTGCGAGGCTGCTGCCTGCTGTTTGCCTCCAACGTGAGCGCAGTCACGGTTTGTTTTAACTGGTGAATTGCACAAAAGTGAGTCCAGCGAATGGTTTCGTGGCACCCAATCTGTTTTACTTTGCCCTCGCCAGCTAAAATCCATCGCTAGGTACCTAAGAAACCGTCGTTCGCTGTCCTGGGTCGGTCGTCGTAATATCGCGATCGCCTATGACGACCTAGAATCCCAGTCAGCAGTGTGCTGTGGCGACATCGTGTGTGTGTGAAATCCTAAGGGCCCCTCCTTTTTTTTTACTCCATTCGTTGATTTCTGCCCGAAGCGAGCGAGCGGTTCTAAGCCCTGAGGGTTGCTTGCCAATTGTTCAAGGGAATCCGAGTCTAAGGCGTCGGTGAGTCACAGCAGCCCACGGCGGTGAAACTTGCCGGACGGGACGGCATTTGTTGGAGCTTGTAACATCCAGCCAGCCTACCTGTATCATACCTACCTACCTACCTACCTTACTTGTTTGTGTACACCCAATAAGTCGTACTGATATTATCAATGTGGAGGCCGGTGGAAGACAAGTAGCTTCTAGATAATTACCTGGCAGGTAAATTCCAAGGTCCAAGTTGGGTGTGTGATGTGGTTGTTGTCGGACTTACAAAAATTTACCACCGGTACGGTACAGTACCTACATCCCTAAGTAGTAATCATCGAAGGAGAGGCGTGCGGTTAATGGCTTCTACAACGTACATAATGTATGTACAATACAAGCCTGGGCAGATAATTACCAGGTAGTAGTTAGATTGGGCGCTTGCTGCCAATATTCCCGCAACCTGTTAGCAATTTGCAGGGGCTTTTTCTTTTTTTTTCACGCCCTACGACCTGCCAAAGAAATTTCCCCCCGTTCCATTCCGGACTTGTGATTTGCCCGCCCCGGGGTCGTTTTCTCCCTTTTCGGAGGGGCGAAAGAATGTGTCATCTGACAAATTGTATGTAAGTATATGGCCGAAGCGTTCCTTGTGTGCGTGTGTGTGTGGTTGCCGACGATTCCGCCCAAGCCTAAGGGGTAAAGAAGTGAAATGAAGAATTGGTCGAGTCATAGACAGGAATTCAAAAAGGGGAGAAGAGGAAAAATCATTGTAGGGAGGGAGGGAATTGGGCATTTGTCACGGATGATGAGCAATGAGGCCAGAGATCAAAAAGGGCAATGTTCCGGAACATAGTGGAGTGGCAAAAACAAAACCCCTGGGAGGCCTTCGATGGATAGGATAGCTTTTGATGGATGGATGGATGGATAGGGCAAGCAAACCAACTTCGGCCCAATCGTTCTAATTGCCTAGACATGCTAGATATGTAGGGCCTAGACTTAATAGAGGCAATAGGAGATATAGCGGGCACAGCCACAACCATTGCTCTACTACTGTATGTATACATATCGTTTGGTTCTCGAGGGTGACACGTCAACGCATATATACCCAGGCTTCTGGGTCACGATTTTTTCGATTATTCCTACGGAACGTCGTATAGAAAATCATTAATCGCAGGCGACGAAAGGGGGACCGCAGAACTTGCAGCAGGCCTGTGGCCTGTGGCCTGGTTTCCGTACGACTGGACTTCGCGCTGTGTAATACTCAAAATTAGGTATGTAGCATACTGTAGGTAGCATGCAATGCCGGGCAGTGCGCCCAGCCCGACAGGCAAATAACAAGGCTCGATAATTGCAACTCGGACCCGATGCGTTGCTGTTCCGGCTGCTCAGCTACCCGATTGTTCATACCTGTATCACCGCCCCAGGTTTGTTACGTAGGTTGCGTCGACAATCTTTCGCGCTGTGTGCACCGGATGCGCTGAGCTTCGTAGACGTAGGTAGACGTAGGTAGACGTAGCATTGTCTAGGTGGGACGAACGAAGGGAGATAGATGGGACGTACGGATACATTGGTATAGACGTAGCGTAGCGTAGACAAAGGCAGCAGCAGCGACATGCCCCAAGTTGGAATGGGAACATGTCCCTATTCGGCCGATAGTCAACGGCATTCTTATAATCTCGATGTGGTAAGCAAATGTCGAATCAAGATCTCGGGTCCCCACGAGACAATGACGAAAAGGGGGGGGGAGGGGGACCAGGTGAGGGATTACAGGGGTGGGTTTGTTTGGATTGAACAACGCAGAGGGATAGACAGCAGTAGACAACAGTAGACAGCAGGACGGACTCTTGCTATCACCAAAGCTTTCTGGTTAAGGAAACTGACAACCGCCCGTTTCCGTCACATCGCAAAACACGTGCGCTTAGAGCCCTACCTACCTACCTAGTGTTGGAGCAAGCATCGTCACTTACTATGATGGTGGTGCCGCAGTAAAATCCTGATAGGCCCAGCCGCTGCTATTCCCACCGTTGGTGTCCAAATTGTCTTGACGGCGTCTCTAATGTGTATCACGTCAGGTTTGTAACACAGCCAGAGAGGTCACCTTGGAGTCTTGGACGCTGCTGAGGACATCCGCTACGCTATGGTAGTCTCGAAAGACATCTATACACGTAATGTATTCATTTCTCATCCCCAGTTTCCTCTCTTCTAGGCCCGTCCATCGTGGAGGGCTGAGAGGGGCAGAGGGGCATGTTCTACTCCAATACCAATTCTTGAAATATTTTAATAATTTTTATTTATTTTTTTCTCTGATTTTGTGCGCTGCCGATAACGTCACACACGGACCCAAAGCTTTTACTCGACCGGGGGACGGTACCTGGCAACCTGCAACCTTCGATCTGCAGGTTATGTATGTAAGGCATGAACAAGAAAAAAAAGGTTCCGAATAGTTATGCTTGCAGCGATATGCTGTCCACCGTAGTCGACAACAAGAGTCGGTGAGTGGCAGAGAGAAGAAGCGAGACGAGGATCGTACCGATGCCGTCTGGTGATTGTATCTCCTGTTCGCCGATTGCGTATCTATTCTGTTTTGTTCCTTTTCCTTTGACAAGCTTTCTGGTGGAGTAGAGAGACGCTGGCTGTTCAACCAGAGTGGGCCGAAGATAGATATTGGCTATTGAGCACGGAGGAGTCAAGGACTTAAAAATAAAAAAGGGCAGTGATGACAAAATAGGTGGCTTAAACGGGGTGTATACCTCGAGGCCCCCCTGCTCGCTCCAATCGGGTCGTGCACAACTGCATGCACTGTGGTTCTGAGCCGGGTCCCCATTGACCAAACAGCGTACAGATTCTCTTCAGCTTACATATATATTGGACATCACTGCAGCCAGAGACGTCTCGCGCAGGGCATCAGGACATAAACGTACATGACGTCTAACTTGTATGAGTCACAGTTGGTACTATGAGTAGTAGGCTGATGCTATCAGTGTGTGTCTACTATAGTAGTGTGTCCCTATTATTACATTCCTTCTTCTTATTCTTCTCTCTCTTCGCCAGCATCGCAACTTGCAAGAATCGAAGGACACACATGCCTAAAGCTGTCTAGGTAGGGAAATGAAATATTAATTGTAGATAAAAATTTTCGTCTTCTTAGGTCGTATCGAGAAATGAAAAAAGTGGATTGGTCATCTTCGAAGGCCGGGTGTAAAATAAGGGGGTGCAGTTCTAAAAAGGTAACAAGGGTGATTGGGGAGGGGCCGTCAAGGTGTAGCCGGTGAATGCAGTAGTACACACGGGGAGGAAAGTAGTTACTTCGGTACGGAAGAGAGACTAGCAGAAACAGAATCCATCCTTCCATCCATGGATCCATGGATGCTTGCTTGTGCTCATGGCTACATGGATTCAGCACGCACACCAACTAGTTTAGTTGGTCCACCCGTTGGATTGACCCGCGGCAGTGGGTGTAATCTCCGTTCAAAAGTCGATAGTCCAGCTCCAGAACATCTGCGGCTTGACCATGTTCTGGGACAGTCTCGAATGTACTGTATGGAGATTAGAGAATCGTAAAACACTGGTTATCACGAAGCTATCCATACGAGGGAATAGCTGAGCTGATGGCCGGGGAAGCGTTAGCCAGCTACCGGCCCGGACTCCCAGGCCCAACAAAAGAGAGAGCTGGCTAGGCTGGACTTAGCAAAGAGTCCACTATAGCCTCATGAGCCGCGAGCCTCTCCGGCGGGTTGGCTTACTTAACCTTAGATAGGTAGGTACTAGGTAGGCACATAGGTAGGCTAAAATATTGCGATAGGGCACTTTCTAGAATAGGTACCTACCGAAATATATTAATAATACAACACCGTCACACGAAGAAAGCCCTATGGCTTAGAGGTAATTACTCATTCATCAAACGTCGAGTTCAACAGGTTTTAGTGTACGAGGCGTCGGGTAGGTTTCGGTTTCGATGCCGAGGATTGGGATTGATAGTGATAGTCCTGGGAGGGATCTTTTTTTCTGAGCGAAAAAAAAAAGAAAGGAAAAATAGGAACGGGTGGGCATGAGGCGTCAAGCTGAGGGAATAAAGCCGAAACAAGGATTACCCTTCTGTAAGACTGGCCTTTTCGATTGCTTGATTTGACTGATTGACCAGCCACTCGACTTCGACTAAGAAAACAGGGTGAAGGGTGTGCGAGGAAGTTCGATGCTGTGCGACGTATCACAGCGAAACAAAATCTAGTAGAAGCAATATCAGGAAACGGAAACCTACTGTATGCGTGATAGATCAGGTCATAGTAGCAGACAATTGTGGTGAAACGGAGGCTGAAAGTCCTTTGTAGCGCCAATGAATTGCCGAATTCGAGGATGATCAGGAGGTTACGGCGCATCCGTACCTGGGCTTCCTACCCGGGAAATCTCTTTTCTCTTTTTCTATTTCTTTTTTTCTTTTTCTTTTTAGCACGAACCCAAGCATGCAGATGTAGTAATACATATAGTAGGCATACCCTCAGTAGTACCTAATAGGTAGGTAGATAAATATATTCAGTAGGCCTTTATCTAGTTATAACTATCATTAGGTGGCTACATACCTGCCTAGGTAGTAACTGGTAGTTAAACAGTAGATAAGTAGGTACTTACATCCCGGACTGTGTAACTATATAGCACCTATAACTGTAGGTATAGTAGGTAGACTAGGTATGTAGTCGTTTGCTTGTGATAGATGGTTTTCGGCGCGCTAAATGGATGATTCACCGAATCTAATTAAGAAGAGATGAAGATGCATAGAAGATGCGGATTACTGAGGTGAACAATAGAGTTAGCCTATAAGAGCGTTGTTACTTGCCATCGTCATCGCACATGATATTATAATAGAGACTGATTGGAATAGGGACGGGGATCACGGCCGTGTGCTGCGACCTCCCACGTTTTTCTCTTATTTCCTGACCTTTTCCCCGCCCTGCACCATGCATGGAAAGGCATGGTGGGTGCAGATGACCCTCTTTCAAACGAACTATCGCCGGTTAGGGGGTTCATTGGCTTGCCTTGAATCAACTTCAGCTATGATCTTGCTAGACGAATCCATATCAAACCAACGGATGACGCATCAAGTTTGGATACCTATTAATGCTATAACTTCTTCTTCTTTAAGACTATAAAGGTTGCGCCTTTTTGGGTATATCAAGGATAGAAGCGCCGGATGGTACTCTACTAAGCCAAGTGGTGTGTAAGACTTTTCCATACATCCATACAACCTTCCCAACCACATTTATCACATTCCACGCCACCTTTTTTTTCTATCTTAAAAAAAAAGAAAAAAAAAGAGTAGGCCGAGGAAAGGCTGAGCGGGAGAAAGCGGCACTCTGCCTATATATAGATACACGTAACTCAATATAGAAGATACCTAAGACACCAACTGAGTTCAAATGTTATAGACTTTAAGTACCCTAGGTTAGGTATGTAATTCGGATAAATGTAGGCCACTAATATTAATAAGGTTCTTACAATTGAAAATGAATGAATATGGGGTTATTGATAAAAAAATTGTAGCAATACCAAGGCACTCCTTGCAACACATCTTCAGTAGACCGAGGCAAAGTTTTAGTCAAACAGTTCAATGGTATCCAAGTAGGTGGGGGATTATCACATTCACATTCTCTTCTTGCATTAACTATACTAGCATTATATTATGTAGTACTTTTCAATAATAGGTATAGAACGGTTTATAGACAAGTACCAAACTATACACATCCATACAAACTTAATTAATGTACTACATACTAGGTACTACTATACTAGGTAGTATGTATGTAGGCAGGTAGGTAACTTGAATGCATATGCACAATGGTCTAGGCGCTACCCGCATTCATCCACTTTCCCCGCGCGGGAACTACTACTTACTACTGACTACTTTCCTATCATCCTCGCCTATTGCCTTCCTAAAGATGCACGACGGTATCGGTCTTTTCTCTCTTAGATCTGGACCTACATATACCTGCTCAGATTGCCCCGGTCCCATTCGCTATCGTCATTTAAACATTCTTTGCTCCTCTTTCTTTCTTCCTCACTTCATACCTACGGTACATACATCGCATCATATCGTACCTGAAATCGCAAAAAGTCGGGACCCCTTGATTTACTGATTTATGGTTATATGATCTGACGACAGACATCTGGAGGGATCCGTTGATTTCCCCTCACTGCTTGGACCATCCATACCTACTACCAGCGCATCTCGGTCCAGCGCTGCACAGAACGGATCAAGCACGTACACCGTCGCTCCGCACTCTGCCGATACCCGTTGGAAACCCGTGGCCGGATTGTACAAATACGAAATATTCCTCAGCAAGCTTACATATATGTACAACATCATCTAGCGCTATATTCGAACATCTGCACGTCTGATCGAATATTTATCGAACTCGTCTCGCACAGTTTTGACTATTAGCTGTCTACTTATTGTTCCCACAGTTCATTCACCTTCGCCAAGTACCGGGGGGCATTTGCCATTTCCAGCCCGGGAATTTGATTATCTTATGCTTGCGCGGCTCAAAAGAGCTTGAGCCAACCCTGAGATCTATTTCATTAAGCGCGAAACGTCAAAGCGGCCGAAACAGATACATATCGCTGGTTTTATCAATTGCAAGGTCCCCATTGCGCCTCAATCATTGAACTAGGACCCCTGGAATTTCATTCTTTTCCCGACAAATTATTGATAATCCTAGATCCAAGTCGAGAAAATTTTTCGCATTTCTTCCAAGTTCTTTTTAATACGGCCCGTGTCGCTGGAAGCCGATAGCAATTCCATTAATCGATGCGCTATTGCAAACTGGAGTAGGGAAACCATAATCCCAATTTCGCTAAAGGTAACCGAATCTCGGAAACCCTGGAAGACCCAGGATCCTCAGAGCATCGTCATTCAACCCTCACCCAAATCGCTCTGCTAGACAAGGAAAATCTTTTGGATTTCCGTTTTTGTCTAGGGACTGCGGGACTTGTAGCTAATACGATGACCCTTACTATGATAATTTTGATGGAAAGTCTCCGAATTACCTGAAATATGCCAACTGAGTGACAAGGGATTGGCACACCTTTTTTATTTTTTACTTGGGGTTGTTTTTTACGAAGAAAGAAAAAAAAAACACGCGGATGTTCGGTTGTTTTCAAACCGAAAAGTTGTCGCAATCGTGTTCGCCGCCTAAGAAGGATCCACGCGGCGAGAGATATACACCATAGAATATACGCCAGCCATCGCCATCACGATACGAGAAGACGATATTGAGGAAGCGTGGCCTCATTTACTGCTACACTACACGCTGACACTATACGCTGATCCCCTAATCCTTAATAGAAGATAAACGTTAAGGACAGCTGAAAAAGGACGCTCAAAGGATACTCAAGAGCCACTGGAATTACACAGTGATGAGATATCTCACTGATTGGGTACCGAAACAGAGACAAAGTGCGAAAGGATCCTCCTCGGACGTTGTGGCTGAGTGTAACTTACTAGGGGTACCAGGATACCTAAGACACCCTTGGCACATTTGAATTGTACTGTGCTAGCGTTTGCTGGGCTTACACCACCCCTGTCTTGGAGTCTTGGGTTATCTTCGCACACGCCCATGCCGTACATGAGTACGTATCAATACGTACCCAAAAGCTTTGCCAAGGTACCTTGCCTTTAGGCTAGGATCAGGCATTGGCTAAGGGGGTCCTAGTCAATTTTTAGGAACCCCCCTGTAGCCTCCACCCCCGAAGGAGGAAAAAAAAAAATCTTTCAACTGCGTTGGGATTTTTTTTTTTCTGCTCCAAATTCCCTGTTATTAATAAACGAGGCGACTCCCGCCCAACCACCTCCGACGCTTCAAACCCTCTTTCTACACAGTTTGGCTTTTGCCATTTCCTACCTATTGACTCATCGTTCAACGCATACTAAAGTATTAGTATTTGACATTCGTTCCAAACGGATTTTCCATTCTGGATTTTAGAACGGTCCAGCTTTTTCGAGCACCTTCGTCATCCAAAGTCGACTTTTTATCGACTTTGATGCCCAATCCTCCCGGGGGTATAAACACCAAATCTTGACATGTTCTCTCAAAGAAGACGGCTTTCTTCTCCTCTTCCCACCGACCACATACCAAGGTGACAGGTGTCACTTCCTCCAGCGTCACGACACAGGCGCCATTGATTATTCCGAGAAAAGAATCAAAAAACTGAAGCATCATACAAAATACACCGTCGAGTCGTGTTCGGGGTCGACCAGATTTCACGACGACATTTGCAACAATAATATACGATAATTTCATCCCACGGCTTCGTCGCGACGACATCGCAACAGGCAGGAAAGATGAGTTACGGGTCACCTTATGGTACACCTCTTCGAGGTGGTGATGCGGGTCACTTTTACGACGTACATAGCCCCTCACCAACACCTTCACCACGTCACTACCCATTTTACCCAGCTCAGACCCCCCAGCGATCAGCTACTCGAGCTTCTCACGTTCGCAACGCAAGCACCGGCTATCCCGATTACCGGCCGTCGACCGCCTTCTCTCCCCGATACACGAGCACCGGCGAATATGCCACCGGCCCAAGCCCGAATGTGAGTTCGCGAAAGCACAGTTTCTCAATGGGGTCGCATCAAATGCCCAGGCGCGAGCGTCGGAGCTCCTTCTCATACCATCGGGCCTCTCATGGGGACTCCGACGAGGACGAGATCTTCGAGATTGATGGGGTCAGATGCGTGTTGATTGCGGAGTCCAAGAGTCGCAAGCGCAGAGATTCTTTCTATGCTGCTCCGGGACATGGCACTGATCACTACTACCGTTCGCAGGGCATGCCGTCGTCGTTTTACGAGAAAGAGAGAGCCGACTACCCGCGTTACGAAGAGCCTCCCGCACGCTCCGCCACAAGGATTGGCCACCACACCCGCCGTCCTTCAGCTACCGCTGTACCTATTCAGCGCCCCGCCACCACGCGCCCATCTAGCTCTCACAAGAAGAAGCCTGCACCTAGCGGGCCCAGAAAGGCTACAGAAGCAGATGCAAAGAAGCATCGTATCCCCCCTGGATACTCTCTCAAGAACTGGGATCCCGCTGAGGAACCCATCATGCTACTAGGGAGTGTCTTTGACTCAAACTCTTTGGGGAAGTGGATCTATGACTGGACCGTCCACTTCCATGGCGCAGCCACTCCCATATCGGACGTGGCCGGCGAACTATGGGTTCTCCTCATCCAACTCTCGGGCAAAATAAAACGCGCCGAGGAAGTTGTGCCAGAGGTTAGAACTACTGCCAACAAGGAAATGATTGAGGACTTTATTGAATCTGGTGAACGCCTCACCGATAAGCTCCGCGCTCTGCTAAAGAAGTGCGAGGCGCCCATGCTAAGGTCCAGCAAGGCAAAGGAGGCATCCCACCTCGGACAGAACGCCGGCGTAGAATTCGTGAAGACTATCTTTGGCCGCGAACGTGAGCTTGAGCGTACCGAGGGATTCATGCAGGCAGTCCGCCTTTGGAATTTGCGATTCGATGCAAACTGTGAGGACATCCTTAAGAGGCCCAAGCAATAAATGGATGGATTTTTATTTCTTTCCAAGTTGTTTATCCTCATTGGTCCCCATGGATTTCCACGGATGGACCACTACTATTTTATACTACTACTACCACTACCACCCGCAGACACACACCTACACCTACACACACGACCGATTGGAAGAAAATGATGGATGGCGCTGCCATCGTGTATCACTAGAAGCTGATTTCCTGCTTGGGTCGTATTTCCGGAGTGCCACATTGATACCAGGATCTCTCCGTTCAGGATTTCTTTCATCTGTTTTATTACACTCGCCGCAGGGCAACGTTGCATGCATCGAATGGAGAAGGGCCTGGATTTTCCTGTCTCATCTTTCGTTTTTCGAGATACCCCAGACGAAGAGAGAGGAAGAGTGCGTGACTATATTGCACAACAGGCTCACCGCGCAAGCAGTTGACGAGGATACGAGCGATATACCCTTTCTGGGACGTTATTCGGAAACTCAAAAGTTGGTCTTGTTTTTTTGGAAGAAGGATACTTGATTTTTATTTACGTGGTCAACAGTTTTATGGTAACTGTTGATGGGAATTTTACATCGGGCTGAACTATTGCTCAGCCTTAGACACAAAGAGTTTAATGGTTATTGTCTTTTGATATTGGCGATGGATTCGTTAGTTAGCCAGCCGGGTTGTATTTGCTTCGCCAGTTAGCACCTTGCGCAAGCATCAGCGGGCGTTATGTCAGACATGGTGGCATATTGATTTTATTGTTTCGACAGGACGCATTTTATAGAAGATCTCATGCGTATCACGAGATCGGGTTCGGGTTGTACTGGCTGGCTGGAAGATACCCCTTTCCTTCATTATTTATTTTCTTTTATCTTTAGTAGTAGCTCAAATCTCAGGAAGAAACAATAGTATCATTCTACTCCTCCTAAATCTGTCTCCAAACTTGTCTCCATTGATCATCTATGTGAATTAACCTAAGTGAGTAACTAGGCATTTCTGCGACGCATTCTTAATCGTGTGCTAATATTATGCGTGAACTAACATCCTGATATGTTTGCAATTGTTGGTGCTAGTGGTGGTGTGTTCCTGCATGTCCCCGATCTGCTTCTTGCCTTACGACATACTTGGTGAGAGGTGTTCATCTGTTATTCATCTAATATGTGCGCATGCTAGCTACCGAACCTATTCTACGCGCATACATAGGGCATAGGGTGTAAGTGTAAGTCCACTTGAGGGGGGACACGTCTGCGACCAGCCATTTTCGCAAACACTTATGACATAGTTACTACCTATGATGCCAATGTGTCGGAATACCTGATACTGTTTTTTTTTTTTTTTTTTTTGAAACATGTAGTCAAATGGAAATGCTTCTCTTGCAGGTATGGCATGGCATGGCATGTCATGTATTGTGCTTTGCGCTTTTATGACTCAAGTTCTCAACAATCCAGGGGGGGAGGGCTAGTTCCATAATAACATAGGTATGTAACAATTGTCTCCCTCCAGGGCGGGCTCACTCCATTTTCCCTTACAACAAACCAAACATGCTTGTCTCACAACAACATATTTTCAACAAAAGTGTCAAATAGTTAATGGTTAATAGCACTTCACAATTCCAAGGTTTGGTATCTACCTACCTACCTAGCGACTTGATAGTTCTGCAATCCTGTATTTCATCCTTGTATGCTGGGGGAATGGGGTCAAGTTGTTGACTCATTTTGTATTGCCATGGATGCCTTTTCGGCAATTGGGATATTAGGTATTAGGGATATATAGTAATTGCTATTGTCGCTATTGTCTAGTTAACTATCCACCCACTAACCTATAGTTAAATAACTAATGATAGGGGGAGAAGATGGACCTGAAAAAAACCGGAAGGATGCCAAGTAGTTAGTTAGTTACCACTCACTCACCTACGGCGTAGTACATATTACATTGTCAGCCCGTTAATTCCCATGGCGTCATGGTAATAATAGCAATAATAACCATGCTAAGATTCCATTCCTTTGAATTTCTATTTATTTATTTTCCCCCTTTTTCCCTTCTTGGCAATTTCATCTTTTTTTTTCTTTTTTTTTCTTTTTGTTTTGTTTTTTTCAACTGTTTTTAATTTTGTGTGTGCCGGCGGGGGGTAGGTAGGTATGTATTTGGCCGAAATTGGCTTTCATGCCTGCTTGCCTAGGTAGGTAGGTAGGTAGGTAGGTAAGCCACACGGTTCCGGGTACTGGGAGTCCTGGTACTGGTATTTTACACAACACACACGAACACGAGAAGGGTCGCGAGGAAGGACAATGGACGATGGGGAAGGGACTTTTTGTGTTATATGGGAATGGTTGGATTTTACATAGATTGGTTAGGTTTGTAGTAGTAGGTAGTATGTAGTATTCAGTAGCTTGGTGGCATAGTTATCAGGTACACAATCACAATCACAATCGAGATCTGACAAGTACTGTATGTGCTCGCGTCTCTCGAGGCCAACCTCTGTATCAAGTTACATGGTCACGATCAAAATATTTTGCTATTGATTGTCTCTCATTGTTAGTCCAAACAAACTTGCTTATGTACACACCAATTTACACAACACAACACAACATCTCGCGTTAGGGCTCCATGATAGGGTTACAGGGCCCTCCATCTCCAAGAAAAAAAAGAATTGGCCACAACATTGGGCCGCGCAAGGTGGCTTTTTTTTTCGTCAGGTCAAGGGGGGGGGGGGCCTCTTACAGGCTACTTTAGCGATTGAATCACTTGGAATCAACCCATGTCCCTTCTCCGACAGCCAGCCCAGCTCATCCGTGTTCCGTGCGCCATCTGCAAGACCGCCTAGGTTGGTAGGCAGGTAGGTACATGATAGAGTTACTACATGCAATAGTATGTAGGTGCTATTAGGTACGGCACCAAGACCCAAGATTAGACTACTTACTCCCCGCCGTATGTCTAGCATCGTCAGTCAGTCACGGAATCAATTGCAATTGTATGATGCCCTATAGTTATACCAACCTAGTGTATGTATGTAGGCATGCATTTCGTATGCATATTCGTATGTACAATACAGAAAGCAGTGTAGCATCACGAGGGCCATTTCGAACTGGCGGGCCATTGTGTCTTTCATTCGTCCCTACCCCTCCTTTTTTTTTTCCCTCACCTCACTCTATTGACAGGCCACCACCACCACCAAGTTTTGCAAAACCATTCGAGTCGCAAAGCTGAGAATTGATTGTCCTGGACGTCATAGCCATATGTTTCTCCAAGGTTGCCATGTGTGTGTTAGGCACCTACTTACGTACCTAGTACATACATGTACGATGAGGGTAAAAAAAAGGAGATGCCAGGACCTACTTAGTGTAGGTAGGGTGCCAACGGGGGATCCGCCCGAGACGACACCGCTGCTTTGGCCGTTAGGTTATGTATGTAGGTGTTGCGTGTGTATTTGGTATAAGGTGGTATTGTCGTTGAAAGGGCCAAAAAAGCAAAGGCCCCTCCCTGCAAGCTGGACTGTATGTAAGCCCCCCCCCTTCTGGATTTGGAACATGCCTAGTACGTATGTAGATGATTGATGGTCTACGGCTACAAGGGAAAGGGGGAAGGGGTGGAAGCGCGGGCGGGCTTTAGAATCCCTTCGCCGCTTCGGTAGGTTGCAGTACATGAATGAATCCACTGCCACGCGAAGAGCGACAGGGAAAAGATTCCTTTGTCCATGGATGTTTTTTTTTGTCTTTCTATGTTTGTTTTTTTCTGTCATCATCCCTTTCCCTTCGACGGTATTGTACTAGGGAGGCAGGCAGGCAGACAGGATATCAAATATAGCGTGTTAGGCTTATGTGTATTTACACACGAGCTATGCAGACTATACACGCTGGAAAGACAATTCGTTCCAATCAAGCAATTGAGTATAGCATCATACTAATCACCCTCATGTAAGCGTGGCTGGTGTCCCTGATGTATGAATTGGAGAGAGAGACGGGGGAGGGGGGTGTATTCAGAATCACACATGTTATACAAATCTCCTCATCTGAGACCGATGTACATCTACATTGAGCTATGTTCTAGACCTACATATGTAGAAACATGTCTAAATATCCCTGGCATGGGCAAGATTGGATCGGGCACATACGTTAATAGTAGTTACCACTATCAATCAATTGTTTTATTTTATTTTTGTTCACTACATAGGCAATTCGTTTAATATCTTGTATTGAAAGCCAAAAAAAAAACATCATGAGAATGGAGCCAACAACGTGAGCCAACTTGAGTACCTTGCATAGATAGATAGCTTCACCGCAACCTATCGGAAACTACTACAAATCGTATAGGCGGGATCGATCGGTTGGTTCAGGTGCGTATTTTGTTGAATTGTGCCGTACATAGCATGTTGGGTCTCGTTTGTTGCGAATCATGTTTGTCAGATAGTTACTCCTCCAGGCTATTTATTACCTACACCAGCGGGCCGGCCCCTGAAATACGATACGATGGATGGGATGGCATAACACGATGTCGTAACTATCGTAATTACGAATCATGTAACTACCTACTATGCAGTACTTGAGGGAAGGAAAAATTGCCAAGTTTGGAACCAACATACCTCTTTCTCTCTCCCCTCATTCATCAGTTCTTCATCTCGAATCAGCCGCGTCTGTCGCGGCAGTTGGTCCATCATCCCTGTGATTATTTGCGACAAATGCTATGCTGATGTGATCTGATCACACCAGAAATTTTCCTTCTTTATTTCTACCTACTGTCAATCCACCCCCAGCCCTAAGATATCTAGGTACCTAGTCAGCCAGCCAGCCAGCCAGCCATCCGACCTAGGGTAATCCAATCAGCCTTCTTTCTTATCAAAAGGCTCCTGTTTCCCCCATCACACATGGGCTGAGGCGCCTGCATCTCCAATCAGGAAATAGGTTTCTCATGCAAGACAATTCTGAGCGTGCTGAGGCTTTACTTTACCACCAACTTTGGATTTAGAATCAGGCTAGCAAGTATGACCCAATGCAATATACTACTATGTACGTGGTAGTAGGCAGACATGTATAATAATTCAAGTCAGTCAGGCTCGTGCGTAAGCGTGG